CAGCTAGTGCTATAAAAAGGCTGTAATAACTTCCTCCTTGCTGAAGCATCTTCAGAGCTCTATGTTCTCCAGGGTATAGTCTTGTGTCCATCCCAAACCGCACCTTGTCTTACACCCTAGCTGAGCCTTGCCACACAGCAGAGCAGGATGAAGAAGGAACGAGGAAGTTATGTGGGCTGCATTTCCCCTTAGTTCCCCTCCTAGGAAGCTATGTCCTTTGCATACAGGGAAGCTCCCTACTAGGACCTGAATAGAGGAACACAGTTCTGCCTGCATTTTCCAGAGTGCGACATATTTTGTAGTGCTCGTTTTGTTGCTCTTGGTAGCCTTGCATGATGCATCGTTAATGTTCTGATATGAGGAACAGAGGAAAAGAGACCAACCTGCTTGTGGCTTTGCGGAAAATTAACTCCAAGCTTGGATCAATATAAGACCAATATGTCCAGAAATTAACCAAAGCAAACCAATCAAGTTGGGGTTTTTTTGAGCAGCTGCATGCACTGCGGCTCCTGCATTTAATTAATCACGTGCAGTGAAACAGGATTTGCAGATTATCTACCACACCTCCTGTGCCGTGTAATAGCAAGCATCACATAAAACAAATCATCGCAATGCCACATCACTTGGGCCACAAATTCCAAGAGCCTTGCTCTTCTTAAGAGTACTCCTCATTTTCTAAATTAACCCCACTTAAGCATGGTAGTTCAGAGCATGGTTCTGTAATGTCACTTTGGGTTTTGGAATATCCCTGCAACATAAAAAACCCAATTACACTACTGATTGAATTAAGACTATATACATCAGAATACCAAGGGTAAATATTTGGGCTTCTTTGCTCTGGGGGCATCTAGGAGTAATCAATCTCATAGACAAAACTATATCTATTTTTTCCACTTCTATCAAACCTTTTAGCTTATCAAATCTATCTATCTATCTATCTATCATCTATCTATCTATATATATATATATATGGTCTCCCCCACTTTAACCTCCCAGCAATCCTGTGAGCTAAAAGACTCATAGTTACTGGGGATTTGAACACAGATCTCCCAGTCCTACTCTCAACACACTAAACACTATACACTACACTGGTTACCCAAAGATAAAAATGGGATTTATCTTTTTTAATCACCCTGTACACATTGGGAATAAAACAAAAGTAGGCACAGAAAACTACACTGGTAAATTACTATGCCTAGTGGTTCTGCCAGGGAGAGAATACAAACAACATTGACTAAAGGTTACAAGTAGATTTCCCAAATCAGAATCATTTCTCTGCACATGTTTTGAACTTTGCCCTCAAAATCAAGTTGAGCTGAAGTCACATGTTGTTGAACCATGCACATAGCTGGGAAGCATTTAGATAGCTATCGTAAGGTGAATGCAAAATGCAGTAAAAAAATCTCTGTAAAAAAAGAAATCAGGCAAACCTGCCCTATGACTAGAATAAATTATTTTTCTGTGTTCTTTCTTTTTGAAATAGTGAAGTGGTAACCGCAGATACAGTACAAATCAAGGTTGTTGTTGTTTAGTCGTTTAGTCGTGTCTGACTCTTCGTGACCCAATGGACCAGAGCACGCCAGGCACTCCTGTCTTCCACTGCCTCCTGCAGTTTGGTCAAACTCATGCTGGTAGCTTTGAGAACACTGTCCAACCATCTCGTCCTCTGTCGTCCCCTTCTCCTTGTGCCCTCCATCTTTCCCAACATCAGGGTCTTTTCCAGGGAGTTTTCTCTTCTCACAAGGTGGCCAGAGTATTTGGAGCCTCAGCTTCAGAATCTGTCCTTCCAGTGAGCACTCAGGGCTGATTTCCTTCAGAATGGATAGGTTTGATCTTCTTGCAGTCCATGGGACTCTCAAGAGTCTCCTCCATAATTCAAAAGCATCAATTCTTTGGCAATCAGCCTTCTTTATGGTCCAGCTCTCACTTCCATACATCACTACTGGGAAAACCATGGCTTTAACTATACGCAAATCAAGGTTAGGAAGTCACAAAATCTAAATATTCCTAATTTATAACCTTCCATGTTACAGGGAATGGGCAATGGTATCATTTCTGACATCACTGTTGGTGAATTCTCCCACTGATCAACCAATATTAGGAGTGGACTACATATTCTGTCGGAATTATTCATTTTATTCACTTAAAACATACCCTGCCCGTCCACAGAATAAGCTACAAGGCAGTTTACATCGCAACATAACCAAGCATGGCATAATAACAAAATGACAGCACAGAACAACGATAAACTAATCTTCAAGTTCCTTTACACCAGGAGTGGCGATTTATGAGCACAACACCCAATGGCGAGGAAGGAGAAGATACATAGCTGAGCATCCGATACACATCTCCCTGGGCAGAATGACTGCAGAGAGCACACATAGCCTTCCTGCAGAAGCGGATTTAAGGCAGCGCGACCGGTTCCTCCACACTGGGTGTCGAGCCCAGGGGGTGGTGCTGGGCACCGCAACTATGACATGATGAATTGAGCAGGACAGAAGTTTAGAGGTGGTGAGGAGCACTGAATTTTGGCCTCACACAAGATGCTGCTGACATTTGAAAGACCAAAGTCTGCCTCTGCTTCCAGGGACAAGGGTTCATGACCCATCCAGGGAGTATTTTGCCCAGCAGACACAGCCTGGACTCAGAAAGGCATCCATAGATGCTGAAAACAGCAACTGGCAAGGGATGGAGATGGGAGCTCAAGACCCACAAAGAGAAAGGGATAAATGTGGTCCATTCATGTTTTGGATGGCTGGGGGAAAATGAGATGGCAGGAGGTTAAAAAAGGGGGGGAGGGGAGCTCCCAGGATGTTTGTTTTTGCTCATTCATCCTCACGCCCATCTCTCCCTCTCCTTGACCCCTTTCCTCTTCACCCCAAATTGACCGTCTCGTACACTCTGGCAGCAGCACCTATCCCATGTAAACTTCTGAAGGCCTGCCTTCTCAAATTAAAACAGTTCTAGAGCACGCAGAAAAGGAAGAGGCACTCCCATCCAACTTCTGTGTCCAGCAGAAGCCAATGTTCCCATAAATCGAAGGAATGTAAGCTACGTTGTTATGTGCTGTCATTCCCCCCCCCCACCTGCCGTGTCCGCCCCCAGCTTTGCCAGTGAAGTGCTAGGGTGAAGCTATGAGAATCTCCCTTGGGAGGAAATTTCGCAACACAGGAATAACTTCTGATAAGACCCTATCTCATGGAACCACTTGCCCAAACCTCTGGTGGATAGGCATATGAAACAGAGCCTCTGACGATTATCAGAATGAAAGAACAGGCTGATGTGAGAAAGGGCAATGCAGAACAAACTGCACACCTACTCTCAAATAATATCATCCCCCAATAACCATAGCCCAGACTTGTTCAAAAACTCAACTGCTATCCCAAGACTGTAACGACAGAAGAAACAGAGCTGAATATTGCAAACATGTTGGATGTCACCACACCCCAGATTTTCAGCTGCTCCAGAGATTTAACGTTGATGTTAAACAGCACATGGGGCAAGATGGGACCTTGCAGCAACCTGCAAGCCAGCGGCCATGGGGTGAAGCAGCAGAAAGCACAGAACCGCACTATGGTGCCCCTTAGTCCCATCTGAGCAAGGCAGCCCAAGAGGATACAATGGGTTATCAGGTTCCAATGGGTCTGAGAAGTCCAGGAGAGTCAATGCTGTTATTGGAGCACACTGTGAGTGCACTCTAAAGCTCAATGGTTGTTTTCTGGAATCGGAACTTTAAAGTCTAATGGAGTGATTTGAACACACATTCTCTGCCTTGGAACAGACGCTTGAACCACCACACTTTAGAAGGCATGTGTCTTCATCTTCAGACATCCTGACCTAGAACTTGCCCCTAGCATGTGGAGTAAAAGACCCTAGCTTACATGCCGTGCAGCTTTGAAGGAACTGGTTGTTCTCAGGTGTGACATTTGGCTACTTCTTCATAGAGGCAACTGGCTGGGGTAGTAGCCAGTCAGTAATGCAAAGGTGGTGAATCCGGCTTGCCAAATGTCACTGGGAAACCTCAGGCATCCCAGACTATTGGCCATTCTGGCTGGGGCTGATAAGTGGAAGACCATGGGATCCCCAACTCTGCCACAGCGCGATGGTTGGGAGCACCGCCTTGCCACAGGTTGGGGGCTATGCTGCAAACTTTTGAAGCAGCCAACACATCCCCACAGGGAAGAATTATGCAAGGGGCCTGGACCCACCACCAGCAGCTGCTTATGGGACCATTAAAAAGCAGCACCCGTTTATTACCCAGCAAACCCGCAACTTCTGCGCACTTAACTTGTGCGTGTTCAGCTTTGGCATAAAAACAAAACAAACAAGGGGTCCGGCATCTGGGGAAAGCCACTTTGGCAATCCCAGCCTCCACTGCACCCAGTGTATTTTGACTACACGCGACCCCGGCTTTGGACGCGATCCCTGGCTTGCTGCGTTTTAAGTCAGAAGCGGAAGTGCCACGTAGATCGCCTGTCCTAAAACGCCCCAAGCTGCCCCGGCTGAGCCCTGACTAACCAGGCCAACAACCCCTCATTCAGGCCCGTGGCCCTAACCAAGCCACGCGCGAAGCCGGCGCCGTCCACTCTGGGCTTCGTGCCCGAGACAATTGAGGCCTCGTCCTCCTCCTCCTCCTCCTCCCTCCGCCTCTGTCAGCGAGCGAGCACCTCCCTTCCTTCCCTTCGGGCCTTTCTTTTGGGGTGGGGTCGCTGCTGCTGCTGCTTTTGGCCGCGGCAGGTTCGCTCGCAGGGAGGGCGGGCGCGCGCGCTAGGGCGCGTTGCGTGCGTTCCCTGCCGAGCCGGGTGCCAGAGGCGCACACGCCTCTTGGCCCCGGCGAGGGACGAGGAAGAGACGGGGAAGGGAGCGGGCGGGCGGGCGAAGCGCGCCGCAGCTGGAAGGGCGAGTTTGTCAGCGGGGCGGCTCCCGCTCTCTCTCTCTCTTTTCCTCGGAGGGAGGAAGGGAGGGAGGGGGTAATTAGGGGCCAACTTGTGCGAGGCGCCGCCTTCTCGTATCTGCCTCCCGGGGGAAGGGAAGAGTCGGTGCGCGCCCGACCTGTTTGTGCGCCAGGGAGGGAGGGAGGGAGGGAGGGAGGGGGAGTGCCAGCGAGCGCCTCGCCTCGCCCCGACCCCTGACTCGGGTTGCGGTGCGCCGAGGCCTCCGCCCCAGCGCGGCGGAGAGGGGACACGCCCGGCCTGCCTCGCCCGCCTCGCCCGCCTGGCTGGCTGAGTGATTCGCGCGCCCCTCCCTGACCCTCCCTCCTGCCCGCCCTCTTAGCTACCCCGCCGGCCAAGGGAGCCTGGCAGAGCGAGCGGCGCCGGCGTCATGTGACAGCGCTGCCTAGTGCCAGGAGCCTGCCTTGGAGCTTGGTGGGGGGAAGAAGCAGAAGAAGAGGAGAGAGACAGAGCAGAAGGCGAGGGCAGAGGCGCGACGGGCTGACAGACGGACGCGCCGCCGACGGACTAAACGCCCCTGCGGCCAAGCGGCTGAGAGAGAAACCCCCGGGTTTCCCCCTCGAGGGCGGAAAAAGAGAGGGAAGGAGGGTTTTTCCCGCTACCAGCGAGAACGGCAACAGCACCGCCGACTCAAGCAGCAAACTTCTTGCGGTGGCGTCGTCGCCTCGGTTTCTTGGACAAGTTAAGAGAGGGGAGAAAAGTAAGTCGCGCGAAGGGAAGGGGAGGAGGCAAAGGTGGCGGCGGCGGCTCTGAGGAAAGCGACGTGTCTGGTGGTGGTGGCGGCGGCGGCCGAGAGGTGTCTGGGAGAAGGGATGGGGAAGCGGGGAGGCCGGAGGGAAGGTGCTCCTCCCGCGAGGGGGGAAATGGAGAGGCTCCTGGACGCGCGCTCTTGCTTGGCGAAGCGGGGGCGCACGCGCCGGCCCGGCCAAGGGACTTGGGGGCGCTTCGGCCAGAGTGTTTGTGCAACTGCAAAAGTTGTGGGGCGGCGGGGGGGGGGGGGGTCCTGGGATCTGTCTCCATGACCCACCCCCCGGGGGTGAGGGGGGGGGAGAGACGCCTTGCCATTTGGAGTCGCCGCTGCCCCGTGAGCTGAAGGAGCGCCGCAGCTTTGGCGTTCACGTGTGTTTTCCCGATCTGCGGTGGGTGCGTGTTTGTGTGTCTCCCTCTTGCTTTTCTGTTCCCCGTCTTCTGAAACACGAACCGTTCCTCCTGTCATTTGGAGCTGTTGGGGATGAGAGCCGTCGAACAAAGATCCCATCTGCCGCAGCTTTCCTGAGGGGCTTTTTAAAAAAGAAAACACCTGGAGCTACTGGATTGCTTTCTTTCGACAAGAGTTTGCCGCTAACTAGACTCGAGATACTTTTCTTCTCCCTCCCAAGTGGGAAAGGACGTTGCTCCATGTCTCTTTGCGTTCCTTAACATTATTTTGGGCTTCGCTGCATAGGATGCTCAAAACAAAACGGCAGCCCTGCATCATAACATCCTTGGAGAACTGCCATTTAAATAATTGTCAGTTGATCAGGGGGTTGCTGCGTTTGTTATCTCTTCATAGGAGCAAGAAAGGAAAAATGAGAAGCATATATCAAGATGTGTGAATTATGTCCGTTTCTAGACACTACATACCAAACTAGAGAAGAGGACACATTTGTATAGCGTTTTTGGTTCTGTACTTAGTCAAGTAACATTGATATGCAATGTGAGATGTTCTCTTAAGGTTCTACTGTTTAGAGGTTGTTCCCCTCCCTCCCACCAAAAAAGAAGGGGATAAATAATTCTATTTCAATCGCCAGTTTAGTTGCTGTTTGGGAAAGAAAACTTAATGTGCACAGCGTAAGTTTGAACATGAAGTCTGTTGCTTTTTTCTATTTCATGCATGTCTTGACATGGAGATGTCATGTGTATTTTCAGTTGATTTACAATAAGAATAATTGCTTTGCTGAATAACTGCATTGAGCAGCCTGTCCACGTTTTATCTACAGTGGCTCACAGAGAGCAGTGTATACCCATTTTATTGCTTTTTTAAAACACATTCACACACTTTCCAAAGTCACCTAGGTTCTGGTGATCAATTTTTTAAAAAGAGTCTTGTGCATAATTGAAAGGGACACCAGCACTTGGCTTCTTTCCTTCCTGAAAGGTGCTTTCATTGTGCTTAAAACATTACTGCTTATCTTGGATGTTTGTATTAATTTCCATATGGAACATAACTTTAGCAAGAATCCCCAGTTTTTATTTAGGAAATGGTGCTAAAATTCACCAAACAACACATTTCGATTTAGATTAACATTTAGCTTTCTTCTTACTGCAGCAATTCATAAACTCTCACTTTGTCCATTTTTATTCTTATGCTGAGTTGTCTCTCAGCTGAAGTGTGTGTGCAGCATCTCTTGCATAGTTGTGTGTGTGGCAGGAAGTGCCACAGTTCACAGGGCTCACCTTTGTCTGGTTGTTGGAGAAATCGGAACCTTGCATAGATGCAGTACTTTGAAACATTTTGAGTCCACAAAAGTGTTATTTTCTATAAAAGGCAAAAAATTGCGGTGTAACTTTTTCCCCATAGTTTTGAGAACTTTTCCCATAGCTTGCCTAATGAGTTGCTTGCATGATCCAGACTTGGGTTTGGTTAAGATCAACAATTTGACCTAGGAATAATGTACATCAACCTAACTTTGGCCGCTAGGCTTTAAAATGTGTTGGTCAGTTTTGCAATATGAATGCTTTCAGATAAACTCTTCTCCAATTCCCTTCCTCACCAAAGCAAAGCTATCTAGGCAGACTTTTTGCTTTGACTGAATTTTATACTGATAAACAAAAAAGCAAGATAATATCTGAGAATGACAGTTGTGTAGTATGATAAATATTATTATTATTATTATTAATAGAAGACCTGGTTGTAAGTGTGCCCTACTATTCTGCCTTCCTGTTTTTGCAAACACCAAAGTTATTATAAACTAGTAACATTCACAGAATGTTATTTCTTTGGCGGAGGGGGCAGACTTGTGCCACCCTAAGGCTGTAATTCTATGTGCACACTCACTTTGGAGAAAACCCCATTGATGTCAGTGGTACTTCTGAGTAAACATTATAGAATTGCACGGTAAATAGAGTTTGTGCCTATTTCTGAAGAAAATTTGAAAAGTGATGTTCTGATTAGAAAATGCATGTCTTTTAGGAGCAACCATATCCAAACATGGGTCCAAACAGAGACTAGACTAGTGTTAAGAGGAATCTGTAGCAGCAAGTTTAGTGATTGAGACTCAAATCTGCACTTGGTTGTTATGATGCTTGTCAACAGAATATAGGACATCCTTATTCTGCCCTTGCATCAGGCATAGTAGACCTGTTCTACTGATCTAGTTCATAATATGTGAAATATGAATGCCATATAAAGTAGTATAATATGTAGAAATCAACCAGATATAAAATGGGCAGCTGGTATTTTTCTGGAGGTTTCTGTGGCCCATCTGTGGGTCCATAGCTATGATGGGAGCAAGCCTTGGACACTTATGGTTCCCCTCTCCCCTTTGCTCCCCCCAAGTCCAAGAGGAGTTGGAAGTTTTTGCTTTTGATTAACTGCATTTTAGCATCACATCCAGATCTTATAATGTGATTAAACTTTACTTTATTTTCTTTCAAACAAAGACAGTTTCATAACCCATGGTTTGAAGTTTGTTTGTTTCAAACAAACCATGGTTAAATTTAAACCACCATTTGTTTGATCGGTCTCAACTTGTCATTTAAATGGAACCAGCATCCAGGACTTTCTGACTCTCATTCTTGTCATTATTGAGCCATGGTTTATTGAGATATCCAAATAAGCTCGCCGTATGTCCTGGTGTTTTTGTCTTACAATGATCTGGCTCATACAACATGCTAAACCTAGTGCAAATGAATGCCACTTAGTGCAACCACCACTTTGATCCTCCCTGGTTGTTTGCTGCTGAGCTAAGCCATGGTTTGCCTTAGCGTCCCATTAAAACATGGGCTCGTCACCAAGCTCTCATAGGCAAACCATGAGCCATAAACCATAGGACAAACCTTAATTACAGCTCCTGGTTAGTCTGGAGAGAACTAAACTGTGAGTCTGGCTTCAGCTGACACACTAAGCCAAGACATGGGTTAGCACAGCAGCAGAAAGACCAGGGTAGCAAAAGTGGCCTCACTCTACTTGCTTGCAGCCTGCAGAACCATGGTAAGCTGTGACTTGAGCTTGCATGTCATGCAAACCAGGCTACTGTCTGGTGCATCAACTTTTACTTTCAATAAATTTTAGGCACTATTATTGGAGCTCCAGATTGTTTGTAGTGACCTCTCATATTAAGGAGATCTTGTACAAGTAGAGAAAGGAGGCTAGAAAGTGCAATAAAATAATGGCTGTTTTGGTTTTGGGGGAGGGGGATACTTTATTGGGAGCAAGAGTCCACCTCAACCCTTGATAACAAAGTTTGTGTTTGTATTCCAGAATTTTTTTAAAAAAGGAGAATGCTTGGGAAGTCCAGAGTTAATTATTCCGAGCTGTCTGGAAAGGGTGGGTGCGAAGGAAATTGCATGTTGTGGTCAGTGTTTGAAACTCCCATTTTTCTAGGCGCGTTTTGCAACAGGGAATTTCATTAATGTGAGCCGTTTCTGAGCTTTGGGAGCAGTACTGCGCCTAAGATTTCAGATTAAAACTCCCACTGCTGGAACGAAAGGAGGACCTTTTTCTGCCTCTCCACTTCCAGCCACTCTCTTGAGAACTGGAGAAGGGACCCTCATAAGAATATTAGGGGGGCGGGCAGAGGAAGTATGGCTTTGTTGTTTGCAGCCTTCAGGTGAGGACTAGACCATGTGAAAAAGGAATATGAGATTTTAGCTGCAGTTCATTCATTTTCATCCTTGTATTCTTGTTATAAGAAAGGTGCACCTAGACATTCGGTCGCGGCACCCATAACCTAGGTTTAAGGTGCCATTTAGCTCCCAGCTTTCATATCTCAGTGGTTATATTATCCCATATAGATATTAGTCTGGTGTTTGTCAAGGGCAGGTCTGCGATATAGAGACAGGTTGTTTTTTTCACACCCAGAGACCAAGCACTTTACACGTTACACCCACTTTGCTTGCTTGCTTGCTTGCTTGTTTGTTTGTTTGTTAAATCCCAGCTGCACATGAATATAGGGGTCAGGGAAGGCCACCCAAATGTTTCTCTGTGCTTTCTTTCCAGCCCAGCCAGCAGAGCCGTTTCCTGTTCTTTGTTTCAAGGCTGGGGTTTGCGTCATACATTCCAAGTAGCATATGTGTGCTCTTTCCTGTTTCGGGCTGTTTTCTGGTAGATCAGTAGCCCAGCCACAACCCCTTGTCACTGCCCTACAACTCCCAGTCTCCACCCAGCGAATTATCATGTCTCTACACACTCAGCGATTGCCTAAGCAGCCTGTGTTATGTCACAAGGAGCCTGTGTGTTAGCATTTAAACTCCCACATTCTGTGCTACAGCGCGCAATTAAGGATACTTGCTGGGCGTGGGGAGGTACAGGTTTTTGAGACTTCAGAAGGGGAGGGAAGCGGTGGTGTGAATTGGAAGTAGTTTCACTGAAATGCATGAATGTTAAAAGTTTTTCTTTTCTTTTTTAAAGCAGACCACTCACTAATGCATGTAAATTCAACATCTGTTCTGGAGGGTTTTTTTCTAGCAAACATCATAGTTCTGGTTAAGCTTTACCTCTCTGTGGTGGTGATAAAAATGGTACTTAGAATATACAAAATACATTCAAGTGATCAAAGCCTTTCATATTCATCATTTTAGGCATGATGGAGGAAGCCTAACCCCTACCCAAAGCAAAATGTTTCATAGAATTGGGAAATTAATAGTGTTTGGAGGCACTCCATATTTTAACTCCAGAATTTAACTTCTGCCATAAGGCAGTGTGTCATCTTCCCAAACCGCTCGTGGAAAATGACTGTCCAGCCTTTTCACTTAAAACCCTAGTAAAACAGATCTCTGTGCACATCACGGAAGTGTTCCTAATCTGCATGTGAAGCAGGGAATTACAATTTCTCTTTGCAATGCGAAAAACTACGCATTCTTCTTTTGAATGAAATAGTGTATCCGATTGGGAAGCAAGGATGCATTCGCAAGGGAAAGAGGAAGAAAAAAAAATGTTCCAAGAGGAAGTTCAGAAAGAGAGCTTTGACCATCTGTATTATTATTATTGGGATTTACTACTGACGGATCATTTCACAGCTAACTAGTATTCTGTATTTACCCAGATAAGGAGGTTTGTACATGGAAGCAAGCTTTTTGCATGCCTAGCATTTGCTGGAACGGGGCCATTGATGTAAATTGGATGTACATCTGGATGCAGATGTTATCTACCTGCATGATACTACTTTCAGGAGGATGCTCATTTAGCTGCACATCTGCAACCACATTCTGGTGCAACTGGTCATGCAAAACGACGTGTAATAAGATCTGGATTGGGGCTTATATGGCACAATTAGCCGAAGTTAAATATTCCCTCAGTTCCATTAATTTCAAGCAAGCGTTTCCCACTCTTTCCAACTGAGATCAGTGTGGGAAATTTAGTAACTAGGTTGTTGCGCCCATTCTTCTTAGAGATACACTTATGGTATTTTGCATTTTTTTCTTCTCAGAAGTACGGATTTCGCGAACTTATTTGTGTAGATAACAGAAGCTAATCTTTTGGTAAGTTTTTATTTGCAAAAAGGAAAAAAAAAACCTGCTTTCCTGCAAAGACGTTAGATTTCTGATTGGGTTAATATTAAAATTGTGCATCGTGTTAATAAAGACCAACAAAATCATCAGCTGAAATACTGTACCTTACAAGCTGTCAGAGCAGATTAAGTTTAAAAAGGGAATGTCTGCTTAGTACTGTATATTCTATACAGTGGTACCTCGGGTTACATACGCTTCAGGTTACAGACTCCGCTAACCCAGAAATATTACCTCGGGTTAAGAACTTTGCTTCAGGATGAGAACAGAAATCGTGCAGCAGCAGGAGGAGGCCCCATTAGCTAAAGTGGTGCTTCAGGTTAAGTACGGACCTCTGGAACGAATTAAGTACTTAACCCGAGGTACCACTGTACTTCCTCTGTGTTAAGGATTGGAATACTAGACTGTAAGCCCTCTGCAAATTCAGAAAAGACATGTACTTTAGTCTCCTAGGATCATACCAATTCATGCAGATGGAGGTTACCTATTTAAATACACATTCCTGCCCTCTCCCCTTTTTAAAAAGAACCTTCTGCTCGTTTTCTATAAGCATATTAAGGAGAAGGGTATGCTAAAATGCTTTGTCTCCCATGTGATAAGCTTTCTATAGGCAAATAAATTTGAGGCAGATAAGCAATGAAGCCTGTGACTCTCGCCTGAATTCTACGCAGGGGTAGCCAATCTGGTGCTTCCCAGCTGTTTTGGATTACACCTTCAGCTAACATGGACATTGGTCAGGGATGATGGGAGTTGAGATACACAACATCTGGACAGCACTACGTTGGCTACACCTGACTAGTGCCTTCCATAGTGTGGATACTGGTCAGTGAAAAAGTTTAGAGTTTAGAAATTTGAAGGCTATCGCCTTGCTTCACTATTTTAATCCACTTAATCAACTATGATATTGGTTTTGTATATGCTTTAGTCAGGCATAACATAGTTGATCGTTTTAATGATCACATATCAACCTGGTCCATCCTTTAATACTACACTGCCATTGCCTTTTCTTTTTAAAAATAAAAATAACTGGACTTTTGTATATTTATTTATTAGGACTTCTTCGCAGTGAACTAAAATCAGGTATTTGAAGCTAATGTTTGTAAGTGTAGGTGATTTTGCTATTCACTGTAAGTCAAAGATACAGTGGTGCCTCGCAAGACGAAATTAATCCGTTCCGCGAGTGTCTTCGTCTAGCGGTTTTTTCGTCTTGCGAAGCAACCCTATTAGCGGCTTAACGGATTAGCGCTATTAGCGGTTTAGCGGCTATTAAAGGCTTATTGGCTTAGCGGATTAGCTGCTAAAAGGCTATTAAAGTCTTAGCGGCTTAGATAAAGGGGGGGGGGAGCGGAAAAAAAATCTCAAGACTCGCAAGACATTTTCGTCTTGCGAAGCAAGCCCATAGGGAAATTCGTCCTGCGAAGCAACTCAAAAACGGAAAACCCTTTCGTCTAGCGGGTTTTCCGTCTTGCGAGGCATTCGTCTTGCGGGGCACCACTGTACATAATTTCTGAGATATACTTTATAATTAAGTCATATATTTTGTAAAGACAGGTTATTGTAATAGCCAATGCTTCTAACCAGCAGGAAGCCCTTCTCTGTAGCCGGCATTGAAGTTTTGTGTTTTCATTTCAAGGTTTATTGCTTCCAATTCATAATTTGACATTTGGCAGGGTTAAGGAACAAATTTAACTCTTGCCTGTCTTAAGGCTCCATCTGGTGCCAAGGCTTCCTTATAGGGTTTTTAATAACAGTTGTTGATGTATTCCAAGGGTAGCTATCCTAACAGTTATGTAAGCCAAACAGAACGCTAGAAGTGCTGCATATTTTAAATACTAAGGTTAGCCATAATGGAAATTATGTGTGTGTGACTGTCTGGTACATGCGGTGAGCATGTAGTTTAAAAGCCTTGGCACATCAGAGAATGACCAAATTGCTTCTCTGAAGAGACACACACACAAAAAAGCTTATTTAATCATTTTTCCATACCCATCATCTTTCTTCCTCCTCTTCCCTAGTTTGATTTTTCGCAATTCACATATATCTGTGTAATGTTCCCTTCTGATTTTTACATCTTGCTCAGATCCAAAAGTCCAAACTCGCATGAATGATTTCACATATTGTTGCAATAGACATACACTTAACCTCTGTTAAGATCATACAAGTGGTCGTGGGACTGTGCACTCCAGCCCTTCCCATTTACAGCAGTTTTTCCTCCTCCTGTCTCCTTAACCACAAGGGTTATATTGATATGTTGGCAATGGTGGCGACAGCTTTGCACTGGAGCTGGTGGGGCAAGGGGGACACGGTGTACCAAGAGACCAGCTAGCAGCAGGTGGAGCCACAGGTCACCCTAGGCAGAGCATACTTGACTCCAGAGGCACACACAAGTGCAGTCATACCTCCGGTTAAATATGCTTCAGGTTGAGCGTTTTCGGGTTACGCTCCGCGGCGACCGGGAAGTAACAGAACATGTTATTTCCAGGTTTCGCCACTCGCGCATGCGCAGCCGCTCAAAATGACCTCATGCGCAGAAGCAGCAAATCGCGACCCTCAGTCGCGGGGTGCGTTATACTCAGGATACGAACAGGGCTCCGGAACGGATCCCGTTCGCATCCAGAGGTACCACTGTATGCACTTGACACAGACAACAGTGTTTAAGTGGTGGTGGAGTGGAAGAGAAAAACTAGGGACTGGGTGATGAGAGAGATGGTGAGACTAAATTAGCAGTGGAGGGGTGAGCAGCGCTAGATTTAGGGGTTGTGCGGGTGGTTCCCCCAAACTGGGCATCAAGACGAAGGGGTGCAATAATAATAATAATAATAATAATAATAATATGCCTATATTGATTCAGGTACCTACTGGGAAGAACTCAAAAAAAGCAACTGTACCCAAAGGAATTCTTGTGAAAATAAGAAATATTTTCGAGGAGGGGGTACCAAATTTTGTCCTTGGTTGGGGCGCCATGTTACCAAAGTCTGCCACTGGGGAGGGCAAAGTGTCAAGGAGGTGGTATGGGGCAGAAATAGCAACACTGGGCAGTGGGCCAAGCTTTTCTGAGCTACGAGAAAGGAAATCCGTGCCTTTTGGATCTTTTCGGTTCTATCCCCTCCCTTTGACTTGCCTATTCCTCCTGCTGCTTTTGAGGCAGTCTTTTGGCTCTTTAACTGCAGCACCAGCAATGTGATTGGTTGAAAGCACCTTGAATTAGTTCTGATTGGGCCAGGGACACCATTCTGAGTAAACATGGGGTGGGGCTGGGGTGTGTGAATATTTTGAATTGCTTGCAGTGGATTGGTTGTGAGTGTTGGGTGAAACAAACCAGTTTATGCAGATTGCAGCGAATACCTGTGCATGTAACTGTGTCGTGTTTGGCTAGGAAAGAAGGCTGTTTTGAGGGCTGGTGGGTCTTGTCACCCAACCTGAATACTTTTTTTTCTATAGCAATTTGCTTGCAGTGGGTGGGTGGGTGGGGAGCTGGTTTTTCCTCCTCCTGGAGAGTTACGGGGTTGGGCCAGGCCACAAAAATGCAGAAAGCAGGAAAACAGGCAGGGGGAGAGGGAGGGGGAGAGTGGGATCAAACTGTGCAGTGAAAGTGGAGGACTGGGGGCTGTTGGTGATGACAGCTTCTTTTGCCCTTATATTGATAAAAACCCTTACTGTCTTAAACTAAACCAGGGTTACTGCTTAAACAGGGTTCAAAACCACCTTTAAGTCTGGTTTCAAATCCTGGCTAATGTATACAGTGGTACCTCGGGTTACATACCCTTCAGGTTACATACACTTCAGGTTACAGACTCCGCTAACCCAGAAATAGTGCTTCAGGTTAAGAACTTTGCTTCAGGATGAGAACAGAAATTGTGCTCTGGTGGCGCGGCGGCAGCGGGAGGCCCCATTAGCTAAAGTGGTGCTTCAGGTTAAGAACGGACCTCCGGAACGAATTAAGTACTTAACCCGAGGTACCACTGTAATTCAGTTAAGAGGGGAGGGGAAAATTTGCTTCCGAGAAGGCGGAAGACACATATGATGCCTAAGGGCCAGGCCCTACGATGATTTATTAAGCATGGCTTAATATGTATGCCTTAGTGCCCAGAGTAAAAATGCAGATATTTCCCTTGTCTAGAAGAGCGACTGGTTGATTGTGGGGGTTTTTTTAGGGGATAGAAATCCTGGTTGGGAGTTGTGATAGGAATTTTGAGGCCCAAAGAGCTACCTAATAGGCCTGCCTAGTGGGATTTGTAATTTTATTATATGATATGATATATGGCTTGCTATCAAAGATCCCCAATTTGGAAGCCGAATAGGGCATAAAAAAATACCGTAGGGATTTCTGCACACTTGGTGGACTCTTTCCCCAAGTGTTTTGTAAATTAAAAGGAGGAGGACGGGAAGGGGAGGAAAGAAAGGGTCCCTGCATTGCAGGTGGTCCATTCCAGCTCTACAAATCTATGATGCTTAAGTGACCTGCTTAGGCTGCTAACTTCTCCTGGTCTCCACAAGGTGAGTAGAGTGCCAATGGGATGTACAGTGGTACCTCGGGTTACATACACTTCATGTTACATACGCTTCAGGTTACAGACTCCGCTAACCCAGAAATAGTACCTCAGGTTAAGAACTTTGCTTCAGGATGAGAACAGAAGTCATGCTCTGGCGGCGCGGCGGCAGTGGTGCTTCAGGTTAAGAACAGTTTCAGTTTAAGAACGGACCTCCAGAACAAATTAAGTACTTAACCCAAGGTACCACTGTATATCACAGGGTTTAAAACCTCCTCCTCTCTACTTTCTTACACTCCAGAAACTTCCACCCCACTCCACTGGGCTGGGGAAAGTATTCTGAAGAATGTTGTGGGAAAGGGGTCTTTTTCTTTTCTTCCTTCTCACCGGCCTGTTCCAAGACCTGAATATCATTCATTGCAAGGCTCCCTTTCCAGGTGGTCTGAGTCCTTGAACAGAAGCACTCCTGTTACGGGCTGGGTGTTATTCCCTTGAAGTCACTGCAGCTAGATTGTGCACATCTCCTATGTTTTTGTCCTTATTTTATTATTATTATTGGGAAAAGTTGAGTCTTAAAAAAAGCTGCTCTTTCGCTTCTGCTTGGAAAGGAAAGACTGTCATGCCATTATATATACCTCACTTGTTTTCAGAAGCCTGCTCTTTCTTCTTGCTCAACTTTGTGTCTCTGTTTCTCTGAAAGAAGTCGCTGAGACAGGAAGGCAGATAAGGGTCTGCTCTGATAAGAGAGCACATTGTCCCATGGCAGGAGGCACTCAGTGAAGTTTAGTTAGATGTAAAAATGGGGGCAATGGCTTGTTTTAGTGGAAACTGCTAAATCATAGTAGAATTAATAACTAGTATAGCTAGGCATCTGAGTCTGACTGTATTACAACTTTATTACATTTTTTACCATACCATTCCTGTATATGGCTAGCAGATTTGTATTCGTAAGGCTAAAAGTTGTTCCACATTAAATAGAATACAGGCTTGTGGGGTCTTCGTGAAACCTTTTCCTGTTGCAGACTAAAGTCCTCTGTGATTTCCTGCTTTTTCTCCCAATTTCTCAGATTTTATTTTTTGTGCCTGCAATTTATGCTGGGTATATTAATCAACCAAAACTTTAGTTGATTCATCAGTCAGAGCCAAACATAATCAGTAGGGCCAATCCACTGAGGAACACGTTCATATTTTGTGAGTCTTCTTTTGCTACTGGTGTGGAAAAGAAATTCTAATAGCTTTTCTATCTAACATGGTAGCTTTTGCTTGTTGTTACGACTTTGTTAAGTAGCTTGCAAAGGCATATATTCTGTGGTTTTGGTAATATGAAGAGTTGTTTAAATTTCTTTCATCTATTAACCAGTCATTCAGTGGCAATTTTCTTTTTGTTAGTGTTGTTGATTGACAACCCTATTTCCCTCATCATAGACCCTGTTATTTTTCTCTTCATTTCCACCCTGTACTAATTCAATAACTATTTGATACAAATGTGAAGTTTAATATAGTTAACTGTTAAGATTTGGGTGAAAACAGTGGCATCGTAGCACGTGCTGAAGACCCAAGTTACAAAGAAAAGGCAAATGTTTTCTTTTACCCGCTCTGTGCCCTTTTCCAAGATACCCTGAAGAATTTTAACCCAAATCCTATATATGGTGAACTGCTGGGTTTAGGTCATAGAATGTGTTTTTTTCTTAAGAAAAATATTGAATTGAAATGGAATAGAATGGTCTGGTGCTAAAAGGACCTTTAAAAACAACACCACCTCTCTTGTGTGATTTCTGACTCGTTAAAGTTTATATATTAATCCTCCAGAGACAGTAGTAGTTCTAGTTGTAAGATTGTGCTTTCTCAACTAACTTGACACTAATATCCTTGGGTAGGATTAGTTGGAATCCTAACCTGTTTTTCCTCTTTGTCTGATTTCTATGGGGCCATTTCTGGACACCAAATAGGCAGGGGGGAGTGTGCAGGCACTGCCTTCTCTCAGCTGAGGAGGAAAAAACATAATTGTGGTCTAACCTCTGAAGATACAGCGCAGTTTTAAAAATATTTATTCATAAATACATCCTACTGATTTCACTGGGACTTAGGGTGCTTCTACACAAGGTGTTTATTTCAGTTCTGTGTCCACTCATTTATAAAATCGCTGTTCTCCCATGGTCTTCCGTTTCTTTGGAATCCCTCCCCCCCCCAAAAAAAGTTTACTTTTTAAAGTTTACTTTCTTTAAGGGGTGGAACAGAAGAAGCACAGTCTCTGCAAGTGTAGATCGTAGCACCATTCTTCATTCTTTGCAGAAAGAGGTGGTTTCAACAAGTGCAGTGACCCAGAATTGCAGAGCCTAGGTAGCTCTGGAAGTCGTCATTCTGGAAGCACTCTTACTTCCTGGCACACCTTCTTGGAATTGTAGCCATAGAGTCACAGAATCATAGAGTTGGAAGAGACCACAAGGGCCATCGAGTCCAACCCCCTGCCAAGCAGGAAACACCATCAGAGCACTCCTGACATGTGGTTGTCAAGCCTCTGCTTAAAGACCTCCAAAGAAGGAGACTCCACCACACTCCTTGGCAGCAAATTCCACTGTCGAACAGCTCTTACTGTCAGGAAGTTCTTCCTAATGTTTAGGTGGAATCTTCTTTCTTGTAGCCTTAGAGATATAAGAAACCAGAGATAGTGGAAGCAGATGTTAGAAGTTTTGAAACTTCAGAAGAGTTTAGGAAGCCCAAATTAAGTTCTTCCATCAGCACTTGGGGCACAAGTTTTTAAAAGAAGAAGAAGAAGAAGAGTTTGGATTTGATATCCCGCCTTTCACTCCCTTTAAGGCAGGGGTCTGCAACCTTTAAGACAAAAAGAGCCACTTGGACCCGTTTCCGAAGGAAAAAAAACTGGGCGCCGCAAAACCATTGAGACGTTTAAAACAAATATATCTCCGGAGCCGGGCGGGAAGGTGACGTCGGGACGGTGCGTGACTAACACACGCACCGCCCCCATGCGACGTCACAGCCAGTACAGCGCCCGCCACAGTGGGGAGTGTCGGGGTGCACAATGCGCCTCCTCCCCTCGCTAGTATCCGCCCCGGAGCTGCGGCAAAGGTGTAAAAGAGCCACATGCAGCTCCGGAGCCGCGGGTTGCAGACCCCTGCTTTAAGGAGTCTCAAAGCGGCTAACATTCTCCTTTCCCTTCCTCCCCCACAACAAACACTCTGTGAGGTGAGTGGGGCTGAGAGACTTCAAAGAAGTGTGACTAGCCTAAGGTCACCCAGCAGCTGCATGTGGAGGAGCAGAGACGCGAACCCGGTTCCCCAGATTACGAGTCTATCGCTCTTAACCACTACACCACACTGGCTCTCAAAAAACCATAAGTGGAACCTCCCAGCACCATTGGAAGATATTTTCTTTATCCCTGCTTACATGTGGAAATGCCGATTAAGGCGAGTTTTTCAGCATTCCTCTTCCACATAGTATGGGCCAAGCCATGAATGGTGAACAGCCTTGAAATGTGTAGATGCTGGATCTCTGCGCTCTATTCTGCTATGTCTGGCTTCTTTCCTAGAAGCAGCCTCTGCCACATATTTACCAAGATTGTGTCTCCTTGTGGTTGTCCTGAATTTTCTTCCCGTGTGTAGCAGAACATTTACAATGCTACTAAATAAGCCTGATCAGAGCATTTAAAGGTTTTGTGCATTTAGAGACCATCAGCATTTTTGATGAGTGTATAATTTCTAGAACAAATTGAAGAAGAAAAGGAAGAGTCTTCTGGCATCTTAAAGGCTAACCACTTTGCTATGGAATATGTCTTCATGACTATTGTCCTCTTCATCAGATTTATGAAGTGTTACCCAGATTTAAAGAGGGAGAGACTTGCAACCAGACAGATCAGAAGGAAATGAAAGGGATAACTGTGTTATTAATGCTGGTCATTCATATTTGTTGATGAGTCGGACGTGTTGGGTTGGGGGTCTTTCCTGGAGGGTTTTGTTGGCAGGGGGTCGTTGCTGTTGGCTGTTTTGTATCTTTATTTTAGATCTTGTGATGATTTATGCAGAAATGGTTGAGTTGGGTTGTGTATTTTTTTAACGTTTATTTCTTGCTAATGACTGCTTTTGTTATGTTGCAGTTATGTGTTTTTTCTCTCCATTCTGTAAGCCGCCTTGAACATGGAACTGTGGAAAGACAGCATAGAAATAAAATTATGTTTTTGTGTTGGCATTGGTAGGCCACTTAATACTTGGGAGTGTAATTAAAAACATATATAGTGCCAGTTCAGTCCACATGTGATGGCACTGAACCTCTTGATGTATTGTAATCCAGCAATTTCACGATGCGTTTTGAAGTTTCTTGGTTTCCAATGTGGTCAACTTAAGATCACAGTGTCCTGGGAGGCTGAAATAACCTCCCACTGGTTTCTCAATATTTCCATTTTTCATGCTGGATTTGTGTCCATCTGTTCTTTTGCGTAGAGACTTGTCTGCTTGTCCAATGTGTAATGCAAAAGGTGCTCTCAGCAGGTGATTGTATATTTCACACTGGAATATTCACAGGCAAATGGACTCCTGATGATGTGGACGACATGATTAGGTCCTGTAATAAATAATGTTGCCTAAGTAGACTTGGTGTAGGGCTGGCATCTGTGTCGACCAAATTGTGTTGTAGTCAACTAAACTACAGCAAAATAACACAGCATTAGGACAGCATAAAACCTAAGGGAGCGTATTTTTTTTCTGCAAAGAGACACACCCCACTCTAACAAGCCGTAAAACCAAAAGCTGTTGCAAAAAGGTTCTTCAACATCTGCAGATATTGTATAGACAAGGAGGGAGAAAGCCCTCTAACCTCTCAGGGCAGGGAGTTGCAGATACAGGGGGCTACCACGGAAAAGGCCCTGTTTTGTGTTGTGCTGCTAGAAGGCAGCAGCCCCCATAAAGTCCCCCCTCTACAGATCTTAAAGGATGGGTAGATGCATTTGGGAGAAAGCAAGACTTTCAGGTAGCTTGGAGCCAAGCTGATCCATGCAGGAAGAAACAAATAGAGTCTTGATGAGGCAAAATAGGGGGGATTATTGAGTTGTCTTTGTCTCAGTTGTGTATTTTGTGTTTTGTATATTGTCGTTTTATGTTGTGTACCACCCTGAGAACTATGGGTATAGGATGTTATATAAATAGCAACAACAACATGAAAATATGTCTGGAGCATTTTAACAGTGCAATCCTAAACCGGACTCCTCAGGAGTAAATTCCATTTGAGTCCAACTCTCCATTGAAATTAATGAGACATAACACATCTTGTTGAAATCTGTGCTGTTGAAATCAATAGGATCAAGAGTCAGAGCATGCCCCAAAGTACTTAACTTTGCCTGGGTCGTGTCCTGACTCCGTCGGAAGATTAATCTTTTTTAAATCAAGTGCATAAATTATATTTCCCTTATCCAGGTTCCTTGGCACACGCTTGTGCTCTCTCTTTTCTAGTAGGTTACAGTTCCAGGAAGTGCCTTAGAAGTTTGCTTGGACTTTTAACTGTGCACCTGTCCTTATTTGCATGGAGAAATCAATTGCTTCACTAGCCTCACCGAAGGACAGGGTGTGAGCGAAAATTTTATCAAAGTGTGTCCTGTTTGGACAAGTCGAGTTGCCTTGGCAAAGGTCCAGAGGGTGGAGCAGCTGGGAGGAGGCTGGAAAATAAAACTGTGTGGCTTGTTAACACACACACACACACACACACACACGAATGTTTGCTTACCGCATCATTGCTAGTTATGTAGTTTCATATTACATATAGCCTACATACTTCTACCTATATAAAATATTTAAAGCAAAATTAGCTCGTCCAATTTGTAGAAATTAAGCACCTCCTCTGAAGTGGTGGCCTAGATAGTTAAAGGTGGTTGTTGTGGCCGCTTTTTCTTCCCACAATTAAAATATATATATAGTAGCTTGCAAAATATGCCATATATGAATTCTGCAAATTGACACATTACAACTGGACGCTATACTCAGAATATCCTTAATGTAGTTCCTTAATTTATCTTCTTTCTGACTTGTTCCTCCTCTTTGGTTCCTCTTCTTTGGTGGAACAGTGGTAAAACTCCACTGTTTTACCAGATAACTATCCCTAAAATATTCAACATTTTTGTCCTCCTTGGTACAGTTCAGTTATTTATATAGTTCCCTTGTTCAGTTACTTAGATCTCATTTTAAAAAAAAATACTTTTTGTGAATTGGGGCATTTTATCAGTACTGTTGTCAATAACAATACATCTCTCATTCTTCAGTCTCCCATGTTCCTACAGTTTTTTGTCTCAATAGCTGCTGTATTTGCTTTCGAAGTTCATGGAAGGTTCCATCTAGTACCTCAATAGGAAGTAGATTCTAGACCTCAGATGGTGGTTCTGGTAAATATGGGATTGGAAAGGGAAGAGTTGTAAGATTTACTCCTTACCTCTGTCTTGGAAAGACAATTATGAGCACTGATAGCTGGCTTGAAACCACCAAATAAGCGTTTAGGAATGTTTTTCCACGTCGGCCATAATGAGTTAGAGCTCTTAATATTTCTGACGTATGCAAGGAATCTACTTGGCCTGGCCTGAACCAAACATTTTCTGCTTACCATTGGTGAAAAACACAACCCATGTAAGAATCTCATGTTTTGCCAATAGCCTCCACATGATTCCTACCAAAACTTGGAGAAATGTGTGAATTGGCGTTCCATGGGTATAAATAATCACTGCTAAGACCCCTTTTTTGTATCAGCCAGCCCTAAGTCTGTAGAATGCACTGCATTACTAAAAGCAGAAACTGAAACTGAAGAAAAGTCGCAGTCCTCCTCCTTGTATAGCTCAGGTGGTTAAACTTTTCAACAGACGACGGAAGTGCAAAAGTTCAAGCCACTCTTAGAGGCTGAAACTTCACAAGTCTGTTCATCAAAGAATTTCATCTACCTAGCAAAACCGTAAGCTATAGGCAAGGGTTATATTTAAAGCACTATCATTGTGGGTGAGCGGATATGACTTGATGGAGCATGACTTTTTTCTTACACAGGGAGGGGAGAATTAGTGACACAGCACATGCGTTGCATGTTTTAAGGTCCTAGCATCTGGTACCTTAAGGGAAAAGCGTTTGGGGTTAGAGCACCGGGGAAATCCTCTGCTTGAGATCTTGAGTCAGGATCTGCAGTACTATAAATAATTGTGTCTTGATCCTTAGGCTGAATCCATTGCTCTGCATATTGTCTAGGACAGGGTTGGCTCAGTAAGCTGGGGCTGCAGCAAAAAAAAATATTGTGAATTACAATGCTGCAGATGGCACTGCGTTTAATCAGTTTTGCCTGTAATTTTTCATAAGACGTCATGTGCTCCATAGTTGCAACCTTAAATTGCTTGATCAGGCAAAACTTAAAGGTGATAATGAAATTTCTGCATTCATGTCCGCCTAACCTGAAATTGGCCATGGATAGCACAATGCCTGTCCTAAGTGAGCTCTCATTCCAAATGAACGTGAAAGATAATAATAGGTTTTCCTTTCAAGGCAATTGGCAAACCTGTCTCAGTGTACACCAGAAAATTTTACCGCCTCCCTTTGTCTACCAGCTCCTGCCAAAGGGTCCTTGGAAGAGGAGTTTAGGAATAATCTGATTGAAATTAATTGCTTTTGTGTTATCCTCTTTATTCTTGTTTTGTTTTATTTTATATATTTGTAATGCCACCCTATACCCACAGGTCTCAGGGCAGTTACAACATAAAATCACAGTATAAGAACACAAAATATCTTGTGGCATTTTATGTTATAATTGTTCTCTCTTCCTTAGGTGGTGGTTTGGGGTTTTTTTAAAACCCAAAGCAGTTATGGGATTGACTCAGTGTTTTACCAGTGTTCACTATGTTCTGGTTTCCAGAGGTGTTGTGTGATTCACCATTTGTATCGTTTCCTTTGGAACCTCTGTCTACCTTGAAAAGGCTCCCTTTGATTCATTGGGCAAAATACAGAGAGAATTTCAAAAAACGACTTGTTGAATTCTATGCTTGCAGTGAAATCTACCGCAATACACAATGGATTATTCTTTGTTGCATATTTTTAGCGCCACCTATGGATGCAAACAAACAGTGTCGCGCTTAAGAACTTGCATATTATTTAGGACAGGATTAAGTAAGGTATTGAGTGTATTGTTCAGCACTTGAGGCCGAACCACCTGCAACATTATGCAGATGGGGGGGGGTTATATGTAATGTTCATATGAGTTTAAAGATAACCTTTTGACATTTCAAAAAATTGTTTCCTTAGTGCTTATTCACACGATTCTGCAAGACTTAAGTCTGGCAATGTGCTTTTTCTAAAAAATAAAAATTTAAGATGGCAAACTTTATTTAGATGCTAACAAAAGCTTATGGGGCACAAAAAATATCCTGAATGGGGGGGCTATAGATCCCATGCATGGCTGACATAACTCAATCTCCGCCACTGCAATTTGGGAATAATAATGATATATCTTATTTGCACTGGAAGGGTAATTTAAAAAATGCAGTGGAAGGGTAATTTAAAAAATGTTTACAAACCATAGAAAGTAAATTAGTTTGTGATCTAAACTCAGGCCCTATCTTTGCTGCTGTATTTTATTTTTGGTGGATGTACTGCTCTCCAATTGCATCTACACTAAAATCCTGGCTATCTGACCTTTTTTTTCTATGGGACAGCAATCACCAAAGAAAAGACTTAAAAGAAGTTCCTTCTCTAGGCAGCAGTTGTGTCGCTGTTAAGCTGCCACCTCTCATGCTTTACTGAACTGTCTTAATGGCCCTATCTATTTAACACAGGGGCAGATTTTGGCCAGTTTCCACTGGGTGCCAACACTAGAGGGCATTGCAGGACTTTGCAACTATAACTGAAAGGTGGGGAGGCATCCAATTTTGGCCTTGCACAGGGCGCCACTGAAATTTTAAAGACCAAAGTCCGCCACTGATTTAACAAGTCACATGTTGAGTATAAAAATGCATAGCAAGTCTGCTACTTCTCGTGTCTTTGAAATAAGTGGCCATACTGTCTGCCCTCTTTAAATATTTCATTGGTCCAATACGTAAAAAAATTCTGCTCCATCCATAACATTATTTCTTTAACTCCTGTTGTTTTAATGCTTTTCCTGTTGACTCTTGGAAAGTTTGGCAACTGTTGATGATATTTAATACAAGCAATTTTATTTTTATAATTAGCTTGAGATGGGCGACGTATAATATTAAGAGCAGGTTTCCCCCTGTTGAGGGCAGTGTTAGGCTCTTTACAGTTGCTACGAGCACAATTACTGAGTTCTACTTAATAAAAGCTTTCCTTTTGAGAAATAATTTTGCCATCAATTCTGAAGCTTGATTTAGCTCTCGTTTTGCTGATCCTTTCCTAATTAGTTCCCGCTATTGTAACATGAGAGGGAATTTCTTCCTTTCCAGAAATAACGGTCACTGTATTCTATCGGAATACAACTGTTTTGCGTGCTCTGAGCTACAGGAATGTGAATTGGAAATGATACAGAATTCGTAAGATTTGTTACCCAGAGCTTAGGCAATGCCAACTGGGACTTGTTATTTGAGGGCCCGTCCTAACAATTAAAGGGGAATTAACATTGGTTTTGGGGAGCAGGGAGGATTACTAGTACTTACCTTTAATCGTAAAATTTGGTGTGTATCCCTCAGTTCTATTCTGGAATACTGAGATTGTCCCACAGGAATCAAGTGAAACTGTCTTGTTTACATCTTACAGCCTGTATCTCATGCCAAATAGTTAAATGATTTCAGCTTTGACTCCTTTGAGCTATGTCAGTTATTGCTTCCGTGGTACATTTCAGTCATCCTTACAAAGCACTGTTCATGCCCATTTTACCTTTGGAAATTGAGGCCCAGAGCTCTCCCAGTGAGTTCACAGCTCATGCAGAGCCTAGAATCGAAGTTCCAACAGGAGGTCTTATCATCTAACCCCTGGTTTAAACTGCCTCTTAGGTGGTATTAGAAATCAGTTCCAGACTTTAGGATAAATGTCGACAGATGCAAAGGCTTTCCAGCTGACATAACAGCATGTGAAGGAACTGTACAGGATTTCCCCCATAAACAAGGTGTGTTACTTTAAGACCTCATTGCGGACACCGAACATGTGAGCAGGACATCTGTGTGATTAATGCATTCTCTTCTGTGGAGGAAAGAGAACCAAGAGTGTTTGGTTATTTGTAGCTGCTGCTTGTGCTAATTATTCTGAATTAAATCTGGATAAAAACATCAAAGTAGTTCAACATCTGGCAGTGGGGTTCATATAAGCCATGGGTAGGCAAACTAAGGCCTGGGGGCCAGATCCGGCCCAATCGCCTTCTAAAACTGGCCTGCAGACAGTCTGGGAATCAGTGTGTTTCTACATGAGTAGAATGTGTCCTTGTATTTAAAATGCATCTCTGGGTTATTTGTGGGGCGCAGGAATTCGTTCTTTTTCCCCCCTTCAAAATATAGTCCGGTCCCCCACAAGTTCTGAGGGACAGTGGACCAGCCCCCTGCTGAAAAAGTTTGCTGACCCCTTATAATAGGACTCTTATTTTTTCTAGCAGCTTTTAAAAAATAAAACAAGTTTTTGTATTTGTAGGGCTTGACAACATATTTCCTATTGTAACATAGACGTGGGTTTTTTTTTAAGAGGTAGATATTTGCTTTTAAGCCAAAAAGTAGTACTCCTGATAGCATAAATGCAAAGGGATTTCCTGAAGTTTTGAGACAGTATCGCACAACTTCATACATTGTGTTGCCCTAAGAGTTTCTGAGGATAAGCTGCGAAGTTCCTCGTGACAAACTTACTAGGTGGTCTTAGGCATGCCATTATTAGCTTCTTGCGGGCACCCGCAATGGCTACATGGAGATGAGAATGCAATTTTAAAAGTATAGAGCAGGCATAGGCAACCTTTGGCCCTCCAGATGTTTTGGCCTACAACTCCCATGATCCCTAGCTAACAGGACCAGTGGTCAGGGATGATGGGAATTGTAGTACAAAACATCTGGAGGGCCAAAGGTTGCCTATGCCTGGTATAGAGCTATTCTAAGGATTATGGAGATAATACGGTGTTTTGCATGCGTTACTTGCATGCAGGCCTTGCCCAAGCACAGTTGAGAGGGGACTCACACTTCTACCCCTGCTCCCAATGTTGGGTTGTTTTCTCCAATAGCAATAAGCTGTGCCCATTTGTTTGCATGCCGTACATGCAATTAACTCCTATGCACAGTAATGTAAAATATGTTCACTTAAGAGCTGGGTATTCTACAGGTTTCTCGTGCTTTGTTTTTTCTCAAAACCCTCTCTTGCTTTCCCCCCTCGTGTTTCTAGAGTCCTGCACAACAATATAAGTAAAGCTGACTAAGAAGATGCTAATGTTTGACCCTGTCCCCATCAAACAAGAAGCAATGGAACCCGTTCCAGTGGTTAGTATTTAAACATTTTTTAAACGTTTCTGTTGTCATGGGTTATATTCTAGTCATGCTGTGCTGAAACCTACCCCCTGCCCCCAATTTCACAAGTCGTTTCTTTCCTTGCAAACAAGGCTCCTATTTTGTTTTGGTTTTTTACTCCTTCATAACCAGGGGCCATTTGAATTTCTTCAGAATTTTGGTGGGCGTTCAGCTTTAATCATCACAAGGTGGGCAGGAGTTGTATGTGCATTTCTTTCCATTAAACCGCGCTCTGCATCCTTCTTAGCTGTCGGCACCTCCTGCGGCAGTAGTTACCTCACAGCATGCTCCCCTGAACTTTAATTGAATTGCAGAGTTAGGTTGTGAGGGCCTGTGATCCATGTGCTTTCTGATTTTCTATTTAAGAAAGAAGGACCTTCCTTTTAGCTTGACAGAATCTTTCTGCACCAGATTCTTTCAAAGTGAAAAAGACCACACACACACACACACACACACACACACACACACATGAACAGGTGTCAGGTGCATAGTAGGCTGCTTCCTACTTCTTACAGGAAAGCACACCTGAACCTATGGGGAAGCTTTTTGGAAATGCGGGCATCCAGGAAAGTTGCAGAGTGCAAAATCTCCAGAAGGATCATTTGTACAGGAGAAGAAATGACACTTCCACAAACACCCCTGAGCTGCTTTTGAAGTAAAGTAAGCGCTGTGGGTTAAACCACAGAGCCTAGGACTTGCCGATCAGAAGGACGGCGGTTCGAATCCCCGCAATGGGGCGAGCTACCGTTACTCGGTCCCTGCTCCTGCAAACCTAGCAGTTTGAAAGCACGTCAAAGTGCAAGTAGATAAATAGGTACCGCTCCGGCAGGAAGGTAAACGGCGTTTCCGTGCGCTGCTCTGGTTCGCCAGAAGTGGCTTAGTCATGCTGGCCACATGACCCGGAAGCTGTACACTGGCTCCCTCGGCCAATATAGTGAGATGAGCGCCGCAACCCCAGAGTCGGCCACAACTGGACCTAATGGTCAGGGGTCCCTTTACCTTTAAGCACAAAAATAAATCACTGCGCACCACCCATGAGAGCCACTGACTAATTAGGATAGCCTCCTTTTCCCTGACCAAGGTGCTGTGTATTTAACAGGCAAGAATTCAGCAGGTTCAGTTTTCCTGCCTGGCGATGCAGTGGTGCTGAACATCAGCTGTTAAGGGCACGGGGGGGGGGGGGGGGCTCTGCAAGTGAAAAGTGGTGACTCGACATTTAACAAGACCTGAGTCTTTTTAAGTCTTTCTCTTTCTGCGTTTGGTCCTGTTAGCCTTACTTGCATTTCCCATGTTTTCTCTTGCTGTTGATGTTTGAGATTTTCTGCCTGAGCTACACAGAGGTTGTAGGAGAGAAGGGAGCACCTTGGCAGTGTTCAAGGAAATGAGCTTACGGTCTAGGATGTTCTAGGGTGAGTCTGGTGCCATAAGCCTGTTTGCTTTGTTTGCCTCTGTGTACTTGGAAAATAGTCGCAAAGGGGAAAATTTGAATAGAGGATTGTATGTGAAGGCTTGCTGGTAATGAGAAGCTTATACAATTAGATCATCTTTGTGTGTTTGGCTGCTGATATTCCTGCCAGCGGTTATACAAGATGTAAGGGTCACTTTGAAATAAAGTTGTCATGGATATTTGTAATGTTTGTTAGAAAGTATCCAATAACAGTGTTCAGCTTTTGGTTCAATTTTAATTTTAAGAAACACTCTGCTTGTGGGGGACATTTCCGATAAATGCTTCTTTACCTGGATATATTTTAATAAATGCTTTCATAAAGGAAGTTTTAAAACTTCTCCTTTAGTTATCGCTGTTTTGGTCAAGAAAACTTAAGAACTGCCCTTTGGGAAATGGATGCAATTGCCCTCCTAAGTAATTAGTGTGGTTGATTATAGACCAAAGTACTTATTGGTTGCTGTTCCAAAAGATAACTGCTATGTTTTCCTCAAAGTAGCTGTAGGCTTATTTCTGCAGAGAGGCTGGAAGTAATTTGCTAGAAATAAGCGGGAATCCATCGGCAGATAATTAAAGGCTACCTCTGGCATAACATGTACACGAGGTTTAATGCTACAACAATGTAATAACGTGTGCATTACATTGCATGTTAGCAAGTGCATCCTTGTCTTGTCAGCCCATTTGTAGCATCCTTAAATTAAGTAGCCGGTGTTTTTTTTAAAGGGATTTGCAGCCAAATTGATACAGAGTTTGAAATTTCGGTGATGTTTAGAGCAGCTCAGAGTCCATGTGATGTTGACTGCACTTTGTGACTTCTGGCCAAAAAAGTCACAAAAAGAGGGATAAGCTTGCTTTGCATCACTAGTGTACTGGTTTGTAAATAATGATGGATGAAGACCAAAGAGAGCAGTGGTATTAACAGGGAAAGTTGGTCTTCTTCAAAGACTTCATTGTAACACTCCCATCTGTAGCTGATAGCATCAGTACCAGGGTGTATCTCTAAATTGGTCTTGGATGTTAAGCGGATTGCAGCAGTGAGGATTTGGTGTGTGTGTGTGTGTGTGTGTGTGTGTGTGTGTGGTAGAGAGAGAATGTGTTTGAGTGAGAAGAGGAAGTAAGAAGAGGTGATGACTTTGTGAGGACAGGCTTCAGATATAAACAGGAGAGGGGTGTGTGTGTGTGTGTGTGTGTTAAGTTCATGGTCGAAGTAGTGTAAATGCATTCATACTGCTAGGATAGCTCAGTCAGTAGAGCATGCGACTCTGAATCTCAGGATTGTGGGTTCAAGCCCTACATTGGGCTAAAGATTCCTGCATTGCATGCGGTTTGGACCCTCATGGACCCTTCTAGCTCCACAATTCTATGCTCCTGTGATCTATGGTTTTATGAGTGACAAATTTATTTATTTCATTTCTGGATGGCTTCTTAAACCAAACCTTGGCTTAGTGTGGCACGGCAGCAAAAGGGATCAGGGAGGAACAGAGTGGGTGTAAAACCAGAAGCCTATGCACTCATGCCAGCAAAGTTTGACTTGGTGTGTTGGGAGAAACCAGACCAGTGTAGCTCCTGCAGTCCCCTTAAGCTTTGGAAGTGGGGGAAGGAAGAGAATTTAAGGCGGCAAAGCGTGTGGTGTGTGGAAAGAAGTTCAATATTCTGCCTTTGGAAGGTGGAGTAAAACTACCCTCATTTCCTCTTGCAAATCTTACGATTCTAATCGAGAGCATTGCGTTTGCTGCAGTATTTGGCAAAATTGTCACGCGGCCCAACATTTTCTCCCGCTTAAAACTTGACGTTTTTGCACAAAGACATGCTGGTGAGAGTGGAGCGCCACCAGTGTATATAACACAGTTTTTAGCACCAGGAAAAAGAAACGAAGTTGAGTTTTAGCAACGCCTTAAGGGTGCGGTTTTAAAAGGTTTACCACAATCGCATAATGGCGGGACACACCCACAGCATTTTGTCATCTCTCTGGTGGACCAGGCAGTTTGGGAATGGTGTTACTACATACACACATGAGTGATAACTATATAGTAGATATGTAATTACAGAGTCTCCTGAGCTCCACCCTGTTGTGACTACATGTGATGTGAAATAGTTAATGTGGTACTTGTTACCTTGGAGTAAACAGTGCCACTGAAGTTTCCAGAAAAGCACTTTGCTACACAAATTAGCAGCAGATGCTTTTGCTATTAGAGTGTCCACTTTTGAGGCCTACATTTGGTTTAAAGGAAGTTAGGGTACACTTGCTTTTTAAGTAAGTCGAATACACAAATCTCCCGCAGAAGAACAGGACTTACTGTCCATTGAAGAAGACCTGCATAAATCTTCCTTTTGAGAGGAGATTTGACGTGAGTTCTTAGTGATGGTGATTATTAATCACCACCCACTGTATGCTACGTAGCAAGTTCTGTCAGATTAACAGCTAAGTTGCCTCTTTACGAGAGCATTCATATCTGGGCGGAGATCACAAAATGTGACTTGTTTAGCTGGACTTTGTCCTAGGTGTGGACGAGTGGAGAAGAAATACGTCAACTCCCTGGTTATTTGGATTATATTGCTTTCCAACTTATGCATATTTGAAAAGCAATCTTGGTCAGGATAGACCTGGAAAAATCCCTGACACATGACTGATGTCTCAAAATTGGATGACACATATTAGACAGCCTTCATCAAGAACATTCTTGCCGGTATTTCTGTATCCTCATGGAGCTTGCATATAGAAGTAGGATTCAGAGAGAGAGAGACAAAGCACCCTGAATAATTGTTTGCTGTGCCAGAGAACATTAAGTGACATATTTGAATAGTCTTTCCCTTGAAGCGCTGCTCCTTTTAGCCAGATACCCTTCTTCTCTTATTATAGAAAAGCTACTTGAAAAGTTGCAGATGGCTATAAACTGAGCACTTCGTGCTCCTTATAGCCCAGGGTCTCCAAATTAGAGAATTGCTACTCAACATCTAATGGTGTTGCCTTGCAATGTGTATGTGGCCATATAACTTAAGCAGTATTACACTTATTTCATCACTCAATGGCTTGCATGCCTAAATTGAGCATGTATGCTGTCTCTTTGTGATCTATCTGAAAAACAGAGCACCCAATTCTGAAGTTCATCACATCCATTTTTTATTTTTTTTATTTTTTTGCTTATCAAAATCCAGGAGCTGGCATTTATTGGAAACAGTATACTAGGCCACAGCAGCTGGTCTAAACAAGCATCTTATCTGTGATAAAAATAGCTTTTGTGTTCAGCAGTAGTTTGTTAACTACTTCATACCTGTAGGTTGTTTTTGAATATTAATTAATCCAGTTTATTTATTTATTTTGCTTGATTTATTTATTTTGCTTGGTTTGAATGATCAAATCCAGACTTAACCAGCTGTGCAGTTCTGTGTAGCTGCAATGCAGCCTCTGTGCTGGTAGGGAGGCAAGCCATGGTAAACCACAGCAAACTGAAAACATGGTTAATGGTTTCCAAATCAGCCAAACTGTTAACCATAGTTTCTGGTTCAGATTCATGCAGCAGGACACCTGGTTTGATAGTAGCTTCCTGACATCTTTTCCTGCTCACATGAAGGGAGCAAAGGAGCGCTGCGTGGGGATCAGTTTGTGGAGGTTATACATAGCTTGGCTAATTAAGCCAGAAGTTAATTAACTGAATACAGCCATTGTTTCCACATACTATTAGGATAACTCGGGACTCTGCCTGGTAGGCTTAAGACGCAGTATGCCATGTAATCGCTGTGATCATGCTGTTTCTAACTACGCTGTATTAAATGTAAAGCTTTCAAGTAATATAGCACAGCCAGAAAGATAGTCTTCATGCAGTGACTGGGTCATACTTTTTTTTTTTTTTTTTGGCTCACTTGCTTTTATTTATTTTATAAATATAAAGTTGCAGAATAAACTCAATTTATTGATAATAAATTATTAGAAACCCCCCCACCATTTCTTCTAATATGAAAACATGCAATCAGCCAATTTAGCTTCACTGTTTTCCTGTCACAACGCAAACAACTTTAGAATCTTCCATGCAGCCATTCAGACAACATGAAAATATTAGGTACAACTCTGGACTGAGTGTGTGTGTGTGTGTGTGTGTGTGTGTAAATATACCATAGGCAAAGCATCATTAACATCCCGACATACAGACATGAACGTGCAATCGCACACACACACACACACACACACACACACTTGTCCTATAAACTCTACTAGTAAAGGTAAATTGGTAAAACACCTTAAACTATGTATAGAAAGTTTACAGATGCACCGTTACCCCTTGCATTTCATGACTTTTTGGCCCCACTATGTTTATATATATATATATATATTCCCTTTGTATTCTGTTTTGCCTGCTACATGCCTGGCAGGAGTTTATGCTGCAATGAATATGTTAGACTTCAAATGGTCACAAAGTGATGCTGTTGAGAGTAGCTTTCAGATCGTGTGTGAATATTATGTTGTTAGACAGATGTCACTTGTTAACTTAAGTTTGTCCATAGTGACATGGTTTTGTTTGGTTATTGCCTAATGCCCATTAAAGGGTTACAAATTATTTGTGTGGGGGTTTTCTTGTTTTAGGTAATAACTAACCAGATGTGTCCTATCGCACTTCTCCTGTTTTTGCACTCTAGCTTTCCTTATTTGCTATGATGTTCATGATCTTCTACTGGAAATGTGCAGCTCAGTAGAAATGTAGAAAAGAAGCCCTGTCAAAATAAATCAGCTTCTTCAGACTGGCACGAAAACAGCTGACTTGGGTGAATTCTGTGCTAGCGTAGCTAAACACAATGAAAATTCTTTCTGTCAAGCTGAGAAACAGAGAGCAAGTTGAATCCCTAGCATAATTTAATAATTTTGTGTTTTTTCTCCCTCAGCAGTTAGGTATTTCCCACTGGAGTTTGTTTGTTTAAGCATTCCATGGTTGCCTTAACATCTGAAGCAAACAGGACTTTAAAAATTTAGCTTGCAAGCTACACATGACCTGCAACCTTTAGAGGGGGGGAAACGTGCTACATTATAGCTCAACTATAGTCCTGTGCTTTGGTTTGTACATCCCAGACCATCCTAAAAACGCCTGCCTACGATACTGAAATGAATGGGTTTCTATCCTACAAGCCACATGCTTTTTGGTGGGGGCTAAGCACACATGACTCTCTGCAGTTGTACAGATTATTGCAATCACGTTTAATGGGAATAATAATAATAATAATAATAATAATATATTATTTATACCCCGCTCATCTGGCTAGGCTTCCCCAGGCACTCTGGGGAATATCCCAACAGTATATTAAAAGCACGATAAAAGATCAAACATTAAAAACTTCCCTAGACAGGGCTGCCTTCAATGTCTTCTAAAAGTCAGGTGGTTGTTTATTTCCTTGACATCTGATGGGAGGGTGCCACTACCGAAAAGGCCCTCTTCCTGGTTTCCTGTAGCCTCGCTTCTCGCAGTGAGGGAACTGCCAGAAGGCCCTCGGCACTGGACCTCAGTGTCCGGGCAGAACGATGGGGGTGGAGACGCTCCTTCAGGTATACTGGGCCGAGGCCATTTAGGGCTTTAAAGGTCAGCACCAACACTTTGAATTGTGCTCGGAAACGTGCTAGGAAGTAAGTTGCACTGATTTCAAGGAAGTCCGCTTAGGATCAACAACCTCAATCAAAATGGACGGAGGGCTGTTTTAATTAGGGAGAGAAAATGTGATCTCTTAAAAGTCCGGTTACCATCTTTCTAAAAGGCATTCCTTGACATGAACGGTTTTGAACTTCAAAATTGGTGAAATAAATTATTACGGGTGAGGTCCAACAGAGCCACTCTGTTAATGGGGGGAGAGTTGCAATCACAGACGGACAGCTTCTGTGAATGCAGCTGTGCTTACCTGGATGAAAGCTCCATCAGTGAATGGAGCAACAACATTGTCTCCCATCCTGTGTTTTTTTAAAACTTCTGTTCCGGTTGCACATTTGAAATCCATTACCTGATGTTCCAATCCTATAGCCATGAAACAGTGCACTGAGTGTCTTGCATTGATGTAACTAAAGGTGTGTCTTCTCACTGGTGGGGCAAGTTCATCTTGCCATGTTGCCTGCCAAGGTGTGCTCCCAATATGTGCAACCCAATTTTAAGCACATAGGGTTGCAGTTACACAGCTGGCTACTGAGGTGCTTTAAATGCCTTTTGGATGCTGCGCTTGTCTCCGTTTCTGTCCCAGATACCACACCCTGCCTCTTTTCAGTTCTCAGCTTCACAACAACTTATGATCATGTATGGTGATTTTTTTTGTTTTTGTTTCTGCTAATAATGGCATTCGACTGCTTGATTAGTTTGCCACACTTGTTATAGCACTGCAAATGTTTGCTTTTGCAGTAGTTTATAGTACCAGGTCACAAGACGCTGGATTTCAGAAATATTAATATTATTATTAAATTTATGTGCCGCCCTTGCTTCCAATGAAGTCTTAAGTAGCAAACTTTTTTTAAAAAATAATAACAACAATTTAAACATTCTGAAATCATTTCAGAACACTCAGATACCCTCACAGTTGCTAATTTAAAGTTTGTCGGGAACAGTATATTTCAGCCATCAAACAGGAATATGTCTGTTTCATGTGAGTGAAAAGCATTCCAGGTATCTTGAACTGCACTTGATTGCATGATTAGACCCACCTCAATGCATTTGCCTACCTGTTACCACCACAGCATTGCAGTTTTTGTTCTGCTAATGGTAATCCAAGAGTTTAATTTGGCCTTATTGTGGCAATTTAATCTTGTGCAAGCCCGACTGCACAAGCAACCCAAGCAGTGGTTTGAAGCAGCACAGAACTGGTGTGCAATCCAAGAGGTGTGCCCCAGGATCCCTTGCAATATTGCAGGGAGTGCTGGGGTGGACCTCTTGGATTGCTTTGCTTGGGCCAACCCTGGGAGCTAGATGCTTGGTGCTGTTTTAATTATGAGTGTCTCCCTAGTCAGTATCCTTGAATAATTATCATAATTCCCTTGCTTCAGTGTTCTTTTGGTTGTGACAGGCGTAAGATTGCAAATGAAATATTCTTGATGGGGCAGAGGCACTGAAGTGTTGAGTCTGGAAAGATTATTGAGCAAATAGTGCAAGTGGCTCTCGGCAGTGTTTGAAATTAGCCTGGTACTTTTTGCGCCTGGCTTTTGACTACTTGCAACCAAGCGAGGAAGCCTGGGCACCAGTATAGTGCCTGACATCTGCACCATCTGGGGATCATTGGAGTGTTTACATACAGTAACACCCCCATGCTGTAGAATTCTATCAGTTATATTTTTATCTGCACAATCGGAATGGATTTCTGGAACCAAATGGCTTTTTCTGTGCAGCCTGAGCAGGAGCAGTCACCATTAAGAAAAAGAGGTCTGAATAGGCCAATATATATGTGGACTGTCCCTGGGAAAAGTGACTTTTCTTCTTTATCATCTGAACTAGCTAGATGTTTAACTGAGAATCAATTAATCAAGGGTGGTTCACAACAAGACCACAACATGTAAAATAAAACCAAAAGCAGCAACCCATCATTTGAAAAATAAGACTTTAGAGTTGTCTTGTCCCCAGATGGAAACTAAACAGTCCATTTTGGTGACACTGCAACCTTGGTTTAAGGACCCATTTGACACCTAGAATATATACCTGAGTTTCTAACACTCCTCTCCAGATGTTGTTGGACTCCAACTCCCATCAGCCTCAGCCAGCATGGCCAGTGGTCATAGGTGATGGGAGTTGTGGTCCTCTGCAGATGTTGAAAGGTCTCAATTAAGTTACTTCCACAGGGATGTTGTGGTTTCATGTAACATATTTACATGCAGTTATGCAGTGGAATACATTTATGTTGAAGAAATTCTGTTACTGCAAACAGTAAAGGTAAAGGGACCCCTGACCATTAGGTCCAGTCGTGACCGACTCTGGGGTTGCGCACTCATCTCGCTTTATAGGCCGAGGGAGCCGGCGTTTGTCCACAGACAGCTTCCGGGTCATGTGGCCAGCATGACTAAGCCACTTCTGGCGAACCAGAGCAGCGCACGGAAATGCTGTTTACCTTCCCGCCAAAGCGGTCCCTATTTATCTACTTGCACTTTGACGTGCTTTCAAACTGCTAGGTTGGCAGGAGCAGGGACTGAGCAATGGGAGCTCACCCCGTCGCGGGGATTCGAACCGCCGACCTTCTGATCGGCAAGTCCTAGACTCTGTGGTTTAACCCACAGCGCCACCCGCAAACAGTAGAATAGAACAAAAATAAGCAGCATAGGGGCCATGTCCAGTTGGCTTTCCTCCCAAGCACAGTAGCCTTCCTCTTCTGCTCTACAACAAAGTGTTGATGGGCCCAGTGGTTCCAGGAAAACGTGGCAAACCTTTCCCAGGACTGTCCTTGTCTTGTGGTTGATGTCTTCACATTAGAATTAGAATCTGAGCTGGCTGAGTCCACAACCTGGTAGCCAGGCCTGACTTGACATATCCACCAAAAGGTACAGAATTAATCCTACCAGATCAACTTTGATTACAGAAGATTCTGATACATAATTAAAATATACAGTGGTACCTCGGGTTACATACGCTTCAGGTTACATACGCTTCAGGTTACAGACTCCGCTAACCCAGAAATAGTGCTTCAGGTTAAGAACCTTGCTTCAGGATGAGAACAGAAATCGCAGCAGGAGGCCCCATTAGCTAAAGTGGTGCTTCAGGTTAAGAACAGTTTCAGGTTAAGTACGGACCTCCGGAACGAATTCAGGTTAAAGTATCACAGAGATGATCCCTTATTTAACAAAGCATATTTTGTGTCCTGGATTCCATTTCACCTATTTCTTCCCCTCTTTTGCCCAGTCGTTCAGCTCCAGTTACATGGACCAAATGAACCACAACAAGTACGGTGTCATTTATTCGACGCCAAACATGATGCCCAGTAAAATCTACCAGATTTCGGAAGGGTTTTGCAACGGAGTGCAAGTTGAGCCTGTCGACCTCACAGTGAAGCGGAGCTCGCCTCCTTCATCAGGAAGTTCTCCTTCTCCTTCGCCCCTGAAATTCCAGCCCAGGAGAGGCTCACCTGGATTAAATCTGCCCTCACCCAGCCCACCAATGAAGAAACTGCAGCCTTTCACGATGCCATTAACTATTCCTCCGGTAATGGCAGCTCTTTCTCGCCATGGACTTCGAAGCCCTGGGATGCTTCCAGTTATACAGCCCGTCGTAGTGCAGCCTGTCCCTTTTATGTATGCTCCTCCCCTTCAGCATCCTATTATGGTGTCCACGGTCCTTTCAGAAGAGTTGGAAAACCCAAGTAGCATGCCAGGTAAAGGTTCTGGTTTTGGTGGACTTCCCCATCCCATTTTTTATTTTTTAAAAGATAAATTCAAAAGGGACCTGGTGTTCTTCTGCTTAAAGTCATGCCACATCTATCGTGACATAACTGCTTCTGTTTATCCTTTTACAATGGGATACGGAAGATAAGTGTTTTCAACTAAGAGCAGGCAAAGTAGATTCCTACTTCGTGGACCAGGCATTTAACTCTCTGCATAATCTGCGTCACAGTTTTTGTGACAATAAAGGGGGACGGAAAGGCAGAAACAAGGGATGCTGTCCTGATTAGGGCTGGGTGATAAATCAATATATCGTCCAAAACTGAAGTCCATATCGTGATACTGGTTTCATACTGTTTGACCTGGCAATATATTGTGAATCATGATGGATGTGTGTCTGCTATGCAAAAAACAGGATGCGGGGAAAACCGTGAAGCCAGCCAATGCCTAGCTCCATCCTTATTTCAGACATCGTGATACATCGGTATATTGTGCTGTTTAGCTGGTGATATATCACGATGTTGAAAACCATGTATCATCCAGCCCTAGTCCTGACCTCCTTGGAGGAAGCAAGGGCAGTAAAAAATGCAATAAGTAACAGTGTTTCGAATGCAGAACTTACCAACCTACAAAATATATTCAGCAGTTGACTATCTTCCCAGGAATATCTTATGTTAGTTACACGCGGCATGGAGAAGATGGGAAAATGTGTTTATTTGCTATGTTTGTTTTTCTTGTAGTGTCTGTTATAGAATCTTACGAGAAGCAAGCCCTAAGGAAATCTATTAAGGTGGAACCAGGCATGGAATCTCCTAGGAATGACTACTATCCTGAACAAATGTCCCCTCCACTGATGACCTCATTGTCGCCTCCTCAAGCAATGCTTCAAGAGTAAGTACCTAACTGGAGTCTTATACTACCTCGTTTAAGCACAATAATTAATTGCGTCCTCATCGTAGATTGCATTACCGTGTTGCATTCTATGCAGGGCTGCCCTGGAGGCAGCAGCTAGTGCAAAATGCAGCTGACAAGGCAGAATATTGCATCCTATTACATCACTGTTGAAAGAATTGTGCTAGCTGCCAACTAGCTTCTGAGCTAAGTCCAAGGTGCTAGTTCTGGAGTACACAGCCCTACGCAGTTTGGGGCTCAGAATACCTAAAATACAGGGTCGTCTCTTACACCCAACCAATCGTGTAAATTGTCTTTTTTGTGCCTATTAAAGACTTTTTCAACCAGCCTTTTTAAGAAGAGACTTTTATCACAGTTGGTATCTGAATTAATTTTAAATTGTTTAAATTATCTATATATATATACACATATTTTTATATATATGCAGTTGTTTTGCATATGGCTTTTTTGCAATGTGAAAATGCTTTGTAGGGTATGTTTCATAAATCAGTTGAATAGCAATAGATGATCTAAAGTGTAGCATGATTTAGTTGGGTTTATAAAGAGATAACAGCTCATTCCCTTTCTCAAAGGAGACAGGATAAGTTTCCCTGGGAAACTTCTTCAGAGACTTTTAAAACATTGCTAGGAACCTTAAAAGGTGACCTGTATTACTGAAGTCAGGCTAATGGACACAGCTAGTCTTGTACCCAGAACAATTCTTTATCCCCTCCCTCAGGCCTTCCACACACCCCTTGGCTGAAAAGAAAAGGGGGGTCAACCTTTCACTATCAGTTGCAAGACATCTTGCATTATTGTAACAGTTGCACTGATGCAGTAAAATATCAAAGAAATGTGCAGATGTAACATCTCAAAACTTCATTTGTGGGATCTGTACCTGCTGCAGTTAGAGATGTTGGATGTTGTAGATTGCACTCAGTTTAGTTATGGTATTTTTAATAAAAAAAATTAAGACACCATGCGGTCAAAAAGACTTTTAAAAAATCAAATTTAAAACAAACCAGGTAATAGAGCCTGTGGACTCTCTCCCTAGTCCTTTTATTTTGGCAATTTGGCTTGGCTCTCTTACTTGAGATCTGGAGCTATTTGTTTGGATGGCTGGCAGAACTTTGGTCTAGATAGGGTTTGGTTCTTTTTGAAGTCTGTGTGCCCTAGTTTTCCTGTTAGCTCTGCACCATGGTAAGTTACCAAAAGCACTCTTTATTGATTGGGCTTCATGACGTAGTTACCTCTGATATGTTGATAGCTCTTCTACATTATTCCTCCTCATATCACCACTTGTACCACATACAGTTCCTTTTTAAAAAAAAACCCATCTTGCAGAAATTGCACAATCACTTACTGAAGTCCCACTTTTTTTAAAGACAGAAGTTCTAGATGCAGGAAATAAGAGATGGGGCTTTCTGCTTGCTAATTAGAAATAATGAATGGATAGCAGTCTTTTCTATAAACGTGTACGGATACAGAACTGCACAGCTGTTACTGCCTGCTTTTAAGGGTTATTCCTAGGCCAAATGCTCTTAATGTGCATAATGTGCTCTGGAAAGGCCACACGCCTCCAACTGATGGAAGCCTAAGAGTCGATTTTTGACATCCTGTGGGTGTGGCACATACAGACTAAACTCTACTTTTAGGGATTGACATCAGTGGTGAGGAGAGACCGCACCCTTATGCCAGCCCTAAACAGGAAATTCTTAATTGGTCTCTAGGGGAATTGAGAATAAAGCCTTTTAAGAAAGAACTGGTGGGTTTAATAATGTAAAAAAGCTGTGAGCCAGCTCATTTTTAAAATTTCTTTCCTAAGCAGAAGGAAAATATGTCAACAAAAGCAATAGACGTTCACTGGAAGCACTAACTGAGAATTTGTAAAATCTAAATACAGTATGCTTGTCTGGGAAACAAGAGCCTGATCTTTAAAATAAACGAAAAAGCCTAGCATGCACTGGAGATTTTTGTTGTTCATCCCACAGAATGAATAAAAACCCCAGCAGGGAAGAGAGCCAAAATATTACCACGAAAGACCATGAAATTTGCTAAGCTTGCTTGAATTCTTCCACATGCATGTAATGTTGTTTAGGCTGCCAAAAGACAGAGGGGGTAGTGAATAAAAGAGCTCTGTGGTGTAACATTAAGGGCGATGTAGCTAAGCAGATTTCATTGTTGACCTGTGGCTTAACTTCATGCAGGAATCACCCTTCAGTTATCGTTCAGCCTGGCAAGAGGCCTTTACCTGTGGAATCTCCAGACACGCAAAGGAAGCGCAGAATACACCGATGTGACTACGAAGGCTGCAACAAGGTTTACACTAAAAGCTCCCACCTGAAAGCTCACAGAAGAACACATACAGGTATGATGATGATGATAATAATAATAAAATAATGATAATAGTAGTAGTAATAATAATAATAATAATAATAATAATAATAATAATAATAATAACCTATCCTGCTAGGTTTCCAACAGATATAAAAACATAACAAAACATTTAAAAAACCTACCCTATACAGGGCTGCCTTCAGATGTCTTCTAAAAAGTTGTGTATCTCCTTGACATCTGATGGGAGGGCGCCACCACCAAAAAGACCCTCTGCCCGGTTCACTTCTTGCAGTGAGAGAACCACCAGAAGGCTCTCAGAGCTGGACTTCAGTGTCCCAGCTGAACAATGTGAGTGCAGACCCTCCATTTGTAGTATGCTGTTGGCTTTTATAGTCCATAGGAACTGCAAAGGTCAACACAAATGCACATGAGCCACTTCTAATTGTAATGTAAAGGTTAGGGATGCTTTGAGTGGCAGGACAGCTGCATCAGCCCAAGTTGCTGCTAGAACTGCTATAGCTTGAATTGAACTGTAGGAATGCAAAATGTGAGTGGGGAATATATACAATTTAATTTGACTGGAATGATTTGCTCTAGCCATGGGGCCGTAAACAAAGCCATAAAGCAAAACTGACCGTGGCCCAGCCTACCCATTAATTATTGGCAACATGCTTGCTGTCAATAAACGCTGTTCCACCACTGTGGCGCTCCATATTTTGTTTTATTGGCAGTGTGTCATGTGTCTTGCTCAGGTTATTGTATTTTCATGCCATGGCAGTGTCACTTGTCCCTTTGGTGCCAGGAAGTCAATGTGCTGTACAGCCGATGGCATTATCACTTCTTGTATTTCCTTAGTTTCTGGAGTGGTTCAAATTAAGGCCACCCTACCACTGTGGCGCTGTGGGTTAAACCACAGAGCCTAGGACTTGCCGATCAGAAGGTCGGCGGTTTGAATCCCCGTGACGGGGTGAGCTGCCGTTGCTCGGTCCCTGCTCCTGCCAACCTAGCAGTTCGAAAGCACCCCAAAAAGTGCAAGTAGATAAATAGGTACCGCTCTGGCGGGAAGGTAAACGGCGTTTCCGTGCGCTGCTCTGGTTCGCCAGAAGCGGCTTAGTCATGCTGGCCACATGACCCGGAAGCTGTACACCGGCTCCCTCGGCCAATAAAGTGAGATGAGCGCCACAACCCCAGAGTCATCCGCGACTGGACCTAATGGTCAGGGGTCCCTTTACCTTACCACTCTGTAACATGTCACATACCAGAAAATTTCTCAGTCTTGAGACTGAAGCTTCAGATATGTAAAATGTGGAATACTTGCCTGTATTTTTAATTATTTACACTTCGATCCAATGAATATTTACTCAGAAGTAAGCCTTGCGGTGCTCATTGGGGCCTATCCCCTAGCAGGTGTTAAAGGATTTTAGCCTTGGTTTTTTATTTTATTTGGCACACACTTTTGCTTCTCTGAGTGGTGGCTGGTTTATTTTTCTTATTTTTCTACTGAATGGTGCTAGTACCATCACACCCTTCTACATCATCACTAAATTTGTCTTGGATACAGCATTCTCTCTACAGATCTTGTTCTCTGTTTCTGAGCTCTGTTCAAGGACGGCTCTTTACTCCAGTGAAGGCTTTCACAAATAGAAAGGGTGCAATTTTCACAAATTCCCCTTTTCTCCCAGGCACTCTCTAACCCCGTATAGCATGCTGGCTTGGGGGGGGGGGGAGAAAACAACAAAAATAACCTCACCATGGACAAATAATGCCCATAGGACTGAAGAGCTTTCAGAGACATGAAACTGAATGTAACTCAAGATTAAAAGCAACAGTTAGGGCTAGTGGACAAGTCAGTTATGGATCAAATATAAAGACATTCTAAGGCCCATTTTTAATCCAGAGAAACCTGTTTTACTAGAACATCTGGTATAAATGTAAAAAATATCCTGTAGTTTTTAAGTAACAATGCTGTTGCCAATGGAGGTTTGCTTTTCTTATGTGTTCGTTGTGTAAAATGAAAATATGTTCCATGAGTTTTTGTTTTGCTTCGGTTTTTTAATTGCCTTCCCCCCTCCCTTTTTTTTCTTTTTTTGGCCTCAGGTGAAAAGCCTTACAAATGTACTTGGGAAGGTTGCACATGGAAGTTTGCTCGATCTGATGAATTAACACGGCATTTCCGGAAGCATACAGGAGTCAAACCTTTCCAGTGCCCAGACTGCGACCGTAGCTTTTCCCGCTCCGACCATCTTGCCCTTCATAGGAAGCGCCACATGCTAGTCTGAAACACTCTTCCTTCGTCTCTCTTCATATTTCTTTTCATTTTTAACCTGTGCATTTTAAGTTAGATTCAGCGGGCCTGAATCTCTGGATTAATAGCCTTGAAACCTTCCCTATGGTCAGTAAGAGATGTTTGCTTGACCCTTCTTTGCCCATGCCACGGGTCAGACCTACAGAATGTGAACATTTTTTTTTCTCCTGGGGGTTGCTAAGCAAACCCTTGCTTGCCAGCATGCAGATTAAATTTCTGTGAGACTTAAGAGATCTTGTAATCGAGCTGGCTAGTTTTGCCATTTAATTAACCAGCATATGTTGATCATAGTCACTTGTGTTGGAAATCCAGCCTGCTAGTCCTTGCCAGAGACTCTGTACCCTGTAAAGGATGCGTGTCTCCTTTTTATGCTCAGCAATGCAACGAATGGATCCTTTCCAATGTGGTTGGTTGTAGAAGCATGTTCCACAAGACACTTTTTGGTTGTGTTTAAAAAAAAAAAAATCCTCAAACTGGGAGTGAATGGAACAATTTTTGACTGATGAGTGGCTGTTTATCAGCAGAAATGTTGTCAATGCATCATGTTGTACATCCTGACCGACATTGCCTCTCTTTTGTCTGTTGTGTAGAATGCTAGCTTGTGTTTGCCTGGATAATAGTGCCTCGGTAGATTCATTAAGCAAAGACCTTCTTGTAGTGTAGTTATCTGTGTTTTGTGTCCAGCTGTATGAATGGAACACACATGGTACTCGTATGATGTGGCATTCGATGATACATGCAATAATCTACCTCACTGAGGAGGTGTGGTAGGTATATTATTTTCTCATCACTCCTCTGCATTTCCTGTTGTCTACACAAGGCCTCTGGTCCTTTCCCTGGCACAGTTTAGAAGCAGCAACCTTTTCAGCAAAATGAACCTGAACTGCTGGAAGGCACCACCATATTCATAAGATAAGTGAAGAAGACAACCTCTGAATTTAAGCACTTCTGTAGATCTCAAAATTTGAGTATCACAAATGGAAAAGGTACACTTTGATCTCTCGTTGCCATGTTCCACAGAAGAGCTTCATGAAGTCCCTCAAGTGATTTGTAATGCAGTCATGCTAGGAGTGGTAAAATACACAACCAAAAAATAGTTATTTAAAAATCCAGCATGGTTGATACTATTCCATATCCTCTAGAGATTTCGTGGAAAGATTTGAAGGAAAGAAAAATTACTCTTTTCACCAGTGTGCCTACGAGCTCTTCTTGGAATTATGGGTCATTTGGCTTTCATATTTTTAAAAATGGAGATAGATAGATATATTGAGGCCAGCAGCAATAAGGGGAATGAACAACAGAGGAAAGGAACTCATAATGTGCTAGGAAACACTTTATCGAAATCAACTGTTGTAATCAAATGCATTTTGAGTTAACCACCCCTTCAGGGGCAACCTGTTTCATTCAACACTGTCAAAGTAGTAGTGTGCTTCTACTGTTTCATAAACTGTGTTGGGCTTCCATAGTTCATTTCTATAAACTATTTTCTAGCACTTTTTGTAGTCCTGTCTCCTCTTTTCTTCCACAAAAAAATAAAGTACAGCTGGGTGCTTACTTAGCTTGGTGACTCTCTCCCATTGAAATCAGATGTAACCAAGTAACTGTGGCTGGATCATGGCCATCATTTTTTGTGTCATGCACTCTGTATCTGCACACCTGTCCTAGAGAGGCCTTGTACATTTTTTCTCAGATTCAATTTGGTTTGTAAATCCCAGGTAACTTCAAATTGATTAAGGCTGCAATCATTTACACACTCATGGCAGAAAGCAACAGTGGCAAGCAATGGGACTTAGTTTTATTTTTAAAATTAAATGTTATATTAAAAAGTATAAATTCAAAGCAATAAAGGTTTAAACAGTGAAAAAGAGCAATAACAGTGATAAACAGTCCCGTCCCCCCGCTCCCTTCTGCCCATCATGGTTCCTTCCATCTAAATTTTGTGCAGGATTGAATAATGGCAAGAAATTCATCTCTTCTGTTTTCCATAACTAATAGGCAAAAAATCATGTGTAGATCATCAATTCAGTAACTTCATTAACTAAGGATCTTAATATATTTTGAAATACATTTTTGATTTATTCATTTATATAAGTTTAAAAAGAGGTACAAATAGGGACTTAATTTTCTGAGTACAGGATTGTGCTGTGACATTTTCTTCCCTTCAAGAAAGCATGCACTTCCCCACTCCTGAAAGGAAAACGTTCACAGAATATGTCAGAAGGCTGATACGGAAGAGTTGCCACTTAATTAATTGCAAGGAAGTTGAGGCAGGCTGTTGAGAACAGTATCTTTGTTGAATGCAATAATAAAACGTTCTGCAGAGTCACAGGTGCAGAATTCAGCTTGTGAGTTGCTATTGTGAAAACAGAAGAATAAAGGTAAATTTGGGAGGGAAGAGATAAAGAAATGCTTCCTACAGTTCTTTAAACTTTAAAGCCAAACCCAGAAGTATTTGAAACTTCACCTAGTTGGATATATAGGTGCTTCAGATAAATTTAATCTCTCTCTAGAAATTAAACTGACAGAGCAAGGGAACTGTTGCATTGTTCAGTGTAATCAGTCACGTGTGTATGGTGGCTGTTTCACAATCAAACCTTACAAGAATTAGGAATGCTTAAGACCAGCCTGGAAATCCAAAGAACAATCCAGTTAAAAGTGTGGCACATTTTTTTGCTTTGCTAATAGCAAGTTTAAACCAGGAATAATTGTACTGAAGCATCTGCAACCCATTCCATCAAAATGTAAATGGAGCAAGAAAACCCTCTCTAGTGTTGCCAAGCAAATCTGGGAAACACATTATTTTCTGTTGTGTTGACACACTTAAACTACTCTGTTGCTAACATGGAAAAACACTGAATGTGGAAACTTGATGAGATTTCTAAGTGTCAGCAAAACAGGAGTGGGAACTGCGGAGCACAGAGTGCCATACTAGGATTCGAAATTTAATTCCTTTGGATCCGATTCCTCCAAAAATAAGATATATTTTTTCCCTTCTACATTAAAACGTAACAGATACAAATTACCAGCATATGAAAATTGGTAAACTGTGTCTAAGCATGGCTGAAATTGCTTTTTTCCATTTAGGATGTTTAGCAGTGCTTGGCTTAAAGTGCCTTTAATTTCAATTCCACACTCAGAGCGCTACCACTTTCCGAGCTCATCAGATTTGTCATTCAGATATGTCTTCAAAGACTCATTCATTTGTGGTGCTGCTACATGTTATCTTTTATTTTTTTAAAAAATACTTTCTGCTATATTAATTATTCTCACAATCCATCTGAAGTTGTTTCAAGCGTGTAGCAACATTTGAGTTTATCATATAAAATGCCAGGAGGAAACTTGCCCTTGTTTTTAAGAAAAAGTTTCTGGAATGCTCTACTGTGTATCAAATACATGGGCTTAAAAAAAAAATGCAGCAGGGTGAGCAGAAAATGACCTGCAATACAAAATGGAAATGCCCCCTTCAAGATGGTTTATTAATGCCACATAAAAAAATTATGTGGCTAGTTAACTTCAGGCAAACACAGTTACAAAATTCCACATTTTATCTGCATGCTTCTGTATATAATTCTGGGAGAGCAAACAGTATGGCCAAAGGCTTGTTTAGGTGTGATGAGATTTTTATCTTTTCTGCACCTTGGATTATTGCTAGTTGTAGTCTAAATCAGGAATAACTATTCCAGCTCAAACACTCTTTGTTTATAGGTCCCCTCCGCTTCAAAAATGTTTTTCTGTGTAGTGGGAAATTGGAAAACACTGATGTTTAGGAAATAGGAGTCAGAAAGCAAATGGAACTGGTTGCATATTTTCAACCAGGGCTTCAGGCTCTGCGTTTGGATACAAAGGTTCTCTTCTGATGGAGTCTTCCTCCAGCAGAGGAAGGGAACTTTGGATCTAACCCTATATTTGCATATTACTAGGGAGATAAGATGCAGTCCTAAAAGCCCTTACACTGGAGTAGTTCTGTTGAAATCGGGAGATAAGAATCCATGCTCTGATACGACAGTCAAAGTCTAGTCTCCCACCGGCTTGGAGGTAGCAGTGTTGTCCAATTTAATTCTGTGGTTCTTACGGAGGGAAGCAGGCCTGTTTTTAGTAAGTGTAGACCATTTCAGCCATGCAAACTTCCTCATCTCTAATCCAGATTGTAACACGTGTCTTGAGTGTGCCAGGAAAATGCAGGCAACCATTGGCCAGAGAGTCAATTCCAATTCCACGCCCCCCACTCGGCTTTGGGGACACTGCAATAGCCCCATAGAACTTCCTGCTACTACTTGTCCTTCACTATTGCAAGTGGAGGTCGTCTTTTGCCTACTGGGGGTGGGGGACGTGCAATTGCAAGAGAAGAGGCTCAAGCAATTTTGAAAAGCAAGTGGTTAGCAAATGAGGAAGATTCACTTGTGTTTGGGGAAGCAGTACGCAGTCCAAATAATTAAAAGTTACTTTTCTAAACAAACCATGTGCACTAGTAGTATTCCACTGTACAGAATGCAACTTTTAGGATACTGTTGATCATGTTTTCAGTTAAATAGCATTATGGGTTGTTCCAAGAGGGATTGTTCAGAGCAAAGCTGATATTTCTATAATGTGGTTTTAATTGCACACTGTAGTTCCAGTTTTAACACACAACACAAAACCTTCTAATTGCAGGATCTTCTTTGTGTTCTGTTCAAACTTAGCAAGGTGTAGATGAATGCAAATCCTTTCCTTTTAAACAGAATTTGCAAAAGTATTTTATACATATTATTTGAAAAGGGCTATAATAATTCCCATTACATTTTACAAATATTAGCACTTTCTTGATATTTATGTATTTTAAATGTTATACGGTCAAAATAATCTTCCTGCTTAGCATCTCTTAAAACTTTACCTGCAAATGTAGCAGGGCTATTACATTTACTTTAATACTTGTATAAAAATATGCAGAATTTTTTAAAAAATAAAATGTAATATATTTTATAAGCTAATAATAATCGGGTAATTAAAGGTTTCTAGCATGCATTCCTATCATTTGCAGATACTGAAGCATTTTGGTAATCTTTCTCACTAAATATGTGAATGTTTTAATGTAACTTCACTTTCTATTTTTGGTAGTCCAATGGGAATTCAGTAATGACATTTTGTCATGTCAAACTGTGAACATAATTTGTACTGTACAGTCCTCATATGTTATATATAGTATACTATATGTATTATACTTGTTAATAAAACAAGACAAATATTAAATGTCAATATGTAGTTAAAACTATCCCTCAAAACTTGACAAGACTCCGCCCCCCCCCCCCCCCAATCTTGATTTCGCCAAATGGCAGTTGTCCTTGGATGCAGCCCTGTATTCTTTAAGGTAAAGGGACCCCTGACCATTAGGTCCAGTCGTGTCCGACTCTGGGGTTGCGGTGCTCATCTCGCTTTATTGGCCGAGGGAGCCGGCGTACAGCTTCCAGGTCATGTGGCCAGCACGACTAAGCCGCTTCTGGCAAACCAGAGCAGCGCACGGAAACGCCGTTTACCTTCCCGCTAGAGCGGTACCTATTTATCTACTTGCACTTTGACGTGCTTTCAAACTGCTAAGTTGGCAGGTGCAGGGACCGAGCAACGGGAGCTCACCCCGTCGCGGGGATTCGAACCGCCGACCTTCTGATCGGCAAGCCCTAGGCTCTGTGGTTTAACCCACAGCGCCACCCACATCCCATGTCCACCCGTATTCTTTAGGAGAGCTTATTTATTACTTACTTATTTGGTGACTCACCTAAGAAAGTTGGTTGACTGCAAATATCACAGCAGATCGTCATATTCAACACATCTGGCACATGCAGAAGGCCATTGCACATACATCATTAGCCGAATCAGGAATCGTGGACCTGAAATCTGTGCTGCATTACTATCAATAAACTACACATTCGGCTTTGCATTTTTATTCTGGCGCAACTAGTCACATGTACAAACTCTTGTTATTTTTCAAAATTATTTTATGCACAAGTGAAGTTGGATTATTTAAAGTGCACTTTACCAAACATGAATGTTTCTCTGCTTGATTGCCCTCGCGTTAATTCCCGTATACAACAAAAGATACCCATCTTTGCATCTCTTCCTCATATTTTCTGCTTTCATTCACAAGTTACTCCATTAAATTGGGCTTGTGAGTCCCCAGGAGTTACTAGCCTGCAAAATAAAATAAAAATAATAATGAAATACTATCCTGCTGGGAGCTGGCAGAGGAGGAACCAAGTGCTGAATTTCTTATGGGTGTTAAAGAAGGAACTTTCCCCTTCTAGCTTCCTGCTTGGTTTCTACCCAAGTGAAAAACACCTATGAAGTAAATATTTAATAGATGGATAGTCATTATGAAGTGCTCAGCAGAGGAAAGGTCTTGTAGGATTTTACCTGAATAACCTTTCATTGAATCGAAGGGTCTGTTTGACCCCGTTTTTTGGTTCTTGGACATCGCGGCACTTGGGCAAGCTGTATTTTCAGGACAATAGTGAGGTTGGGGTGTCACTATCCTCTTTATTTGTTTAAGGTAAAGGTAAAGGACCCCTGACAGTTAAGTCCAGCTGCAGACAACTCGGATCGCAGTGCTCATCTTTCTTTACAGGCCAAGGGAGCCGGTGTTTGTCCGCAGACAGTTTTTCCGGGTCACGTGGCCAGCATGACTAAGCCGCTTCTGGCGCAACAGAACACCAAAACCAGGGCAGCGTACAGAAATGCTGTTTACCTTCTCGCTGGAGCGGTACCTATTTATCTACTTGCACTTTTTGGGGTGCTTTCGAACTGCTAGGTTGGCAGGAGCTGGGACTGAGCAATGGGAGCTCACCCTGTCGTGGGGATTTGAACTGCCAACCTCCTGATTGGCCAGCCCAAGAGGCTCAGTGGTTTAGACCACAGCGCCACCCGCATCCCCTCCTTTTAGATATTAAGAAAAACATGTAGGCAGTACGCTCACCCACCAATGAGACAAGGTGAGGACTACCTCGGGTAGCAGGATCCACAGGGGCAGCAAATCCTGATGTGGATCTTTATTCCCCACCCCTTTGTTCCTGGTGTAGATCTTCAGTCACCCATTCTTCCCTGGTGGGAAGTGGGGGGGGGGGCATTTTGTGGTTCACCTCAGGCACCAAAATGTCTTGGGCCAGCCCTGACTCTACCCAGTTGTTTAAAGGTAAAGGTAAAGGTACCCCTGCCCGTACGGGCCAGTCTTGCCAGACTCTAGGGTTGTGCGCTCATCTCACTCTAGATGCCGGGAGCCAGCGCTGTCTGCAGACACTTCCGGGTCACGTGGCCAGCGTGACGAAGCTGCTCCGGCAAACCGGCACCAGAGCAGCACACGGAAACGCCGTTTACCTTCCCGCTATAAAGCGGTACCTATTTATCTACTTGCACTTAAGGGTGCATTTGAACTGCTAGGTGGGCAGGAGCTGGTACCGAACGACGGGAGCTCACCCCGCCGCAGGGATTCGAACCGCCGACCATGCGATCGGCAAGTCCTAGGCGCTGAGGTTTTACCCACAGTGCCACCCGCGTCCCACCCAGTTGTTTAGTAAGAAGCAAATCAGTTCCAGTCTTCTGAACAAAGAATGCAAATGTACTGCAGGGAGTGATGAGCATCAGGTACTTCTTTTAAAATTTCCTAACATTTAAAAAAAGAAAAGATTTAATGTAATTAAACAACAGGCTACCAGTTTTGCAGAGATTCCTCCCCTGAAAAATCCTTCAGCTCACGCTCTCTCTGCAAAAGTTCCAACTACAGAAATAATTCGTGCCAGAAATCTTTACTGGCTAAGGCAAAGTGGAACTCCCAAGAGAGTGGGATCCCCCTTCTTGCCCTTATAATGTATTATACAGCCATTTTAACCCATACTGGGAGACAGACATAAAGGAATTTATTACACATTTCAAGTTTATTTATCCAACAAAAAATAACACACCAAGCCATACCAGAAGAGTAAAAAGAAGATACAACTCACCAAATCATACAAAATTATATATTGATCAATTAAAGTTCCAGAGCCTCTTCCAATGTACCAAGTTTCCAAATATCCCTGATGCAATTTTTGCATATCATTGTTGAAAGCATGTGCAATAAATGTCCACCAGGTGGCATAGAAAGACTGGTTTTTCTTTTGTCTTGCATACAACGCAACATCATTGTTTGGTCATATGAATAACAAGAGTAAAACAACTCTGGCGTAAATGTGATGTTAGCAGTGGTGATGCTCACTAATTCCTGACGTACATGAGACATGGATACATAGGGATTAGTGTCCCAAAGGTTATTTCCTGCAGGCATCTTCAAAGCCACTTCTGTACTTTCATAACATTAGCAGATAGTAGCTGGCTTAGAACATGGCCCATTGAAACCTGACTTTAAATGTCAACTTTCAAGCCTGTAAATTCATAGCTGGTCTCCTTTAATAAGAGTTATGCAACTTCACCCAATAATAATCTATTATTTGTGCTACTCACTAAAATCGCCTTAATTCTAACAGTGAAGAATGTTGTTTAGACTGTGTGCCCAGCAAGGTTATATAAGGCCACAAGGGAGTGTGTAAATATTAAATCCAAAGGTTTTTTCCTTTCAAAAAATGGTTGCATGTGGATGATGACCTAGTTTAAGAGCAGGTTTTCAATCAAGAAATCTGATTAATTAGTCCTATGTCTATTTAGTCCTACGCATAATTCCTACCAGAAGCCTACGAGTTAAATAATGAAGAACAAACTGTACTGATTCTGTCAACAGAAGCAACGATAAAGACACAGCAACTGCTTGTGACTGACTCTTAAACACCAACTCCGAACAGAAATTGTGGGAGTGGACTGAGAAATAAAGCCCGGTCAGACATATTCATGCCTTTTATTCTGAGGAATGCATTTTGTTTACATAACCAGCTCCTGGAATGGCTTCAGTTGTGCCTGGTCAGCTTTCCTGAGATTCTACCAAGCCTTTATTGCCACCTACTGCTTTTCAAACTAGAGTGCATGTATATTCAGAATCATAGAGTTGGAAGGGATCTCAAGGGTGATCTAGTCCAACCCTCTTCAATGCAGGAATCTCAGCTAAATCATCCACGACAGATGGCCACCGAATCTCTGCTTAAAAGCTCCCAAGAGAGTCCGCAACGTCTCAAGGAAGACCGTTGCGTTGTCCAACAGCTCTTATTGTCAGATAGTTTTTTCTGATGTTTAGTCAGAATCTCTTTACTTGTACAGTGGTACCTCAGGTTAAGTACTTAATTCGTTCCGGAGGTCCGTACTTAACCTGAAACTGTTCTTAACCTGAAGCACCACTTTAGCTAATGGGGCCTCCTGCTGCCGCCGCGCCGCCGGAGCCCAATTTCTGTTCTTATCCTGAAGCAAAGTTCTTAACCTGAAGCACTATTTCTAGGTTAGCGGAGTCTGTAACCTGAAGCGTATGTAACCCGAGGTACCACTGTAACTTGAAGCCATTGGTTCAAGTCCTACCCTCCAGAGAAAAACTAGATTAGTTGGGAAATGAGATCTAATATAAGTGGAGGATTGTAAGTCGTAACTTTTGAGCACCATGGGCAGTTTTGTTAGGTGTAACATCTAGGGATGAGGGAGAAATTTGATGCAGTTTGCATTTAAAGGTCAATGTGCCTAATTTAGTTTCCAAAACAAAGTGTGAACCAGAACACAGCCACCCTTCAAGATTCACATTTCTTCAGCCAAGCAATGTGCAAAAAAAGCATGTACAAGGGGAAAGTGTGGGTATAAATGCACATAATAGTTTAAAAAACATACAAAAGCCATTATTTTAGGAGACACTGCTTTGTTTAAAAAAAAAGTATGTAAGGTGAAACTGCTTTGTAAAAAAAAAAAAAATGTATGTAAGATGAAATTGCATACGAAAATGTATATATGAGAACACACTAAAATGCAGGTGAGTTTTCATGAGGACGTTTTGGTAGAGATCTGGTCTTAAGACTGGAAGTAGGATAAACTGAGAGAAACCAAAACCGACGTATTCACTTATCCCGATAACTTTCCATGTATTCATCATCTACTTATGCCAAGAGCCAACAATGCTTTTGATGGGGGATTTGGTATCACGCTATACCTTCCTTATAAGTGGGCCTTCCCATATTTATCCCTTTCTAAACCCACAATTGTTTTGCACATATGCCCCCTATTAAATTTCACGTTAAATTAGCTTTTCTCATTTCTTAGCATCTATTCTAGGCCCTCTATTTTACTAACATGTATATTACACACCACTAGATGGAACCAACTTTCCATTAAAAGACTCAATGTATTATTATAAAGAGGGCAGAGTCATAAAATTGAAGAGCTGGAAGGGACCATGAGTGTCATCCAGTCCAACCCCCTGCAATGCAGGAATCTTTTGCCCAATGTGGGGCTCAAACCCATGACCCTGAGATTAAGAGTCTCATGCTCTACAGATGTCCCAGATGTGCCCAACCCCTCTTAGGTGTGCACTATGTATTATTCTCGTGGTTAATTAAATTGTATTGAGAATATAATAATATCCTCAGGTCGATTGCCTAAGCAGAGTACAGCATTTAATTCATTATTATAAAAAATTATACCATGCTGCCTTTCAATCAAATGAATGTCAAGGAGGCTTACAAGAAGCAGGAAGTCTTACATTGCAAGGTTGATACTGATTCTTCATCTAGTGACTTAATTTTGAATCCTTTGGTTCAGGAATTCAGGGCTTGGAACAGGATCAATGCAGTCAATCTGTTTCTTTTCCTAATGTATTTTTTTCCCTGCACTTGTATATAGTAAAATTATACTTGTCCTTTCTCCAGAAATATTATAGTACAGCATTACAGCAACATAAATAGCTTGTTTTCCAGTTATCTTACCAGTCTTCCAGCTTCATCAAACTTTCCCTGAATTCAAAAAATACGTATTGTAATTCTGAGCCATTTACACTGAAAGTCTCATATACAATATTCAGCCATACAACATGAATGTTACTGATATAATGAAATCACCATATGATTATTTTAATATAAATTTAACTCAGTGAAAATGCTCTCTCTTCTTCGTTGCTGGACAGTTTAACGTAAATGGCTGCCCGAAGATTAGACCAGAAAAGTCCATGCTTGCTTTTCTCCTTTGGCCACTCCAAGTACGTTCTCTTGGCCATGAGAGCTTTCAGTTTGTGGTACCTGGCAGGAATGATGTATGCAGGGATTGATTCCAGCACAATCAGGATTAAACTGTCGGCATTTTCACTGAATAACTTGTGATGGGCAAAGTAGAGCTCATAATGACACCATTCGCTCTGCACAAAGTAAGGAGACAACACAAAGATGGACTTGTAACTTTTCTCAATGCAGTCTATGATATTCTCCACAATGCTCTTGCCTGCAACAAAGTTCCTCTCGTGCTGGCAGATCCGTATGGAACCATCCTCCTTCTCCAAGTTTGGAATCAATACGTTTTTCACCCACTCAGAATCATGCTCACTGTAGGAGATAAAAGCATGGAACTCTATGTTGGGGAGCATGTCTTCAGGATTACTCTTCCGAATCCTCTGTTTTGCTTGAGTCCACTTCCACATCATCTTCAAATACCATGGAACGTCAAAACGGATGCAGAGGAAGGAAACAGTGGCTACTAAGACCACGGTAATAATTATAACTATCGTGATCAGAAGACTCACGTTGCAAACAACTTCAGAGACGTGAAAGTCCCTTAGAAAGGTCCCCCTTAAGTAGTCTGGGTACTCACACGCATAAGCGTCAGGCCAACCAACCAACTCCATAGATCCTTGCTTTTGAAGACTGATGAACTGTCTTAATTCACAGGTACATGTGAATGGATTGTGTCCTGCTTTTAGCTGTTTGATGCCTTGACACGTCTGGTAGAATTCAGAAGATGGTGAGACAACAGAGTTCATTTCTATATTCAGGAACCTCAGATTTCTAAACTGACCACATCCAGGCAGACTAGCTAGTTTATTGGATGCCAAATTTATTTCTTCTAAAGCCGTCAGCTCAGTAATCTCTTTGGGAATGCTTGAAATGGGATTGTTTTGAAGATGAAGAATTTGAATATTTGCTGGTAAACATCTAAATACTGACTCCGACAATTGATTAGACGCCAAATTCAATTTAATCATATTTTTACCCCAGTGGCAGTCATTCATGTTATCTTCGTATTGCAACAAATTCTGACTCAAGTCCAAGTGTTTCAGTGAGTTCATGCGACTTGTCATTAAACTCATTTTGGCAAGTTGTTTAAGTTGATTGTTTTGTAAAATGAGTGTTTCTAGGAGGGCTAAGTTCTTGCAATTTTCAAAAACTTTGTCAGTCAATGAATTATGTGAAAAACTTAAATAAGTAAAATCACTGGGTTTTAAAGGACAAAACATGATTAGTATCCCCGAATGAGAAATTGTCAATGATGCAATATTCATTTCTGAAAATGTTCTGTACACATCCTCCTGGTTAAACATCTCTGAAACTGCAACAGCATGTTTAATTGTCAATGCTTTTAGTGAGGTATCAACGTAATTGAGAGATTGACTTGTGTCTTCAAATATTAAAATGTTCACATAGTTGATGTTGAAATATTCAATGGAGGATTCCCACACCTTCTGAAGAATAGCTGTGAGGCTTAGCCAGGATAGTTGTATATTATTCAATGTTAAGTTTAGCAATTTCCCATTTTTGCTGGGTTGTGACAAAAATGTTATCAAGTCACTGACTTGCTTACCTTGGATATTTGAAAGTTCTAAGCTTTCAGTAACATTGAGTTCTAGAGACACAAATTCTGAATTTTCAGGGAGTGCAATCCGAAGCTTCTTTGTGTTAAATGCTGGAAGACTTCCAGGGACAGATTCAGTGAGGTGTTCTAAGCCCAAGAAGAGAGTATCCAGTTGTAAATTAGCAAGAACTCTGAAATCTGATTTCTGTATTCTTCTAGCGCTGAGGCCAAGATATTCCAGCTTCACCATTTTGCCAAACGCCTGGCAGGTGGGCATCTCCATGAAGTTATTGTAAGAGAGATCTAGATGCCTGAGACTTGTAACAGGAATGCAAGAAAGAGTCTGCAGTTTGTTGTGGGATAGATCCAGAAGTTCTAAGTCTTTATTGTATTGGAAAATGCTGAAGTCAAGCTCTCTAATCAGGTTATGAGAAAGATTTAGTACCCTGAGTTTGGAAAGAGAACTAAAATCAGAAATCTGAAGTTCAGAGATACTGTTGTATGACAAATCCAAGTCTGTCATTTGTGCTGGAAGATTCTTAGGAACAGCATCTAAGCCACTCTTGGAGTAGTTTGCTTTAAATCCATTTTCTGCAGAGGTATAGGTATTGTTCCAGAAAGTTATTGTAAAGATGCAAATACAAAGGAAACCATTCCTGTCTGGACCGTTCATTTCTGCCATGGCATCTAAAGATTTTTAAAATGTGCTTGGCGGAGTTCTTGTACTCTGTATTAGCCTCAAACTCCTGCAAAAAGAGTTCACATTAAAATATTAAGTACTCTAATGGAAACATTAGCTCTCCCAATATTCATTCTTATTACGGCAATAGAAGACACTTCATAATTTAGCAGAAAAGCAGAATCAAATGACAATTTAAAACATAGTTATGAAGAGATTTCATGATGGCCATATGTGTTTTTTGCAGTTTAAGATACAGAAAGCCTTACACAGATCCAGGAGTTAGTGAGACATCTCTCTGGAAGTTTGAAAAAGGATGAACCACTGTGAATCTGAAAGGAATTCAGTTGCGTGGATATATATATATATATGCATATTTTGGGTCTCCACCACCACTGATTTCTTGTGATTTGCTTGTTATCCCCATTTCTTTCTCAGCTGGGGCCAAATGAGATGTTGTGGCAAAATACAATTATAGAATCACAGAACTGTAGCTTTGGAAGGGACACCAAGGGTCATCTAGTCCAAACCCCTGCAATGTAGTATCTCAGCTAAAGCATCCTGTACCATACATACCTGCAGTATCTACAGCTCCCAGATGTTGTTGGAGTACAACTCATCCTCCCACACCACTGGCCATCTAGCTGGCATTGATAGGACTTTTGAATCTAACACAAGGAAGGCCACAAAATCCTTATCTTTGATATACCCCCCCCCCAAAGCAGGGCACAGAGAAGCTTGGAGGGAAATGAAATTTGGGGAAACGGTGCGAGGAAAGGATTTGTTTTTTAAAGCCCTTTCACAGTGCTAACCAGTCACCACACACACACACTTTCACTAGCTTTTACCTCTTTACCAGGTCACATTCAGCTATGTTTTGCTCAGAATAGACCCATTTAAGTAATTGGACCTAACTGTGTTAAACTAAGTTGGAAACCACCTAGCAGGTCCAGTCATGGATTTCATGACATCACATGCAGTTCAGCCCCAGAAGTTCAGAATTTGCTTAAATAAAAGTATCTGCTGGACACACTCTGAACAAAGTTTAACTCTGTCTATGTGTGACGGGGGAGGCGAGAGAGAAATTATTTTGAAAAGAATGGAACACAGCTGGAAAATGAAAAAGCCTAAAGGGATTTTTTTTGCAGTTGGGTGTGGGGCATGGGGTTCCCTGTAGGTGTTGTTTGCTTTGGGGGGAACTGATGCTACTTTAAAGATTACCCACATTCCTTTGGGGGTTTATCTGCTCCCTAATGCAGCCACTCGCCCCCCTCGGGGGAGGGGATCTTGGAAACTGTAGTTTGTTAAGGGTGCTGGAATTTGTAGCTCTGTTAGGGGTGATCTACAGTTCCCATGTTTGGTGGGAAGTGTTTAAAACGCATGGTATGTACAGAGCCTTAGTTTCAATAACATTTCCTCACAAAGAAACTTAGCTTGAGGATAAAGCTGCCATGGAAAAGTAATACTGCTCAGGGAGTGGTGCAGAAAAATATATATTAGGTTTAACTAAATAGCCCTTTAAAAGTATTTAGTATAGACTCATCCATTTGTCCTGTTATTCCTAGGCCTGGGTCAGAAAAGTTTTCCTCCCCCCAATCCATTGCTTTTTCTAGGAAAACTCAGTGTTTGCTGCTGGGCTGGAATAAATGTCAATTGAGTTTTCTGAGGATTGGTGTTTTCTCTGATTCAGTGGCGAATCATAGAGTTGGAAGGGACCACAAGGTTCATCTAGTCCAACCCCCTGGAATTTTTTGGCCAACGTGGGGCTCAAACCTGAGATTAAGAGTCTCATGCTCTTCCTTCTGAGCTATCAGGATTCTCCCAGGGAAAATGACGCTATGAAAGAAACACCATTTGGACCTGTGTCTAGAAACAAAAGTGTGGATGAGCCCTTGATTGTGGTGAGGCAATGGTGATGAAGAAAAATGTTTCATTTCAAATGGTAATGAACCTCAGGGTATGTAGCAGACCTGAGATTAGATCCTCAGAACTAGCCTTTCATACATAATGGGCAGGACTAAGGATGGGAGGATCTGTCAATTGCGGTTCTCTCTGTTTCTCATTTTTCCAATCTTAAATTTGGTTCTCCACATTTCTGCACCAATTTGGGCATTTTTCAAAAAGTCCTCATGGAAACTCTTCAGCGGTTGTGTGTGAATTTCTCTTAACATACACATTTCTGTATGCAGTTTTGACCAATGTACACATTTCTGAATGCAATTTCTCCTAATACAGTGGTACCTCGGGTTAAGTACTTAATTCGTTCCGGAGAGCCATTCTTAACCTGAAACTGTTCTTAACCTGAAGCACCACTTTAGCTAATGGGGCCGCCTGCTGCTGCCGCGCTACCGGAGTCTGATCTCTGTTCTTATCCTGAAGCAAAGTTCTTAACCTGAAGCACTATTTCTGGGTTAGCGGAATCTGTAACCTGAAGCGTATGTAACCTGAAGTGTATGTAACCCGAGGTACCACTGTACAATGCATTTTTGTATATTACTTTCACTTACTAATGTTTGCACATAATATACATGTTTTATCAGCACTGGTTGGAGAAATGCACAGCAAAATTCAGATGTGCAAATTTTGAAGGATGGGTGTTTTTGGTTCTCAATTTGATAAATTCAACTTTAAATGAGGACTTAACCAAATCCCCCCCCCCATGCCTAATCAAGGCAATAAATCACACTGGTGATGATGATGATTAAAATTTGTATACTACCATATACCCACAAGTCTTAGGGAGGTTCACAAGATAATCTTTCCAAAACCCTGTGCCAAGAGGTGGTATTAGATAGAATAAGTGACTATATTTAACCAACACTGTTAAACCGATGTCTGTTAAAGCAGCAAAGGGAGAATGAGGGTTAGTTTAGGGGTGGGGAATGGGTTCTGAAGAACAGCCATCTTGGATGCTTTCTCTGCAAGCCCCTCCTCACTTTTCATGGGATACACAAAATGCACGTCCAGGAATCTTAGCTGGATGAGAGGGGTCTCGCAGGGGAAAGGCAGCAGGTAAGAGAAAGATTAAGCAGCCATGTCTTCAGCCAGCACACACCCTAAGGCTTTATAACTGTTCAGCAGTCAGGGGCTACCAAAGCCATGCTTATGGCTAGATACCAAGTTCAGCCAAAAGGACGGAAAAGAAGATGCCGTGTTTTCACAATATTGGACCCATTCATGGGTGTAGCCAGGTGGGGGCAACTGGTCCCCCTAGATACACAAAAATTACTGAAAAGCATTGAAAGTACTCAATTAAGTGAGGTTCTGCCCCACCCCCCATGAAAGCGATCTCCTAAAAAAACTTTGGACCCATTCACCATTCACAATAAAAGTTAAGTGACAAGTACTCTCTTGGCAAAAGTATTCAAAACTTTCTCATGTTACATGTTTTAAAATCATTAACACCTACCTTATGCCTTTCAGCAGCAGGAAAGAGCGTGTTTCTAAACAGAGTGTCTTAAGAGGAAGAATGCTGTTGCCTTAAAGATGGGGCAGAAGATTCTCCGCCCCACTTTTAACACAATCAATTTTGTCAGCCTTTGCAGTAAAAGGTAGACAACAACAACAACAAAATGAATTAACAGTGGGAGAAAACTATAGTATGTTCAGAGGAGATCACAAACTCAACTAAAAGAAAAGGAATGAGGAACTTAAGTTACAACTTGGTCACAAGCTAAATATAAACATTAACTTGGCGTAATTTACAGGAAATCTATGCCACTGTCAAGACTTCCTCTTTACCCAGATGGGTAGTTTCAACATGTAACCTGATGGTGCATGTTTTAAAACTGCTGGTTTTAGTTCTGTTTTGATAATTCTATGTTGATTTGTTTTAAAGTTGGCGTTGGCAACTGGGCACGATTTAGAGATGTAATAACAATTTGTTTGCTTCGTCGTTAATGTTTGAGATATCAAAATTCCTCAGACAGCCTCCACACAAAGATTCCCGGTTACAACCTGGAGATGTTAAGGCTACATATCCCTCTAAGTACTAAGGGGGGGGGGGGAGTGTTTGCAGCCGTGATTTAAATGAAATGATCTGGATTGTCATTTGATTTGATTTCTATGTGGATGTTCACCCCCCCCCCCGCATATGAATATATTTTGCCTTTTTAAAGCTACATTGCGTTCTTGAACACAGAAAGGTGAAGGAATTTTTTTTAAATGATAGACGACATGTGCAAGGATCCAGCCCACCATCATTACACAATGGGATTTAAAAACATCAACACACACACATGCTACTGAGCAAGACTTGGCTTTTCTGGCAATGGCGGACGTTGCAACACACACACACACACACACACACACTATATATATATATATATATATATATATATATATATATATATATATATATTTGCCCCTGCAGGATGAGCAGCACCTGTTACAATGCCCTCTTCTGCACAAAGATCAAAAGTGAGAGATTCCTGCCTTCCCCTTTTTCTATTCCTCTACCTGCCAAACCTCAACCCTTCATGTTGTTTTTCAAAGCTGCCTGAGAGGATCTGAAACCCAGATCTCTACGAGAGCGCTTTGCAGGATCCAGCCCTGCAAAGTCCCTTCAGTTGCAAAGGGAGAAGCAAGTGCGTGACATAGCGGACATTTTTTTGAGACGAAAATGCCCTTGCACCTTTTTTTCTTTCTTTCTTTCTTTCTTTCTTTCTTTCTTTCTAGGGCAAGCTTGCAATCCCCGAAGAAAAGCAAGCGGAGAGACGGAGAAGAACTCGCGCCCCTGGAGAGTTGCCCAAGTCCCAAACGACGGAGAAAGTTGGTTTGGTTTTTTTTAGGCGCCATTTTTTTTAAGAGGCAGGGGCGAAGGGGGAAAAAAACCAAAAGGCGGCTTGAAACTGTGCGCGCGACCCGAAGCGCCGGCTCCTTTCCCGCCTTTTTTAAACCGTTTACCTGCTTGGCGGCAAAGATAAGTCGCTGGTCGCGTAAGGGGCCTCTCGGGGCTAAAGAAGGGCAAGCGAAGCCGCAGGCGGTGGCAACAGATTTCCCCACAGGAAGAGAACCCGTTTTTGCGCCCTCCCCTCGGTCGACTTGAGGGGAGGGCGGACCGAATGAACTCTGCCCACTTGCCCCCCAATGGGTCATCGTCACGGGGATGTGAAATACGGGTTTCCCCCACTTCAGTTACAAGGAATAAGTTATGGGGTGTGGTTTTTGGCTTTTGGAGGAAGTGCTCTTTGAAGCAAAAGCACCTCAGTCCCTGGTTTGGTTTTGGGCAGTTGGGAGCATGTTTGTTCCTGCCCAAGATGCGCTTCGTTTTCATGGTGAGCCCAGCTAGCAAACCCAAAGAAACCTGGGAAATAAGTAGGTAGGGGCTTGGTTGTCTGGATAATTGTGTGAAAGGCAAACAAAGAAAGGCAAAAAATGCCAGTCCAAAAAAAATTACCGCTATAAAATCCAAAACAGCAACAGCTGCACTCAAATTTATTTTGTCTAATAATAATAGTAATAATATTTTTGTATTTATACCCCGCCCATTCGGCTGGGTTTCCCCCAGCACATAAAAAATGGTAAAATATTAGACATTAAAAATCTCCCGATACAGGGTTGCCTGGTGATTTTATGGAGAGCAAAAAAACCATCCTAAGCTGCTGAGTGGAGTGCTGCTGCTTATTTGTGGACCTCACAGCAATAAATACGAATCTGTAATTCCACTTTGGCTAAACAAACTATATACTGTACACACCAACTTGTACCCCTATATAAGAACATTTAATCACAGTCATGGCTGCAAGCCTAAACATGTACATACACATTTAAAGCACATCCCCCCCCCAAAAAAAACCTGGGAGAAGTGTTGTTTACTCCTCAAAGAACTACAATTTCAATTCCCATACCAAACTACAGTTCCCAGGACAGTAAGGAGCTTACATCTGAGTGAACATACTTTCTTACATTTTTCTAATTGAAAGCAATGAGAAGTTAATGTTCCAAACCCGAGATCATGGTTAAGCTCTCTTCTTTAACCATAACCCAATAAGACACAAAGGAGAAGCCACTGGCAGAAAGAAGAGGGGGAATTCAGGCAGCAGTTCTTAAGCATGTGAAGTGTTTTGAAGTGTTAATAAAATAGTATTATTATTTCACTCTTCCTTCTATTACTCCTATGACTAATCAGCTAAACATTATTTTACTGGCAGGCAGCCCTACAAACATTTATAAGCCATTTACCTGGAAGTAAACCCACTGACTTCAATAATATGATTCCTAGTGTGTACTTCAGAAAGGGATGTCCAAAATGTAAAGTCATATAGATGAAAGGGGCTGAAAAGCTCCCTCCCCAATACAGAGCCATTTAGCACACAGTGGAAAGCACAGAGTACATTGCAAAAGTTTGGCTACATGCCACAAAAGTACAGGATGGTAAAGTGTGGATCATCACTACTAGCCAATCTGACTTATTAAAAAACAAATTTCAGTAACCCAATATAGTAAAGTGTTGGGTTCGGGTCAGGAAGAGAAGGGTCAAAATCTCCACTTAGCCATGCCACAGAGATGGGCAACTTGTGATCCTCTGGATGTTATTGGACTACAACTCCTGTCGGTCCCTAACCATTGGTTGTGCTGGCTGGAACAAAAGGCAGTTGGAGCCCAGCAACGTCCAAAGAGCCGCCAAGTTCCACACCCCTGGTCTTGAGCAAGGAACTATATCTCACAGGCTTGTGAAAACAGGATTATGACCTGGGTTCTTTGGTCTGGTTTCCCAACCTGCTGTATAAATTATACTTCTTGCCCCCTACTTTCTGACATTCTTATATTCAAAATAGGAATTATACAAACTAATATGCACTGGCTCTCATTCAAGAAATGTTTGGTGTAGGAAATAAGGCTCGGGTGTATTATTTTCATAGGTCAGCAATGTATAGAACAGTTTCTAGACCTATGCTCATCTGACTGCTTTTTCCAAGTAATCTTTTTCTTCCCCAGGTCATGTGGCAACCAGAACTATACACTGCAACATCTCAGAATATAAAACAAGGCAATGAACATGTGTAAGTGAATGAATCAATCAGTCAATCAATCAATCAATCAATCAATTTATTATTACGGTCACAGACCAGTTCTGGCTCACTTACAATATCAGGAAAATCATAAAGCACGATAGGGATACATTGAATTGCAATTGGGTATAACAGGGACAATACAGATATAGCAGCAGTTAAAAATATTTAAGTTAAATCTTAATCACTAAACTATAACCTAAAATTTTTATTTAAAACCTTAATCATTTTGGTAGTACAGCTTGTTCCCTAAGTTTTATGGCGGTCACACAGTATTTGGCCACCCTTAGTGTGACCTCTGGATCCTTGTCCTCTACCAGGAGTTTTAGACATTGAAGTTTGGACCCATTTGGAGACTTTTGTATAACGGTTGATAAATACCGAGCGTATATCCCCGGAGAAACGGCAGTGTAACAAGATATGAGAGACAGTTTCTACCTCCATCAAGCCGCAGGGGCAGACTCATTCCGCGTATGGTTTGCCCTTGAATCTGTCCTGCAATAAGGCAGATGGCAGCACGTTGAACCTGGCGAGGGTAAACGACCGTCTGTATTTAGGTATTTGTAATTTGGACAGATATATTGCTGAGGTGAACCCTCTCCCATTGTCTTTTATTGCTGGGTGTTTATTCATCTCACTCACATGGCATTGTAGTTCTACATCTCAAATTAGTTGGTGGATTATTGCTCTAGCTTTCTCATAACCTACAGCTATCAGGGCCTGTGGGGAAAACCCCAAGCATCTTAGCTTTTCGTGCAGTGTAGTTTTCCATTTGGATTGGTAGGAATCCAGTAGGGTTACAGGTGCCAACCTGACAGGGGGAAAAATAAGTTTTAACCAATAATGGATCTTCAGGGTCCATATCTGAGCGCTGACAGAGATTTGCCCAACCTCCAAGCGGACAGCTATGTTAGACACGCAAGAAGGGATCCCTAACAGTGATAAAACTTAGTTTGGAAGGATTCTAAGGGACCAAGATTTAGGAAGCTGCAAATCTGGGAGCCGTGTGTCAGCTGTGTTAATACTTTTGTAACAAAGACCTGAGAGGCTGCCGGAATATATTGGCCCCCTTTTCCATATAAATACCTTATGAGGGCTTTGGTAGATCTTTGGGCATTTGCAATAGTATTTTTAACCTGGTAATGCCACGACCCCTTTTCCTGAAAGGCTATGCCCAGGTATTTAAAAGACGATACCTGTTCTATGGGTCAATTATCAATTCTCCATTTGTGTCTCATTTTTTTTTAGAGAACACCATGACTTTGGATTTAGTGTAGCTGATTGTTAATTGTTCGGCTTTGCAATGGGTTGTGAGAGATCTTAAAAGTTTTCTTAGGCCCACACAGTAGAAGGAAATTAGAACTGTGTCATCTGCGTACAAGAGAACCGGGAGGGGCGTACCAGCCAATTTAGGGGGATGGGCATTTTCTTTCTCCATGTTTCCTACTAAGGAGTTAATATAGAAGTTGAATAAAATGGGAGCAAGGACGCAGCCTTGTTTAACACCATGGTAGGTTTGTATTTCCTTAGATAAATGGCCCTGTCGGTCACACCTGGACTTGAATGTTAACCTGGACCCAAATGTTTTCGTATAAGCTGTGGATGAGACGCAGTAGATGTCTGTCTATGTTTGAGGCACTTAGTTTTTCCCAAAGCCTATCTCGTGATATTATATCAAAGGCAGATGAAAGCTGCATAGAGGGATCCTCCTTTTCTTGAGGTATATTTTTCCGCAAGATGTTGGAGTACTAGGCCTTGATCTAAAGCTGGTTGGTTGGTTTGCCCTGAAACCAGCATGTGCTTCTGAAAGGACATATTCTCGCTCAATCCAATCCTCAAGTTTATTATGTAAGTGGGCAGCACAGAGTTTACTAATAATGCTTAGGAGAATATAATTGGTCTATAATTAGCAGGATCAAACCTGCTCCCTTTCTTGTATATTGGGAAGATGATTGCTAGTCCCCAGTCCTCTGGGATGGTAGCCGATTGATCTATGCTGATAAACGGCAGCAAGCACTCGGGCCCACCATTAAGCATTGGCCTTGAGGAGCTCAGGGGAGATATTGCCTGCGCCAGGAGGTTTGCCAGGTTTAAGAGACTGAATAAGCCTGCGGGCTTCTTCAGTTGACACCGGGGGCTTCTCAGCCCTGGTTTCACTTAAGAGGTAGGGACTGAGCCTGTAGATGTTGATTGTGTATAGGGATTGGAAGTATGACTCCCAAGTCCCAACAGGGATGGAGTATTCCACTTCGGAGGGGGAGTCTTGCCATCTCTTTGCAACTATTTCCCAAAAGGTGGCTGAATCTCTCCTTCGAGAATGCGTAAGTGAACTCAAACGAGTTTAAGTGCAAGGGTAAAGACTTAAGGTTTACCAGGCTTTTAGCCTGCTGTGGTTGTTTTTAGTGCTGCCTTTTATTTATTTATTTATTAGATTTTATTGGTGATTGTAAAATGGTATGAAGATTTTTAATGGAAGAGTAATATAGAAATGCATTAAATAAATAAATATTTTGCCTGCAGAAAGCCCCAGAATCAGTCCCTGGCATTGGCAGCTAAAAGGATCAAGCAGTGGATGATAGGAAAGAGTATCTGCCTGGGACCCTGGAGAGCCAAAGGCTGTCAGAGCAGACAATACTGGGGTAGATAGATGAATAGTCTGACCATTATATGACACTTTCATATTTTTAAAAATAGCTGGTTTCCTACAGCTAGGCTATATTAAGGTTATTATAGGTATAATAACTATGAAAGCATAAATACAGCAAGCTTAATATGAATTCCTGTCTTAATATGGACAAATAAAACTCTATGCTTCCTAATCTCCCTTGCTTGGTCTAAGTGGGCTCCCTTTGTAATGTCCGCTTTTAGTATGTGATACCTGGCAGGAATTATATATGTAGGGATACGTTCTAACAAAATGAGCGTTTTCAGTAAATACTGGTACTTTTTTGATAGGCATTCACAATGCACAAAATTGGAAGACAGCACAAAGACTAACTATTCACAAAAGCAGTCTCTGATATTTTCAACAGTACATGGGTGCACAAAAGTTCTTCTCATACCAGCAGATCTGTTTATTTTTATATAAATTCAGCTCAATGAAAACTGACTTTAATGCTACAACTCTAAACAACTTCTTCATTGTTTGGAAGCTTAACATGATTATTCAACCATACAACAGGGGTTAGCAAATTTTTTCAGCAGGGGGCCAGTCCACTGTCCCTCAGACCTTGTGGGGGGCCAGACTATATTAGGAGGTGGGGGAAATGAACGAATTCCTATGCCCCACTGAAATATACTCAGAGTCGCAAAGTGATTTCATGCTCTTTATTCAGCTCATAGTGGTGAGGAGGAACGAATGAATGTCCCCTCAAAGTATCTGCTTTATATACATTATTTACACAATGGGCTGCACATGATTGGCTAATTCCGTAATTCTACTGTAAGCCAATCAGGTTGTGGATTCACTTCTATCTGGAGCATGATTGGGTGGTTCCTGCTAACCAATCATACTGCTGCATTGTTCTAGGACCAATCAGACTGCTGCATTCTGAATCCTATTGTTCTAGGACCAATCAGACTGCTGCAGTTTGGATCCTATTCAACTCAGTACATAACACCCACAAATAACCCAGAGATGTATTTTAAATAAAAGCACACATTCTATTCATGTAAAAACACGAGGCAGTCCCCACAAATAACCCAGAGATGCATTTTAAATAAAAGGGCACATTCTGCTCATGGAAAAACACGCTGATTCCTGGACCGTCCGCGGGCTGGATTTAGAAGGCAATTGGGCCGCATCTGGCCCCCAGGCCTTAGTTTGCCTACCCATGCCATACAACATGAATGTTACTGATATAATGAAATCTGCATATGATTATTTTAATATAAATTTAAATCCGTGAAAATGCTCTCTCTTCTTCGTTGCTGGACAGTTTAACGTAAATGGCTGCCCGAAGATTAGACCAGAAAAGTCCATGCTTGCTTTTCTCCTTTGGCCACTCCAAGTACGTTCTCTTGGCCATGAGAGCTTTCAGTTTGTGGTACCTGGTAGGAATGATGTATGCAGGGATTGGTTCCAGCACAATCAGGATTAAACTGTCGGCATTTTCACTGAATAACTTGTGATGGGCAAAGTAGAGCTCATAATGACACCATTCACTCTGCACAAAGTAAGGAGACAACACAAAGATGGACTTGTAACTTTTCTCAATGCAGTCTATGATATTCTCCACAATGCTCTTGCCTGCAACAAAGTTCCTCTCGTGCTGGCAGATCCGTATGGAGCCATCCTCCTTCTCCAAGTTTGGAATCAATACGTTTTTCACCCACTCAGAATCGTGCTCACTATAGGAGATAAAAGCATGGAACTCTATGTTGGGGAGCATGTCTTCAGGATTACTCTTCCGAATCCTCTGTTTTGCTTGAGTCCACTTCCACATCATTTTCAAATACCATGGAACGTCAAAGCGGATGCAGAGGAAGGAAACAGTGGCTACTAAGACCACAGTAATAATTATAACTATCGTAATCAGAAGACTCACGTTGCAAACAACTTCAGAGACGTGAAAGTCCTTTAAAAGGGTCCCCCTTAAGTAGTCTGGGTACTCACACGCATAAGCGTCAGGCCAACCAACCAACTCCATAGATCCTTGCTTTTGAAGACTGATGAACTGTCTTAATTCACAGGTACACGTGAATGGATTGTGTCCTGCTTTTAGCTGTTTGATGCCTTGACACGTCTGATAGAATTCAGAAGATGGTGAGACAACAGAGTTCATTTCTATATTCAGGAACCTCAGATTTCTAAACTGACCACATCCAGGCATACTACCTAGTTTATTGGATGCCAAATTTATTTCTTCTAAAGCATTCAGCTCTATAAGCTCTTTGGAAATGCTTGAAATCTGGTTGTTTTGAAGAGCAATCATTTGTATATTGACTGGCAGACATCGAAAGACTGATTCAGACAACTTATTAAATGACAAATCTAATTCAACCAGATTTTTACCCCAGTCACAGTTATTCTCATGGTCTTCATATTGCAATAAATTCAGGCTCATATCCAAATATTTCAAAGATGCCATGTGACTGGTCATTAAACTTACTCTGACAAGTTTTTTGAACTGATTACTTTTTAAAATGAGCTTTTCAAGGAACATTAAGTCCTTGCAATTTTGAAAAACGGTGTCTGTAAAACTGTTATTTGAAAAACATAAGTAAGTAAAATGACTGGGGTTTGAAGGGCAAAGCATGTGTATCAAACCTGCATCAGAAATGGTCAAGGCTGTAAGGTTCATCTCCGAAAACAATTGCAACAGATATTTTGCATCAGAACGAAATGTAGTCAATGTAGTCTGCTTAATTGTCAAAGCTCTGAGTGAAGTTTTTGTATAATTAAACTCTATTGAATTTGGAGCTTCCAACTGTGATGCATTGGCTATAACAAAATATTCAATGGTTGATTCCCATACAGTCTGAAGAATTTCAATGAAGTCTTCCCAGTCACATTGTATATTGTTCAGTGTTAGGTTTAGTAATGTTGAGTTTTTGTTAAGTTTCAGCAGGAAAGTTCTTAAGTCATTGACTTGTGTTTCTTGGATATTTGACAGCTCTAAACTTTCTGTTACATTGATTTCTAGATCTGGCAATACTTGATAATCATTGTTTGGTGGGAATATAATCTGAAGGCTCCTTGCATTGAACACTGGAAGATTTCCATGGATATATTCAGAGAGGTCTTCTAGGCCTAAGAACAGAGTTTCCAGTTGTAAATGTGCAAGAACACTGAAATCTGATTTCTGAATTCTTCTAGCACTGAGGCCAAGATATTCCAGCTTCAACATTTTGCTAAATTCCGGGCATGTGGGCATGTCTACATAGTTATTGTAAGAGAGATCTAGATGCCTGAGACTTGTAACAGGATGACAAGAAAGACTTTGCAAGTTGTTATAGGATAGATCTAGATGTTCTAAGTCTTCATTGTACTGGAAGACACTGAAGTTCAGCTTTCCAATGAGATTATGAGAAAGAATTAGTACCTGGAGCTTAGAAGAAGAACTGAAATCTGAAATCTGAAGTTCAGAGATACTGTTATATGACAAATCCAACACTGTCATTTGTGCTGGAAGGTTCTTAGGTACTTTAACTAGAAATCTGTTGGAAAAGTCCATAATCAATCCTTTCCCTGCAGAACATTGGATGTTATTCCAGAAGATTATTGCAAGGAGGAAGGCACTAAGGAAATGGTTGGTGACTGAACTTCTTTCATCTACCATCGTGCATGAAGATACTTTAAATGTTTTTACTGGTGACTTTCAGCACTCCACATTGACCACAGGCCTGTAGGAGGAGAAATGCAGCAGCATGTTAATGAAATCACATCAAGTAGTTCAAAATGAATTATAGCAGCTATAATTCCTGGATGCCTTGGACTCTTATTTCCTATTTGTTTTAGTTGATGAGAACCATGAAGACGTATGTGCATGCACACACAAGCAGACACATGTTTTGAAGAAAAATATTCTGATTACAATGAAGTTTTGATACATAGGTGTGAAGGGGTGTCCTTTCTATTCCCATAACATTCTTCAGACAAGAAAACAAGCAAGAAAACAAATGATCATTAATAAAATCTATGGCATATTTATAACATGAACTGCAACTTTAAGCTGTAACTCTTAGATTTATATCTTGTTAGTAACACAACTTTTGAATTATGGTGTTGGAGGAGACTCTTGAGAGTCCCATGGACTGCAAGAAGATCAAACCTATCCATTCTGAAGGAAATCAGCCCTGAGTGCTCACTGGAAGGACAGATCCTGAAGCTGAGGCTCCAATACTTTGGCCACCTCATGAGAAGAGAAGACTCCCTGGAAAAGACCCTGATGCTGGGAAAGATGGAGGGCACAAGGAGAAGGGGACGACAGAGGACGAGATGGTTGGACAGTGTTCTTGAAGGTACAAACATGAGTCTGACCAAACTGCGGGAGGCAGTGCCTGGCGTGCTCTGGTCCATGGGGTCACGAAGAGTCGGACACGACTAAACGACTAAACAACAACAACAACAGTACAATGCCTGTCCTAAGTGATCTCTCATTCCAAATAAACGTGAAAGATAATAATAGGTTTTCCTTTCAAGGCAATTGGCAAACCTGTCCCAGTGTACACCAGAAAATTTTACTGCCTCCCTTTGTGTACCAGCTCCTGCCAAAGGGTCCTTGGAAGAGGAGTTTAGGAATAATCTGATTGAAATGAATTGCTTTTGTGTTGTCCTCTTTATTCTTGTTTTGTTTTATTTTATATATTTGTTATGCCACCCTATACCCACAGGTCTCAGGGCAGTTACAACATAAAATCACAATATAAGAACACAAAATATCTTGTGGCATTTTATGTTATAATTCTTCTCTCTTCCTTAGGTGGTGGTTTGGTTGTTGTTTTTTTTAAAAAAACAAAACCCAAAGCAGTTATGGGATTGACTCAGTGTTTTACCAGTGTTTACTACGTTCTGGTTTCCAGAGGTGTTATGTGATTCACCATTCGTATTGTTTCCTTTGGAACCTCTCTGTCTACCTTGAAAAGGCTCCCTTTGATTCATTGGGCAAAATACAGAGAGAATTTCAAAAAACGACTTGTTGAATTCTATGCTTGCAATGAAATCTGCCGCAATAAACAATGGATTTTTCTTTGTTGCATATTTTTAGCGCCACCTATGGATACAAACAAACAGTGTCGCGCTTAAGAACTTGCATGTTATTTAGGACAGGATTAAGTAAGGTATTGAGTGTATTGTTCAGCACTTGAGACCTCAGGAAAAAATATGAACCACCTGCAACATTATGCAATTTTATTTTTATAACTAGCTTGAGATGGACGATGTATAATATTAAGAGCAGCTTTCCCCCCTTTGAACTGAATTGGACTGTTGAGGGCAGTGTTAGGCTCTTTACAGTTGCTACAAGCACAATTACTGAGTTCTACTTAATAAAAGCTTTCCTTTTGAGAAATAATTGTGCCATCAATTCTGAAGCTTGATTTAGCTCTCGTTTTGCTGATCCTTTCCTAATTAGTTCCCACTATTGTAACATGAGAGGGAATTTCTTCCTTTCCAGAAATAACGGTCACTGTATTCTATCGGAATACAATTGTTTTGCGTGCTCTGAGCTACAGGAATGTGAATTGGAAATGATACAGAATTCGTAAGATTTGTTACCCAGAGCTTAGGCAATGCCAACTGGGACTTGTTATTTGAGGGCCCGTCCTAACAATTAAAGGGGAATTAACATTGGTTTTGGGGAGCAGGGAGGATTACTAGTATTTACCTTTAATCGTAAAATTTGGTGTGTATCCCTCAGTTCTATTCTGGAATACTGAGATTGTCCCACAGGAATCAAGTGAAACTGTCTTGTTTACATCTTACAGCCTGTATCTCATGCCAAATAGTTAAATGATTTCAGCTTTGACTCCTTCGAGCTATGTCAGTTATTGCTTCTGTGGTGCATTTCAGTCATCCTTACAAAGCACTGTTCATGCCCATTTTACCTTTGGAAATTGAGGCCCAGAGCTCTCCCAGTGAGTTCACAGCTCATGCAGAGCCTAGAATTGACCTGCCATGCATGGTGCCTGGGTTGGAAGGTGAGGCAGTAGAACTTGGCCCAACCATCAGGCCCACATTGGGCCCAATGCTTTTGTGTGACAGCAGCAAGGGGATCCAGTGGACCCCAGTCCCACCCCCTTTTTGCTGGCTACTGCCAGCAGGGATGCAAACAGTGACACTTCCACCCAACCATTTGACATGTGGAAGGACGGATTGCTCCCTTAAGTAGGGATTTGAACCCAGACCCCTCCAGACTTAATGTGACATTCTCACCACTAGGCTACACCAGTTTATTTATCACACACTTCCTGCTAGGGGCTCAGGACAGTACTGCGCATGGTTCCTTCCCCTTGTCCTCACAACTTTGTGCATTGGGTCAGGCTAAAATAGACTGACTGGCCCAGTAAGTTATATTGTTGTAAAGGAATTGGAAACTATTACTGTTTGTTTTTTTCAATTCATTAACAATTCAATCCTTTGCATGTTAACTCAGAAATTATATTAATTTGTTGTTTGCAAATGTGCGACTAAATGGATGTGCATTGCCTATAGGACTGGGTTAACAGTCCTGGACAACCAGGATACACACTACCCTGGTATGGGTGCCTAGGGGATGAGAAAGAGGAGATGGGAAAATTTGACTCGGATGGAGCATGAGACTCTTAATCTCATAGTCGTGGGCACAAGATTCCTGCGTTGCAGGGGGTTGGACTAGATGACCCTTGTGGTCCCTTCCAACTCAACAGTTCTATGATTCTGTGACTCCTTTGAAGCCTTGATGTCCCTCAAGGACAGCATTGTTGTTGTTGTTTTGTATCTTTATTTTAGATTTGGTTGTGATATATGTGTAAATTGTTCAGTTTGGTTTTGTATTTTTTAATGTTTCATTTATTGTTTATGACTACTTTTGAGTTCACTACTGTTACGACTACTGTTGTGGTTATGTATTTTTTAATGTTGTAAGCCGCCTTGATCATGGTCTGAACTGTGGATAGGTGAAGTACAAATAAAATTATGTATGTATTGAAAACAAGTAGACTTACTTTTGAGTACACGTGTACTGGGCTGCACTGTCCAAGGAACTTGACATGTTCAAGTTATGATTCAAGTTTTTGACATCTGACAAGTTATGTTGAGGGAACTTGACGTTTTCGTCAGTTCCAGCAACAGAAACAAAAGCTGAAGGAGCCCCTCTCTTCCGGGTGGTGGGGAAAAGGAAAGTGAAACTAAGGCAGAAATCCAGACTCACCTACTTGGGAGTAAGTCCCATTGAGTTCCAGGGGGCTTGCATCCGAGTAGAGGGGCGTTGCACAGGATCGCAGGGCACTCAAGAAGGGAAGGCGCGTGATGCAAAGAAAACCAGCACCACGCTCCACCACGGTGGTCTCCTGCTCTCACTGCCTGCTTTGTTCACCGTGGGAAACAGTCGAGACGGAGTTCACTTCTGGCCGCCGAAGCGCACGGGAGCGTAGCGTGAGCTACCACGGCCCGCCTGCTGCTGCTCCTGCTCCTGCTGCTGCTGTGAAGTCTGCCTGCTTCAGATTTGTTGGGGAGGGAGCTAGAAAAAGAGCCCCGCCCACTCTGTACTTGTCCGGCCCCATTGCCTCCCCACATCTCCTCTCCACCCCCGCTTTCCGTCAGAGAAGGGAGGAAGAAAGCGCGGAGCAGCGCGCAAGCTCAGTGACTGGGGGCCTTGGGAGGTTTTGAAGAAGAGGTTGGATGGCTATCTGTCATAGAGGATTTAGCTAAGATTCCTGCATTGCAGGACTAAATGACCCTAGGGGATCCTTTCCAACTCTACAATTCTGCGATTCAACAACAAGAACACTTGCCCAGAAGTAATAAAATATGTATTTGTTTGTTTTCCTGCTTCCTATTAAAATACAACTGCTATTGCTTTTGCACTATCTGTCACTAGCTCTCTACTGATTTGGTTGTTGTCGTCACCTCCCCATATTTATTTTTTTCTCCGCTCTGATCCAGTGGTGTCCAAACTTTTTTCAAAGAGGGCCAGATTTGATTAAGTGAAGGGCTGTGAGGGCCAACCAAAGTTGTTAACCTAAAAAAAGGATTGAAGTTGTTGAGCTTTTTAAAATTATTTTACCCCAAAGTTATTTTACCCCAGGAAATAAACTGCCACAGGGGCTGGGTTAAACCAACCGGCGGGCCACATTAGGTCTCCGAAACGGACTTTGGACATGCCTGATCAATATACCATCCAGGAGTTCCCCACGCCTGTTAAGGAAAAGACAGTGTTGCCTGTTCAAATGGCATTCCCGGTTTCAATTCATAGCAGTTCTTTTTAAACACCCTTTTGTTTATTTTGAAATATGCTACTTACTGAGAAGGCTGCGTTCATTCTTGCTTTTGAGAAACATCCCATGCTCCTTAAGAGCAGGAATCAGTCTGGCTCAAAGAATAGTCTATTCCTCCCTTGTTTGAGGTGCTTGCTTGAGAGATAACCCCATCCCCACGGGTGGCAGTGGTGATAAGAGTGATGGAGACTGGATCATGGATAAGAGTGGGAGAGATTGAACAGCAACCTTTGCCAACCTGATGCCCTCTAGATGTTAGACTGCATCTCCTGTGGAGTGCCAGGAGTGCCTTTTACCAGTTTTGGCAGATAAAAAAGCTACAGCCATTTCTGGATTGGTATGAGCGCAAAATATGGTCTGAAGCTCAACATCAAAAAACAAAGATCATGGCCACTGGTCCCATCACCTCCTGGCAAATAGAAGGGGAAGAAATGGAGGCAGTGAGAGATTTTACTTTCTTGGGCTCCATGATCACTGCAGATGGTGACAGCAGCCACGAAATTAAAAGATGCCTGCTTCTTGGGAGAAAAGCAATGACAAACCCCAAATGACAGCATCTTAAATAGTATAGACATCACCTAGCCAACAAAGTAAAAGCTATGGTTTTCCCAGTAGTGATGTATGGAAGTGAGAGCTGGACCATAAAGAAGGCTGATCGCCGAAGAATTGATGCTTTTGAATTATGGTGCTGGAGGAGACTCTTGAGAGTCCCATGAACTGAAAGAAGATCAAACCTATCCATTCTCAAGGAAATCAGCCCTGAGTGCTCACTGGAAGGACAGATCGTGAAGCTGAGGCTCCAATACTTTGGCCACCTCATGAGAAGAGAAGACTCCCTGGAAAAGACCCTGATGTTGGGAAAGATGGAGGGCACAAGGAGAAGGGGACGACAGAGGACGAGATGGTTGGATAGTGTTCTCGAAGCTACCAGCATGAGTTTGACCAAACTGCGGGAGGCAGTGGAAGACAAGAGTGCCTGGTGTGCTCTGGTCCATGGGGTCACGAAGAGTCGGACACGACTAAACGACTAAACAACAACAACAACAAATAGCTTGTTCACAGCACTGGTAACTTCAAGGCTGGATTACCAGCATGCACTCAATGTACCTTTGAGGTTGGTCTGGAGGCTGCAGCTAGAGCAGCACCTGGTGGCTAAGTTGCTTGGGGGAGTAAACCACCTCCAGCATGCAACATCTTGTTTGAGGGATTTGCATTGGCTGCCAATTTGCTGCTGGGTTAAGGTTTTGATACTGTTATAAATCCCCAAATCTCCCCCCAATGTGAGATTCCCAGGATCCCGGTGTTTTGTGTTTCCTTTGAAAATGAGGCACAACGGGTATCTTTATGATACATGGGATATTTATACATCTATACAACCTGACCCTATGATTGGCAGGTTCAAAGCATTACACTCCAAGAGGGTCTTGTTCCTCCCATTGCTGCAGTCTTGGATTCAAAAAGAAATAAAATGTGGCTCTTTGTCCCTCTGCTTAGCTTGCTGTGTTTAACAGACTGACACTTTTTCTCTCTAGCTCACAACCCAGGCAACTGCAATCCTAAAAACTCCATTCTGCTTTTTCTCTGCTAACTATCTCGCAGCTGTCCAGTATATAGTATTGTGTGACGGAGACCTGGGTACGCGAAGGGGCAACAGTTACCTTACGAGAGATGGCGCCCCCGGGTTTCTCCGTCCTCCACCAGTCACGGACTGTGGGCCGGGGGGGAGGGGTGGCATTATTAATCCGGGAAGATTGTCCTTTCAGGGCTCTACCATCGCCATCGATCCCCGGCATTGAATGTGTTGGCCTAGTGTGGGGCTCTGAGGTGAGCTTGGCTGTCTGGCTGGTGTACCGGCCACCTAGCGCACCAGCAGCCACCCTGTCAGGCCTACTGGAGGCGGTGGCCGGCTGGGCCTTGGAGTTCCCTAACCTATTGGTATTGGGGGACTTCAACATCCATGCTGATGCCACTCCCTCCTCACAGGCTCTGGACCTGGTGTCTTCCATGGCAACACTAGGGCTCTCCCAGTTTGTTTCAGGCCCCACACATCAAGCAGGCCACACGCTGGATTTGATCTTTGGCATAGGTATAGATGTGATCATGTCTCCTTCAATTAAGGTGCCATGGTCTGATCACTACGCCCTGAAAGCCAGGATTGACTTTCCACCCCCACCCTGCTTAGGTGGCGAGCCGATTTGGGCTCGCCCGCAGAGGCTGATGGACCCTGATAGATTCCGTCAAGCCTTGCGGGACCTTGCTCCCCCTGGCGACTCATTGACTGAGCTTGTTGAGGGCTGGAATACCCAGCTCCTGGCAGCCATAGATGAGATCGCACCTAAGCGCCCTCTGCGACTCCGCAGAAACCGGGCTCCCTGGTTTACCGAGGAGCTTCGGAAAATGAAGCGGGACCTCAGACGGCTAGAGCGAGTATGGCGGGGTGCCCGTGACGGAGCCTCAAGAACATCTTATAGGGTTTTTATGAAAACCTATGAGATGGCGGTGAAGGCCGCTAAGAAGTCTTACTTCTCGGCCTCCATTGCATCCGCTAGCTCTCGCCCGGCGCAATTATTTAGTATAATTAGGTCTTTAACGTCCCTTGAAGGACAGCCAAATTTAAATAACAATCTGACACACAGCTGTGAGGCATTTGCGAGCTTTTTGCGGAGAAGGTCCTGTTGCTCCGCCATGACCTCCCTGCCAATTTGGATACAATAAAGGAACTGGAGGCCCCTCGACTGTCCTCGGGTCCAGTATTGGACCACTTTGATCGGATATCCCCAGCCGATGTGGACAGACTCCTCCGAGCTGGAAAGCCCACCACCTGTCCTCTTGACCCGTGCCCGTCTTGGCTGATTAGAGCGTGTCCAGGCGAGGTGCGGGCCCCCCTGGGAGATATCATCAATTTGTCCCTTGGCACCGGGATATTTCCAGGGGAATTGAAGGAGGCAGTGGTGCGCCCGCTCTTAAAGAAAACATCATTAGATCCCTTAGATCTATCCAATTACCGCCCGGTTTCGAATCTTCCATTCCTGGGTAAGGTGATTGAGAGAGCGGCTGCTGAACAGCTTGGTAGGTTTCTGGATGAAACATCGGCTCTGGATCCATTCCAGTCTGGCTTCCGCGCTGGTCATGGGACCGAGACGGCTCTGGTCGCCCTAACAGATGATCTCCGCAGGCAGCTGGATCGAGGCGGGTCGGGGCTGCTGATTCTTCTAGACCTGTCAGCAGCCTTCGACATGGTTGATCACGAACTCCTGGACCACCGCCTTGCCGACGTGGGGATCCAGGGCACAGTCCTTCAATGGCTGCGCTCGTTTCTCTCCGGTCGGGGACAGAGGGTGGCGCTTGGGGGAATTGTCATCCCGCCACTCCTTGGTGTGTGGAGTGCCTCAGGGTGCGATACTCTCCCCGATGCTTTAACATCTTTATGCGCCCCCTCGCCCAGCTTGTCCGGAGTTTTGGGCTGGGTTGCCATCAGTATGCCGATGACACCCAACTCTATCTGTTGATGGATGGCCATCCTGACTCGGCCCCAGACACACTGACCAGATGTTTGGAAGCTGTGGCTGGATGGTTACGCGGAAGCCGGTTGAAGTTAAATCCTTCGAAGACAGAGGTCCTCTGGCTGGGACGGGACGATATGGGATTGGGGGCAACTCCCACCTCTCGCGGGGGTGCAATGAGTGCCAGCACCGTCCGTTAAGGGTTTGGGTGTAATCTTCGATACCTCCCTCTCTATGGAGGCGCAGATTACAGCTATAACAAAGGCGGCATTTTTCATCTCCGCCAAGCTAAGCAGTTGGCCCCTTATCTCTCTCGCCCTGACCTAGCCACTGTGATCCACGCGACGGTCACCTCCAGACTGGATTATTGTAACTCGCTCTACGTGGGGCTGCCCTTGAGACTGACCCAGAAACTCCAGCGGGTGCAGAATGCCGCGGCGAGACTCCTTATGGGGTCTTCGCTGCGAGATCACATTCATCCGGTACTATACCAGCTGCACTGGCTCCCGGTGGAGTACAGGATCAGGTTTAAGGTGCTGGTTTTAACCTTTAAAGCCCTATACGGCCTAGGACCCTCGTACCTACGGGACCGCCTCTCCTGGTATGCCCCACAGAGGAACCTACGGTCTGCAAATAAAAACATCCTGAAGGTCCCAGGCCTCAGAGAAGTTAGGCTGGCCTCAACTAGAGCCAGGGCTTTCTCGGCTGCGGCTCCAATCTGGTGGAACGCTCTGTCACAAGAGACTAGGGCCCTGCGGGACCTGACATCTTTCCGCAGGGCCTGCAAGACAGAGTTGTTCCACCAGGCCTTTGGTCAGGGCCCAGCCTGACTCCCACCTCCGGCAACCTGCACAGAACTTTGCTTAACGGTTGCCATTAATTTGATTTTAATTAATTTTATAATGAAATGTTTAGAATGTTGGATTATTTGATTGTTTGATTATTTGTTTGTTGTTAGCCGCCCTGAGCCTGGCTTTGGCTGGGGAGGGCAGGATATAAATAAAATTTATTATTATTATTATTATTATTCGCTTTGTTAATAGCTCATTACCTTCATTTTGTTCTTCTTGATGGCTCTTCTCCTAGGCAACTTCATGGGCATGGAAAAACTGGTTTGGTCTGTATTTTGACACTGCTAAATTCAGCCTCTACAGCCCATCTTAATACTCTAAGCATTACTTAAACTCCAACACTCACTAGACCCAGTAATTTAGGGGAGTCAAGGCACTCACAAACTCATAATACTAACATGCATGACCCTATAGAGTTTGGGACTAAGTTACTTGAGATACTGCCCTTATCCCTTATAGACCCAGCAGGTCACTGATTTGCAGGAGAATTTCTAAAATACGAGAGGTCCTCTCAATAGCAACTCAGAACAGGGTTTTCAGCATGGCTGCCCATTTTGTAGAACAGCATTCCATCTGAGATATGACAGCCCCTCCCTAGCGTTACTTTCTGAAAATGATGGAAGACATTTTTGTTTCAACAAGCTTTTTCAGGAGTACGAAAAGTTATTTGCCTTAGCTGTTCATTCTGTATTGTTTTTAAACCTATCCTTAGTAGTTATTTTCCAAACTATTTTTAGCTGTTTGATGGTATGTTTGTAAATCACATTAAGACGCACATGTAAAAGGAAATTAATAGATGGTGATAACGATGATGAATATATCACCCATCACTTTTTCTGTATTTGAAAGGCACTAGTTTCTTCAAATGTACAGAAATATAACAATATCACATCTTACTAGGTTGGAATTAGTCTGCAATTAACAGAAGACAGTAAAATGCGCAGAAATGTTTTACATCTCTATTGAAAAAATGGCAATTTGGAATTATAAGTAAAAAAATCAAGGGAAAAGAAAGGAAAGCATGGGTGTTAACATGTTTGATAAAGAATGGGTATGTAAACATGATTATGAGATTATTTACATAAAAAATACAAGTCGCCAATATGACACCCATGGGTACAATGGCTGCACTGAGGTCTTCTCCTGGTGTCCACAAAGCCTTTAAGCACACACACACACCATAGTGCCCTCTTGAGCATAAGGTGGTGAGCATAGTTACCTTTTCCTCCCTTGAAAATTAATTAGAGCTAAAGGAAGAAGTTGAAAGAGTGACACTCCAAGTGTTTTCCAGCTGGGTTAGGTTCTGTAGGATAAACCAAGTTCCTATTTGTTTCTTAGGTCACTTGATTTTGCTGGGCTGACATAGTCATAGTAGTATTTCACCATTACAGCAGCATTCCTGCAGTGCAAGAGAGATCAAGCTGGGAGCTGCTTGTGCCTATGAGCTGCCCTGGTGGTGCCAACAGCAGGCCATCTGGGTGTTTTGGCCTGAGACCCTAGTCCAAGACCTGTGATGTCCTGACCTAACACTGTTTATAATCAGGAAAAGTGCTTCATTTTGTAACAAACATAAACTGGATTTATTCTTCCCTAAGACCCAGAGGTGGTGCTATTTGGTTAATTATAGGACAAGGTGGAAGATAGTTATATTAAATTAGTATTAACAATATTAACTGTGGAGCACTTGTAAATTGTCCATGGAAGATTTCAGGAGTGAATAATAAATAAATAAATAATAAAATGTCTTCTTACACCCCCTGTTAAACCTGAACCAGTAGTACTGCAATGTTCCTGATGCTGGCTGGAGTCCTGAACAGGACCATCATGTAGCTATCCAGCAGTTCACGGCAACATTTGGGGGCATTCCCCCACTTCTCCCAAAACTAAATAGGGTGGTCCTGTGATCAGTAGGACAGTGAAATGGGGCCACCACCACAGACAATTAAGGGCTTCTTATTGCATGAGTGATTCCCCAGCTTTGGAGAAAGAAAATATTAGACTGTGAATTAAAAAACAAACAAACAAAATGAGTATGGTTCTGGGGAAGAGACACAGAAGATGAGGGCGGCTGAGCATCAGTTAAAAAGGAAAGCGGGGGCAGGGAAGAGGAAGAGGAATGGCCTGGCTCAGACCCTGATAGCTAACCTTATAGTATTTTGGAGGGAGCTGGAGAATTTAAGCTGAGGCAGGAGTCACAAAGCATTTTACAACCATGATACATTTGGATTTCTGAGTTCCATGGACATCATCCCTTTGGGTCACTTCTTTCTCCTGTCCCCTGACATCCCCCACTCAAGATACGGAGGTGGGAAGCGCCACTCATCTTTCACTTTTCTAAGTGATTTGGGTAAAAGTCAGATTAAGTACAAAGCCACATAGAAGAGGAAGGAGTAAAAAGCTTCGGTCATCAACTTTCCTCCTTGAATGCAATGTACTTTTCAAGGGAGTAAATGTGCACTTCCCATCTCTAAAACACCATTTCTAAACATTTAAGTGTCTCAAGAAATCAAAAGTTATCAGTTATACAGAACCAAGCAGGGTAGGAGGTGGAGAGTCACTGTGCAATCCTTATACTCAGCTAGCACCAGTCCACCCATGGGGCAAGGTGAGGCCACCACCTCAAGCAACAGGATCCACAGGGACAGCAGATCCCGATGCAGATCTTTATTCTCCCCTCATTCCTGATGTAGATCTTCCCTCACCCCTTCTTCCCTGGAGAAGAGAGAGATGCCATTTGGAGGTCTGCTACAGGTGCCAAAATATCTCTGGCCAGCAGTCCACTCTGTGGCAAGTCCCATGAGGTATGCAGATATAGGACTAAAGCCCAAGCCCCTCAAAACTTATGAGGAATTCACTCATTGAAGAAACATTCTTAGGGCAGTGCCATATGAGATGCTGAAAATATACCCCCCTCACCCCGCCATCCCTGCACTGTCGCCAACAGACCCTCCAAAGGTGCCTATTTTCCAGGGACAGCTCCAAATTTACAAAAGCTGTCCCAGCAGTCCTTTCTTTTTTTTTTTCAGGGGGTAGTCAAGGGTACGCAGTACCAGCACCTCTTACAGGGAACCAGGCAGAGGGCCTTCTCAGTAGTGCCACCCGCCCTGTGGAACGCCCTCCCACCAGATGTCAAAGAGAAAAATAACTACCAAACTTTTAAAAGACATCTGAAGGCAGCCCTGTTTAGGGAAGCTTTTAATGTTTAATAGGTTATTGTATTTTACTGTTTTGTTGGAAGCCGCCCAGAGTGGCTGGGGAAACTCAGCCAGATGGGTAGGGTATAAATAATAAATTGTTGTTGTTGTTAAAAAGTGTGGCACTTACTGTAACAACTGATGAGTGCTGGCACCTATTTGTCTAGAAAACCTCTGCATCCCAGTTTCTGATTTGATCCGGGAATGTCCCGCTTTTCCTTAGGACGTCCCTATTTTCATCGGAGAAATGTTGAAGGGTATGGAATTATGTGACCGCAGAGCCAAGGAGATAAATAAACTATGCAAACTTTAGAAGGCATCTGATGGCAGCCCTGTATAGGGAAGTTAAAAAAAATATTAAAATGTTTTGTTATGTTTTTATATCTGTTGGAAGTCGCCCAGAGTGGCTGGGGCAACCCGGTCAGATGGGTGGGGTATAAATAATAACGATGATGATGATGATGGAATAGGAAGTCCCTGTTTTCATCTGAGAAATGTTGGAGGACATAGCCAAAAGCTGCCCAGAGCTTCACAGCGAGCCTTGTTGCCCTTTGGAAGAAGGCAGAGTAGGGAAAGAAGCGAAAAGTTTGGGAATTGCCTCCAAACTGAGACGCCAGCGGGCAGCTTTCTCTGCCTGCTCCGTTCCTCGCGCCAGAGGGCATAGTCCGGGCTTCCCTCCCTCTTCCGAGCAGGGTAAAATCCGAGCCCGCCGGCAGGCGGTACCCGCTTCGTGTCGCGCCGCCCTGCTCCTCCGGACGAGCCGCAAGCCTGGCGGTGGGAGGACCAGGCCGGAGAAAGCTCTGCCCCCCGGCCCGGCCCTCCGCTCCCGCCCCTCGGCTCCTCTCCCTCTCCCGGCCTGTGCCGACGTGGCCGGGCGGAGAGCGGAAGGCGCCCGGGGCGCGCCAAGCAGACAGCGGCTCAGCGGTAAGAGGCGACGCGGCTTCTCCTCCTTGTCTTTTGCTCCCCTCGGCGACTAGGGGACTTTTGAAGCGCTCCTCGCGCCGAAAAGTTTCCTTCCTTTCCCTCGGCGATGGTGTTCGGTATTGATGGGCGAGGAAGAGCCCGGCGTAATCTTCTGCCTGCGAGAAGTTTGCAAGCGGGAGCAGTGAAACTCGCCGCAACCATAACTCAAGCCTTTGTCTCAGGGAAGGGGAAGGGTGGGTACGGAGGGCTCTCTGTCGTCTCCAGCCACGGGTTTATATGGGCCCACTTAGAAGAGAGATCTCCAAAGGGCAGCAACCGTTGGATGGATGGAGGCGTGGGGAGGCTTCCCCTAAAGCGATTCGCGAGAACCGCTTGCAAATCGGTTTGTTTTAAGGAAGGCAGACCCTGTGTGCCATCCCGAGGACGCCTTTCGGTGGCGCCTCCCTGGGAAAATAGATGCTATGCGCACACAAAAGGGGAACGGGCAAGAGGGCAGTGGGGCTGTCGCCTTCCCATCAAGTAAATAAATAAAAATACATAACTAAAAGTAGAAATTGTAGGAAGATTTTTTCCTGAGCATTTGGGGTCCAAATAAAGTAATTTAAAACAACTGTTGCGGAGGCAGTTCCTTCCAGATCTGCTAGACAGGTGACAGGGTGTCCTGCTCCCACACCATCCTGGCTTCCTATCCCTCCACTAAAATAAATCCTGGCTGTGCCCATGAGAGGTAGAAAAGTGTGCTTCCTGCATTGCAAGGGGTTGGACTAGATGGCCCTTAGGGTCCTTTCCAACTCTACAATTTGATGAGTCTGTATCCACTGATGTAAAAGGTGTTTGTGTGTGTGTATGCACAACAAGGCACTGGTGACTGGCCTGTGCTCCCTGCCACGTGTGCATGTCTGTAAAATGCACGCTTCTTTCTTGTAATGTGTGAATCGGCCATTCCTTTTGAAGTGTGGATTAAGTATTGAAGAACACTGCGTTAAGGCGTTCGCTCTCAGCAGATGTCAGTCTAATCCCAGGCATAGGCTTGTTTAATTTATACCTGTTCATAGCATAAAGGTAAACTGGGCGGCAAACTAGACATAACATGAACAGCCATGCTTGTTTATTCATGTGTCTATCCCATTCATGTATAACACAGGGAAGGGATTTATCATTTTAACAGCAGAAGCTGAATGGCTTCTGACACTTTCCCCCCAAAGACAGCTCACTTCTAGAATAGGTACCAGTTATTTGTAGTGTGGGAAGCTAAGTTGGACAGGAAGGAGGGTTCAGTTTGCATTACCTGCATACACTTTCTGTTGTAAAATGTCTCTTTGTTGTAAAATGTGTTTCATGTACATGGACACACACAAACACTGTATAGAGCAGTCATGTGAACCAATAAATGTGACTACCCATCACACGTCTGGTTGGAACTAATTACCTGTAAAGATAGTTTGGTTTGTTATTTTGCTGTTTGCGTTATGGCATAAGATATTTCAGAGGGTTGCAAGAACTAAACAAAATAAAAGTATTGTAGCACCTTAAACACTTAAGGGATTTATTATGGCATAAACTTTCATGGACTCAAGTCCACTTGGGCCAGGTGCATGATAAGATATGTAGCTTGTTGATGTAACTTTAATTTATTATGTTGTGAGTGGCTGTTAGGGGCTGTCAAACCATATTGATGGTAAAAGAAATCTTAAAAAAAAAGTCTGTAATAAATCAAAAGTCAGACATTGCAATGTCAAAGAGTTCTACATTTTAGGTCAGTTTACTTGAATGAACCAAATTCTGCCAAGTGGCTTTGTATTTTCCTTATTATGATAATACAGCAGCCTTACAGGACAGTATATGGAATAAAAGATGGCTGGCCCTATAGGTAAATTGGGACAGCCATATTTTTTTCTATACTATTATGCAGGAAGGAGTCACTTCTTCTTCTTTCTTCTTCTTCCATTCAAAATGTTTCAATGAGTGCAGCAAGCACCATGCTTCTAGCTGCTCCAAGCAGTTGCAAATTGTTCTTGAAAAGAAGAGCTGTTGAAGCCTTTGCACCACCATGTAAGTGCTTTATAATTAAAACAAAAAAATTACTGTACTTTTCTGTGTATAAGACTATGTTTTTTTCTTTAAAAATCATGCTAAAAAGTGGGGGTCGTCTTATACATGGGTAGTGCATAGGGTGGATATTTGATTGGTTGCTGCCACGGCTGTCAGCAGCTATCAGACAGGAGGTGGATTTAGCAACGCGTGTTGGTGAGTGATTTTCAGCAATCCCCCCTAAAAAAGCTCAACAACTCTGTGTCATCTCCCCCCATTTTCTTAAATTTGACTCCCCAAAAATAGGACGCGTCTTATGGACAGAAAAGTAAGGTAATTTGAAGGGTGTTGCATTGAAACAATTGCTGAAATAAAGGAGGGAACCTTCATTTTAGCAGCACCTTGCTATCTGCATGGTGCTTTAAAGTCCCAACTTTGGGGCCTCAAAGCTCAGCCAAATTGAGCAGGTTCAGGTGCACAAGAGACTTTCCTTCACAGCAACGTTGTGTGCCCAGACCATGCAGGATTGACCTCACCACACATAATGCACAGGAGTAGAATTCTACCTTATGCAAAGCTTCAAAAACTGCTGAAGCACGTTGTAAGGGGGCATTGCAGCTGGTGCCAATTTGGAGACAAATCTTTCTGAGCCCCTCTTAGCCATGTCTTCATCCCGGTCTAGATGATAGGAGACACAAATATGTTCAAATAGGAGAATTTTTTTTTTAAGTTTTCATATAATCACAACATTGTATTACAAGCATGTTGATTTCTTTTCCTGCAGAATTTTCTTTTAAAAATGTCAGGTGACGGAAGTGAAGTGTTTACGCAAGAGAAAATATTGGAACATGGCAGCAATGCTTCAGCTTCTGAGAGAGCAATGCAGAATGATAAGAGGCAACGTTCTGAAAGCTCTAGCAATGAACAGGAAGGCGACCAGATGTCTTCAGGGCATCCTTCAAATGTGGAACATTCCAGTGGAGGCATAACTACAGATGTTCCTACTGATTGCAGTGAATCTGTGAGCCTTGAACCAGAACCTGGATCTGAAGAACTGAACAAAAATAATGGCCCAGTAAGATTTTTTTTAAATCTCTTATTTATTTTGTTCATGCAGTATACAAAGATGTGTCATAATTAGAACAGTGATGCAGAGTCCCTAGATGACCATACACACAGTTGCTGGTTATAGAGAGAGGTGGGAGACAGTGACTCAGGGCTGCCATTTTCAGCAACAGGGCAACACAAGAGGGGTTGCCTTGTTCTCCTAGTAGTGCCAATCCTTCATAATGTGCCTTGCCAGCCCTTCTTCCGGCTGCTTTTGTTAGTTGTGCACTCCCATATAGCATGCCAAAGGAATGTGCACTGCCATCGATTACTGTGGTTGGCATTATATAAAAATCAGTTCAAACAGAAACAACAGACTATGCTTTTGTCCCTGTAATGTGTGTTTGCATAATATTCTTGCATTCTTCCAAGTGTGGGTTACTGTATGCCTTTGGTTTCTGTGAAGATATGTTTGGGAATGCACAATAGTTTCTGTCTTTGGTTATCAGCGTTCCAAGTCAGCAGCAGTTGGTGGGGCAGCAAAGGCAGAGTGCTGTTGTGCTCCTGGAACAAAACCATGTTGGCTTCCTTCCTGCCATGTTTCAGCATGTTTAGGGACTATCTTGCCTGTAGTAAGAGATTCCAGAGAGGCAGTAATTCGGATTTTTTTAGGGAAGATAAAACATCCTAAGATAGCTAGCTTGCCTCTGGCAAACCAAGAATAAGCAATGTACAGTACACTACATTGAGAGCCCAGAATGGTCAAAAGTTGAAAGGGAAAAGCTAAACTTCATGTATGATTGAACTTTCCTTGGTGCTAAAGTTTCACAAAAGTTAAGAGTATGTCTGTAGATGGAAGCATAGAACTGGCAGCAACATCATTATTGCTTGTGTGCCTATAATAAATAATAAAACTATAGCAGCAATAGCTGCTTTTTCTCCAGTCAGCAGAATTTAATCAATTTTCAATCAGATTGCATTCAGCTAATTCTTCATGTAAGCTGAAAAGATGCTTGATTGATTTCAGGTGAAAGGGATATAAACCAAAGCCTGCAAGAGGAGATTATTCATTCACTCCATCTGACAGTGAGAATCATACATATAAATAACTTCCCTTCCCACCTGCCACCCAGCATTCCAGTTTTGTTTCAGCCAGAAGTGGCTTAGTCATGCTGGCCACATGACCCAGAGCTGTGCATGGCTCCTCAGCCAGTAATGCGGGACAAGCACCTACAAGCGCTCTAGAGTTTCGGCTCACGACTAGTACCTCATGGTGCAGGGTCGCTTCTAACTTCACAGTACCCCACACTCTTCTGCAGCTGTACATTCTGGAGGCAAATGTTAATGCGCTGGCAAGTGATCCTTAGGAATGTGTGTCAGCATCGCTTATCGCTGCTGATAGTGGCATGAGACCAGGCCCTGCGATGTGAAATGCCTACACCAGGACACGTGCTATAAGGTTAACAGGCATGTAAGGCCACAACTACATTACTTACAGCGAAGAGGTACTGGCTTAGGCATTGGACGTCTAAAACAAGTGGGTTAATCCACCAGTAGTCTAGGGCCTGCTGATCAGCTAATCCAGCTATAGGCGGCTCTGATGTCACCGCAACGGGCGTGCCAGGCCTCCCACCAAGCAGGCATCGGCCAGAACACCTGACCAGCCTAGATTCAGTTCGGAATACGCCAAAGTTGCAAGGCATAGGCGATGGCACACCTAGCCCTTCGACACGCCACAGCGCATTATTCCAATGCCTAACCTACCGCCAATACCACGCAATGCTCTGGTTTGCCAGAGGTGGCGTAAAGCCAAATGCCTAGTGCCACATGGAAAACTCCTACAGGCCCCTGGACAGCCAGGGCGACCAACCTAAGGCCCAGTAGCAAGGCCAGACGACCCAGCCCTAACTCTAAGGGAGTGGAGGGTGGGTGACTCGCGACTGACGACGGCTAAGAATGAGGTCAGGGAGGCTGGCACCTGCAGCAAGGCTGCTGAACACGACCTCCAGGCACCTGGTCTGGATGCCTGCAGAGTGCGTGGAGCGCAACCAGGTGAGGTGGAGGCAGGGGGCTACGCCCCCTGCTAGGGGCGGTGCTCGGGCTCCTGCCCACAACCACTCCCCTCTCTTCCAGGGAGGAGAGTCTTTAGGAAACCCACAAACTTCTAAGGAACCCCAAAATTTTCTGGAACCCAATTAGAAAACCACTGTTCTAATGCAACCTTGGTTATTGAATCAGTTAAAAGACACTCATTGTAGGCCAGCATCCTGAAGCTGTTTTTTTCCAGAAGGACATGCTGCATTAAGCATGTGATAGTTCCATTCAAAAATGAAGAATCAATGTTCATGGTTTGGGAGGAACAGACTATGAGAGCTGGCTTGAACATAACACTAAGCCTGGCCTTTGGGTTTGTTTTCTTGGCACCAGAAAGACACAATTGAACAGTGTGCACCTGCATGCTGTTTGTTCATGGTAAGCCCTGGTTTATTTCTGTCTCTAGCCTAGCATCATGTGTGAAGCAGCCTAATTAAGGTGAGTGGGGACATATCACCCCCATTATTCTTTTTCTAAAAATGGAAGTATCTATATTGGAAAAATACAAATTGTGCTGACAGTATCCTTAACATATCTTTCTGCAGGACACGGATTCATCTCCTAAAGGGAGTGGATGGACAACTTGGGGATCATGGGGCAAATCCCTGCTTTCAACAGCTTCTGCTACAGTTGTTAAGTATCCAAACCATGAATATATAAAATATTTTAAAGTAATTGATTTGATATCTAAAAGGTATAAATAAGCCCTTGACATCAGCAGGTACTGTAATACACTTCTCCCCCTTCCTTTTTGGGACAAAGTAAAAATGATAACCGAGATGAATATAACATCAGTCTGGCAACTCCTTAAGACTTCTTGCTAGCATGTTTCCCCTGAAACCCCTGCTCTCCCAGCCACTTTTCTTTCTGCAGAGATTCAGACCCGTGTTTGCAAATAAACACAGGGCTAGGAAAAATTCATGGGAAAAGCTTTCAAAGGAAATATGTTGCCGGGAAATGAGCTAATTACTCCCTTCCATGCCATCCCTCTATTGCAAGTCACCCTTTTCCCAAAGATCCTTTATGAGGAAAAATATGTCACTGGGCCAAAACTAGACTCAGCTATGTTGTAAATAATGCTTGGTTTGGCCCTAAAAGGATAGCAAGAGGAATAGTTCCATCAAATATAGGCTGGTTCTCGTGTGTATGTACATAGGCCAATAAGGCATATTATATGGTGGTTGATTGCTTGGGGCTTCTCATCTGAAATGTGTGAACTGTCTGTATTAAAAAGCATTGTGTTTGTAAGGTAAAGGACCCCTGGATGGTTAAGTCCAGTCAAAGGCGACGATGAGGTTGCGGTGCTTATCTCACTTTCAGGCTGAGGGAGCCGGCGTTTGTCCACAGACAGCTTTCCAGGTCATGTGGCCAGCATGACTAAACTGCTTCTGGTGCAACAGAACACCGTGACAGAAACCAGAGTGCACAGAAACATAGTATTTGTACATGCTATATGGGATATGAAAACTCTGTCTGCAGTTCTTGATCTTTGATGGCTCATCAAGTCATCTCTTGAGGCCTCAGTTCCCCCCTGAGAGACAGAAAGTGGATCGGGCTTCCCCATCCCAGGGAATCAAATATCACTGTTACCTTACAATTATTCTGTTGCAGTATTCATCTTGTGTGGCCTGCAAAATCTGGTTTACTCTGCCACATAAGAGAAGTGGTGCCATAGCCATATGCTAGAGTTAAACTCGCCCCCTTACAGCTTGGTCCATAAACCAGTTAAAGTATAAAGTATGTGGATTTAAATCCAAATGGTTTTGTGACAGATTCTCTCCATGATTCAGCAGTAATAATCAAAGCGCATCCACTAGAACAGGCAACAGAGTTTCAGTTCTGTTCCTTGTCCTATTACTTAGTGATCATTTTACCACCAGATTGCTGCTTGCCCACTCAAGCATGACAAATATTTGCTGCATCTTGCTTTATTTGTTAAAACTCCATGTCCTAGAAGAACTGCATTTGCAGCTATGCGCCATCAATCAGATTTAAAGTAATTCTTAAAAGGATTAAATTTCTTCAAGGTAAAACTGAAATGCTTGTTCAAAATTGATATTGCAATGCCCCGTTTCTCTTTCAATCAGGTTATTTTTTTATTTTAAGAATTTCTTTTCTTTTTCAACTGAGAAGCAATTTCATCTTCAGTATTTTCAAGCAAGAATTTGTATTCATCTAATTATTGTTCTCTAGTTAACAACCTTTATTATAAACCCAACAAATTAATCTTTCTCAGCAGAAAAGCAGGCAAAAATCCTAGTATATTGTTTCATGCTTTTAAAAATGCTGAGGTGCCAGAAAAAATGAATGATTAGTAAAGTTATTGGTACATAGATTTTCTTGAAAATGAGAGCATGCATGGATTTTTAAAAGAAAATAGCTAAGGAACAAGAGAACTGCAGTAACAGAAAGTAATGGGTGGAGTGGGCTGCGTGGGAGAGACATTGTTCTCTCTGGAAAGTCTTGTGGAAGAAGAATAGCCATGAAAAAAGAAGCTGTGTTTTAAAACATATTTTATGGTTTTCTCTTGCTGCCATGAAACGTAATAACACATTTCAGGCTATGGTATATTATATAGGAAATCCAGGATTTATATCAGTAATATGGGAGTTCATATACAGTGGTGCCTCACAAGACGAATGCCTCGCAAGACGAAAAACGCGCAAGACGAAAGAGTTTTCCGTTTTTTGAGTCATTCCGCAAGACAAATTTCCCTATGGGTTTGCTTCGCAAGACGAAACGTCTTGCGAGTTCTTGCGAGTTTGTTTCCTTTTTCTTAAAGCCGCTAAGCCGTTAATAGCCGCTAATAGCCGTGCTTCGCAAGACAAAAAAACCGCAAGACGAAGAGACTCGCGGAACGGATTAATTTCGTCTTGCGAGGCACCACTGTATACACATACATTTGCGCGCGCTCTCTCTCTCTCTCACACACACACACACACACACACAAACCAGTGTTGCAATCAATTAAGGATTTGTGCTTCTATTAGATATTGATTTACTTGTAATATGTTGTCAGAATCTGAAAAGGTGCATCCCTGAGGAAATGAGTAATTGAAATTGCTATTAGATTATCTCTTCAAAGCATACTTAAGAATATTGGAATGTGAGGAATATGAAATTAGTTGGTGGGTTCAGAATTAAATGAAGCTCAGAAAGCGGGTCAGTACAAGCAATACAAATGTTTATGAATTTGCTGAAGTTAATCTGAAGTAATTAAATCCCCAGGAAGCCAACCCAAAGACCTAAAGGAAGTGAATATTGAAGTGGTGATGTTTGTTGATGATTCAAAGCAATTTCTAGATGATTAAAATAGATTCTGAGGGAATCCAAACGGTTTTCATAACACCTGAGACAAGACAGTTAAATTAAAAATAGAATTTAATGTCAATGACTCTGAAGTGATGCACATTAGAAAAGAAATCCAATCTGTTTTATCTTTTGAGGGTGGGTTCTTAATTAGGTTCATGTACACAGCAAATATAACTTGGATTAGTAAGACTACTCCTCAGAAATAGCAGTATATTGCAGTATATTGCTTGGTTATTGAGTGGAAGAACTAAACCTGAATGGGATTCACCTGTTTCCAGAAATGTCTCTAGAGGGCCAGTGGCCCCTTCTGAAGAGCATGTGATGAGGAGCGATGGGGTGCGGTGGGAAGAGGGAATTGCCCAAAATCAGCTGTAGGCCAAGTTTGCATGTGATGTCGCACATCTGTGTTGCAGTGGTGGGCACCCACAATCCTTCCAGAATTGCTATAGTTTTCCAAACATGCCAGGATATTAAGCCAATTTTAAGTCAAGGCTTCATATCCTTATTTGTTCAGAAACCATTACCCATTGTTTTCCAGTACAGACCCAAAAGGAAACTAGTTTACTAAGACTTCCTGACTTGTGTAAAGGGAGGACTGCAGCAGTTGCATGTGAGTTTATATCTTGACTTATTAAGGTGAAAAATGATTGTCCGAATGCATCCAGTGGCTTGCCTAAGGCCACCTTGTGAGTTCTTTTTAGAGAGCAGTTTTGAACTGTGGGCCTCTGCCTCCACAATTTAATTACTTAGGCACTTCATCAGCCCTCAAAAGCTGTCCCACTAGTCGTCATGAAGCATGACATTATACTAGCACGTAGGAAAACTGCAGATCTCATAAATTCTGCAACACAGACATTTAGGATTGCTGTGTGAGGCAAGCATCGTCTTTTAAACATAGAAACCTGAAGCAGTGGGTTGCTCTGTTGGTGATCTAATGTACTTGCCGTCTAAATATTTGGTCTTCGATTGGTGAATCATGACCCATTGGAAGGTTGCAACCTGGTCTAAGGTGGATTGCCTAGTCTGCTAACCAGCAGCATAGCAACTGCCATCTAGGTGTGTTGTAGCTTAAGATGGACCATGGAGGTGCTATGGTAAGATTAAAAAAAAAAGTTTTACTCTCCTTTATAAACATAGCTACCAAAATAAATACTTTCAGAAATCTTGTAATTGCTTTGTTTGACTGGGAGAAGCAAGACATTCAGTCACATTCTTGTGAGCAGACCAAAAATGCTTGCCTGCCACAGGTATCATGGTTTCAGTGCATAACACCCAGCCCCATTGTAGATTATAAAGTGCCAAGCGACTGCATGGCCCCGCTAGACTTTCTGGTGCCAGTGTAACACAATGGCAATGATGGCGATACTCCCATAGTACCCATGCAAATAAGACATTGTCAGTTCCTAGCTACAAGGATGCTATGATTATGATGGAACTAATCCATACTTAGTGATGTATGGAAGTGAAAGCTGGACCATAAAGAAGGCTGATTGCTGAAGAATTGATGCTTTTGAATTATGGTGCTGGAGGAGACTCTTGAGAGTCCCATGGACTGCAAGAAGATCAAACCTATCCATTCTGAAGGAAATCAGCCCTGAGTGCTCACTGGAAGGATAGATCGTGAAGCTGAGGCTCCAATACTTTGGCCACCTCATGAGAAGAGAAGACTCCCTGGAAAAGACCCTGATGCTGGGAAAGATGGAGGGCACAAGGAGAAGGGGACGACAAAGGACGAGGTGGTTGGATAGTGTTCTCGAAGCTACCAGCATGAATTTGACCAAACTGCGGGAGGCAGTGGAAGACAGAAGTGCCTGGCGTGCTCTGGTTCATGGAGTCACGAAGAGTCGGACACGACTAAACGACTAAACAACAACAACAACAATCCATACTTCCTCCAGCACATGAAGCATCCCATGGTCCAGTTTAGGAGGACAGCAAGTAACCCATGATAGCCACAATTTTCAGAGCTTCCCTCTGACAACGGTTCGAATGTCTTCACAGTTAAAACACAACCATCAGCAGTTTGCAAACCTTTGTTAAGCATCCTTGCTGAGGCTTCTATATTCCTCCAGGTGCTCTGATTGGCTGCTCCTGCACAGACATTTGGGATTCTCCATTAATGCCAGTGGGAGTTTTAAAAAGTATTTTGCTGGCAGAATGTGGCACTATGTTTCGAGGTGGGACCAACTTGTAAGTGAGCATAGTATCTGAGCTAAACCCCTGCCTAGCATAGTGTAAAGCAAATTGGTAAACATGTTTCTTTCAAGCAGTCAGCAAGGTAAAATTCTGCTTCTAAACTGACTTCTCAGTTTGGCTCCTTTGAGTCGTCATCCCACCCCACCCCAATATACGTTTTTACCCTTAGGTGCAATTTCTCAGCAGTTCTGTTTTATAATGTTGCAATATCTTATGTAATGGAATGATGTTTGGGGGATAGTTATTATTGAATTCATTGGTACATCTCATGAGTATTTTCGCTAGTGATCGCAAAACCTTGAAGCATTACAGGAACCTTTCTTCTCATCCATATTCCTAGCCCTTTATTGCATCTTGTTCTAATTGGATTTCGCTGAAGCGTAAAAATATAAATAGTTTGTTCCAAACCAATAACAATCTATTTTACCACCATGGCAGTTCCTCATAAAATGCTTACTTATATTTTGATTTATAAACTCCACTCAATTAACCACATCTTGTTGATAGCAATAAAGGGAGTGAACTAGCGAAGTCAAACTTAACGCTCTCCAGTTAAAGATAATGCAGTGGGCAACATGATCCCATGTGTATTTACTCAGTTTACTTGTGAGTAAGTATTCTTAAGTTGCTTGAAAAGTGCTGAAATTTGGATGGATTGTGCCCCCAAGAAATCCTAGCATTGATTTATGTTCTTCTATCTATATGTATGACTGGCCAAACAGGAATAATTCTATAACAGCATGACAACGACAACAACAACTAGTTTTATTATTTACATGCTGCCCATCTGACTGGGTTGCCACAACCACTCTGGACGGTTGCCAACAAAACATTAAAAACACAATAAAGCATCAACCGTTAAAAACTTCTCTGAACAGGGCTGCCTTCGCTTGTCTTCTAAAAGTCAACTAGTTGTATATCTGTTTGACATCTGATAGGAGAGTATTCCACAGAGCAGGTGCCACCACCAAGCACCCCCTCTGCCTGGTTCCCTGTAGTTTCACAGCTCGCAGTGAGGGAACCATCAGAAGTCCATTGGGGCTGGACCTCAGTGTCCAGGCTGAACGATGGAGGTGGAGATGCCTCTTCAGGTATATAGGGCCAAGGCCGTTAGGGCTTCAAAGGTCAACACCAACACTTTGAATTGTGCTCAGAAATGTACTGGAAGCCACTGTAGATCCTTTAGGGCTGGTTTTATATGGTCCCACATTCAATCTGTCCTAAAATCTTAGCCTTTTATTTACTTTAGTTAAAATTCTCCTTTTAACTGGGTTATTTAGCTCATTTCACAGAACTGTTGTATATGAAATAATTGTGTCATTGCAGGCCATGGGCTAACAGCAGTTAAGGAAAAAGCAGCCACTCTCAGAATTCATGTCCCGGGAACACCAGAAGATGTACATCCTTCTGACCCAGCAGAAAGCCCCATCCCAGGTGATAAACATACCTTGCCTTGGCAAAATATTCTTAATAGGAACACAATACTATTGTTTTAACCTAGTACAAACTTGAAGTTTGAGGTCACATACCGGCATTATTTTCATTTGGCCCTTCTTCTTCCTTCTTGAAGACATGGACGAGACCACACAGGACAGCTCTTCAGAGAACACACCTTTGCCTTCATCTCCTTCTGCATCACGTGGAATGTTTTCAACCATCAGTAGTGCCGTACAGAACACCGTAAGCAATTCTAATTACAAAAAGAGGGGAAAGGAGTGTACTTGTTATAGAAAGGGGTTTTTTGTTGTTGTTGTTGTTTTGAAAACTACAATTACGGAAGCCCAAGAAAACACACCACGGAAAAAGTATGATATATACAATATATTTTTTAAAGTGTTCCAGTATTTTAAAATTCTGTCCAAAAGAGTTACCTGCAAAACTCACAATTTAATATGTTTTTCAGTATATGTTTTGGAGATAATTCTTTTGGATTGGATTGGATTGCCTTTGGCAAATATAGGATTGTAGCCGATTCTAGTCCTACTCAGAGGAGATCTGCTGAAATGAACAGCCATAGCTAGATTAGGTCCATTAATTACTCTTGAGTAGATCTCAACTGGATCCAACCTATAATTTATTTATTTGTTACAAGCTGCTCCATAATTACACCTCACATGTGTACGTATGGTATAACACTAACAAAACATTAAGCTGCTGTAATTTGCATTGTGTTTGGTTTCAGTACTGAGATCTTTCCCGCTCTGCATCCAGAGTTCAGGTATTTGGAGGGAAATATTTTGATTCAACCATAGACTGGTACCCTACTGTGGAATGATGATGCTGAACAATGTTCTATGTGTCAAGAGTTCAGAATATGATCTTCTTATTATTACTTGTCATCTTCCAATTATGCCACCCAGTCTCTCTCTTTCAAAAATATACTGTGATAGAGAAGGAAAGATTTGAAGTAGAATTTATTTATATCCTAAAAAAGCTGATACCATTTCAATGTAAGACAGCTTTTCTCATAAGGGTCTGTAGCATGATTTTATAAGTGAGAACTTGGCAGAAAATTTTAAGTTCCTGGAAACCTGGCATACCATGATGGCATGAATGATTGTCGTACCCTAATGAAAATCCAATCTATTCCAAGTATCTCTTAATATCTTCAGGGATAGAATGGGCAGCTCACCAAAAAGTGGCGTGTACAGCCTTGAGAATCTGCGTGCCTAGAAATTGACTCTTCCTGCTTGTTTTTTATTTTAAAAAATGTAACACCATGGGCTTTATGGGCAGGATATGCCAATTTCAAAGCAAAAAAAAAAATCCTGTTAGGCAGTTCTCTTTTTATCCCCGCCTTGTGGGACACATCAAGCTCCCTAATCTACCCTGCGGACGACTTTGGAGTTTCTTATCCGAAGCCAAAAGCAGCTGGACTCAGCCTGATCTGAGTCTCTTATCCAAAGTAGCAGATGCTAGAGCTTTGTTTTGACTGACTATGTGTTATAAATGCTTCAGAGATTCATAAACTCCCAAACCATATTGATAGCAATAGAAGCTGTCATATCTGTGAATAATGCAGATGTTTCTATAACACCTTGTCAGGCTATATGTATGCAAGGCATGGGATTGATCATCTCAGCCTCAAACAAAGACAGCCTTAGGGCAGTGCAAGCAATTTATTATACAAAGTCTGCTTGCTTGCAGAATTGGCCAAACAAAGGCTGGCTCTGTGTGAACAGACCAAACGCTTAGTGCTGCCAATCCGTCAAAATCAAAGATGGCATCCGTTGCCTCGTCCCTCTCAAGTGCTATGGATTTGTTTGTTTGCTTGCTTGCTTTGGAGATATCTTGCAGAACCTTGTGTGATCCAGTGAATATTACCGTATTTTTCGCCCTATAGGACGCACTTTTCCCTCTCCAAAAATGAAGGGGAAATCTGTGTGCATCCTATGGGGCGAATGCAGGCTTTCGCTGAAGCTTGGAGAGCGAGAGGGGTCAGTGCACACCGACCCCTCTCGCTCTCCAGGCTTCAGGAAACTATCAGCAAGCCTGGGGAGCCCGCGGGAGTTCCCGCAGGGCTCCCTAGGCTTCGGATAGTGGCCTGCTGCCTGGCGCGCTGAAGCCGCGGCTGGGGGGGAATAAATTTTTTTTCTTTATTTCCCCCACAAAAAACTAAGTGCGTCCTATAGGGCGAAAAATACGTTATTTAAAGATGGAAATTTAAATGCCTATATTTACTCCCCACTGCTTTCCCTAACACATTTTGCCTTCAGGGAATTTCTTTCCACATCATGTTTTCTGCCATGCAGCCTCACCACATCATGGCAGAGGATTCTCAGGAAGGGGGAAAGGTTCTAGGGTGTACCCTCTGTTCAAGTGAAACATTAGTCAGCTCTGATGGGTCTCACTATTGTCTCATGTGAGCTGAGATGTCACCCAATAAAATGGCCAAAACTCCCCTGTGCATTGAAAGGGATGATCAGTCATGGAAAGCAAGCTGTCTTTCAAATAAGTTTATTTTCCATTACTGATCTTCTCACCGAAGAACAAAAAACGAGCCGCTGCCTAAAACAAAAATTATATTAATAATTTTTCATGCCTGTGTTAGTGCTCCCTTGTTCTATTTTATTCCACAGAAAGCTTTTCTTTTAATTAACTTAATGTGTTTAACTGTGGTACTTTTTCACCTGGAATCCATATTCAATATGAGAGATGACTAATGAAGTCATAAATCCTGCTATTTGCAAGGGGAGAAAAAGCAGAGGGCTGAGCAGTTATGAGCTGCGGATTCAGTGTTCCTATATAGCTTTATAGCTACATACTTAAAAGGTGTTTGGAACACAAAGCAAACTTATTTAGGGGCAAAAGCCATTAAAATTAATGGGATTTGCTTACTTATGTATAATTGTGTTTAAGGTGTCCATAAATAAGATTATTTCTTCTCTGTTTCATGCAGGGCAAGAGCGTCTTAACTGGTGGCCTTGATGCTTTGGAGTTCATTGGCAAGAAAACTATGAACGTCCTTGCAGAAAGTGATCCTGGATTTAAAAAAACCAAAACATTGATGGAACGAACTGTTTCCTTATCCCAGGTGAAATAAGTCAATTTTGATAATAATGCAGTGTTAGAAAGTGGTGTAGACAATTACGACGACTGTATAATTGACTGTGATTTTGATTTTTAGAGGAAGGCTCTTGGAGTTTCGAAGAGCCACATAAAATCGTAGAATTGTAGATTTGGAAGGGACCCTATCGGTCATCTAGTCCAACCCCCTGCAATGCAGGAATCTCAACTAAAGCACCCATGACAGATGGCCATCCAACCTCTGCTTAAAAACATCCAGAGGGTAACCACTTATTCACCATCAGTATGAATGAGTGAGGGTTGCTTAATAGGCTATCTTCTATGTGGCAAATTTTCACACAAGGGGGGGTTGGACTAGATGATCCTCAGGGTCCCTTCCAGCTCTACAGTTCTATGATTCCATGGAGGTCAGCTAAACTATTGTTCATAAATTACGTAACAAATCAGTGCAGCTACCTTTAAACTCTTAAGAAAAAAAGAAACCTTCCATTTGAGGGGAGGGGGAATCTGCACTGGTTCTGTTGCCCTGTTTACACCTGTATATTTATGCTTCGCCTAGAAGCTGTGGTTTGGGACAACTAACAAATGTAATAAATAATACCTACCAAAGTATGCCAGGCAGGAATTCACCCAGAACAGTGTGCTCATGTTGAACACGCCATATTTTCTTCATCATTCTGCCATCCAGCTTTGCTTTTATCTGACCCCCTCTCCCCCAGCAATAGCTCACTGTGTGGAAGCAAGGGGTTACAATATGAAACTTGTAATATATATTACTATCAGTCACACTTTGCACTTTCCACACCAGTCAAAGTGATAGATGTCTCCTGTGATATCCAAAACTGGCGTGGAGACCCACTATATGTTTTCAGGAGTTTGCATGTGATACACAGTTTCATATCTTACTTCCTCAGTGGCATTAATTTGTTGTGTTCTTCGGTGAAGCATCTTTTTCAAGAACGGCCATACAGCATCTTATAATCATGGTTCATTTAGTAATTCATGGTAGATTTGTTGCTGTTTTTTAACTGTTTATTTGTGTTCTTATCTCATATTTTTATTTTGTGAACTGCCCTGAGACCTTTTGAATGAATCTAATAAATAAAAATGAAATAAATAAATAAATATTTCCAAATATGGTGTTTTGATTCAATGTCAAAATAGTTTTTGAGCTATTTTAACAATGTTTTGTCATAAAATCAAGAGCTAGTTAACTGCTGAAAGAAACAGAGTTTTTAGTTGGGAGGGTACCTGCTGCTGCTCCAAATCGATGTTACAAAATACGATCAAAGAATTTAGTTCCAAAGTGTCAAACTAGCTTCTGATGATACAGTTGTGAATTATACTGAGAATGGGCTACAAAGAGAAACAGTGTAGTAAGCAGCTGTTAAGTTGGGGTAAGGGTTGGAATTTTTGCTCTCCAAAGTTAACTGTCCAAAAAAAAGAACAAAAACCAGAATTCACTAGAGAGACAGCTAGAATAATCTCCAGTTTAACTACCAGAAAGCAAAATCGCAGACAAAAAAAGGTGCAAGCCCCTTAAAAAAAAAAAAGCAACAAGAAGAAGCAAGCTATAATCACCACTAATTGCAAAACTCGTACAGAGAATACTGTTTAAAATGTTTTATTGGACCTGTTGTAATACAGTGAAGCATTTTACCTCTGCTGGTAAGATCTAACTCCAATTTTTATTCTTATTGCCCAGAGGAGCTGGGACTGAAGGTGATAAAATTTGTCAAATCTGCCATGCAACCAATTAACCAGCAGCTATGATCTATATTTCCACAGCTGTTGCGAGAAGCCAAAGAGAAAGAGAAGCAGAGGCTGGCCCAGCAAGTGACATTTGAAAGGACGGCGCATTATGGGCTGCTGTTTGATGAGTTTCAGGGTCTGTCTCATTTGGAAGCTCTAGAAATTCTGTCTAATGAAAGTGAAGCCAAGGTACGGTATATTGACTTTATAAATCAAGATAACAGGGATGCTTTCTGGGACATATTTCTCAAGAATATCTCCCAGTAAGATTGAAACCCTATCTCTAGCAAGCTCCTTAGGATCAACAGTTTGCACTTATTTATGTAGTCATTTGAATTTATACCCTGTCCTAGCCTGCAGGCTCAGGGTGCCTTACAATATTTGAAATTTCTACACCATCTCTGGTACATTGTGCCCCACAGCCACCAACGTTGCATTCTCCCTATATTTCTAACAGCTGCGCTCATTGCTTCCAATAAATAAGTAAAACATTTCTGGATGGAGATATATGCAGCTTGTAGGCTTTTGCAGATATAGATACATACAAGTACAAAGCATCTCTATTGCTCTAAAAAGTTCAGCAATTCAAGACACAACACTGGACCAGTAACACTGACTAACAGACAGATAGAATAGCTGCAGACTACTGAGCTAAAATTTGTTAATTACACATATAGTCAGGGCACTGAGCCGTTACCATAGTAACTGGCTTGGCGGACCTTGTACCTGTGATTAGCTCATCCATAGGTTGATTTACGCTCATGAAGGGAATTAACTCCTTCTCATGTTCCGTTACTCCAGCACTATGCTATGTAATGCTACAGTCGTCATCACGTTGCCATTGAAGACAGTCCCACAGTGTTGTATTAGTGCATCAGTTTCGGTTGGCCAATGGTATGGATGATGTAGACGCAGTTGGATGTATGGCACAAATTGTTTTTCAGCGCAGAATAGGGCTGACAGGTGCAACAGGATACAGCACTTTACCTGTGCAGTAGATTAAAGTGTCTTCTCCATCAATGCAGTTTCAGGGAACAACCAGAAGGAACGAAACATAGTACTGCTGTTAAAACTAAGGAAATATGGCCCCATACGTTTTGTGGTTAGGAGGCAGCTGGTGAACTATTTGTACACAGCTCTGAGCTCCAGATCTGTTCCAGAGGGCCCTCCAACAATCCATAACAGATTTTGAGGGGCATATAGGAAGCAGAATCCTATCCACAAGCTCTGCCTGTTCCACTGACAGACAGACACCATTGGATTTCACCCAGTGATTGCAAGCTGTGTAGACACTGAAACTGTATTTCTCCATTTTTCTTGCACATTATGTGCTGCAGATACACTGAAATGCTCAGGCCTCTGTGTGTGTGTGTGTGTGTGTGTGTGTGTGTGTGTATTCATTCATTCATTCATTCTTCTTTTAGATACAATCATATTTAACATCCATTGAAGGAGAGGAATTGGAAAAAACAAAACATGCTTTAATTGCTATTAAAGCAGTCTTCCTTCCAGAAGAGTCAGAAAATGAAGACAACGAAGGAAAGAAAGGTAGCTGCAGAATTGTCAGCGCAGCACATGTGTGATAGAGGACTCTACATGTTTAATTAAAAACAATTAAATCAGTTATGAATGACCCAATCCTCAAAGTGATGTTTCTGAAAAACTTTCCCACTGAAGATACTGGTGTCCAAGTCAATATTTATTTGTTTGTTTCATAAAATCATATACCACCTGATTGTTTAAAAAAAGCCACTCCAAAAGGGTAAAACATTATCATAAAGAATATATGCGGCACAAAATCAAAGAGACTTACACATGCATACATACCTTAGTAGAAGAGTGTACCCACTGTCAGCAGTCTCTAGGGTTAGGAATAGCAAAACTAGGAATTATAGATCAGATCAGCAGCAACTCACTGATGGGTTAGATCTAGGCACATTCTGATGTTGCCCAACCCCCATGTCAGGCGCGAGGCAGTGCTTCTTAACTGGCAAGTGCTCCCCTCATTTGCTACTGAGAAGTCATCCCAAGGGCTTTCACATCATCTTGGGGGCCTTGGGGCAGCCATTTATTCCCCAGTGCGAGCAGCACCTGACAGTTAAGAAGCCAATGCCTCATGCTTATAGCCGGGTTGGTGCCACTCTCTCTATATAAAGCTATATCAGAAATGTTGTAAGACAGGAAAATAGAAAACTGGTAACCAATCTATTACTTACGACAAGAACTGAAATTGCTTCCAAGTGGAAAGTGGAAACTACATCTATTGAAGAATGGCTTAGAAGGTAGAATAATGTGATGAGGAAACTTACTTATTTGCTAAGATTTAAGGAAGAGAGCAAGAAGAAATGCCTTTATAAAAAAATAGAATTCATGTTTTTTGGGAACAGACTATAACTATCAAAATATTTCAAGGGTCGTTTTTCTTGTTTCCTTTTTACTTTTGCAGCAGATGCGGGAGATGAGTTTGTGACCATGCTTACAGAATTGCTCTTTGAATTACATGTTGCTGCCACTCCTGACAAACTTAACAAGGTGGGTGACTTTGTTTGCCTTTGGGGAAAAAGGATTCTGCCCTTCTTCACCAACACAGGGAGCATACTAGTTTTAAATAGCTAGTGTAGCACACCAGGAGGCAGAGGAGTAGTGCAATTGCAGCTTTGGTAAAGTGGTGGCTGTAAGCAGAGAGTTGTAATGAAGAATTATGAGTTAAACCGAACATAATTGGAAAAAGAGGTTATCTGCCTGCACTGTAATTAATATGTCCACATATTGTTCACATCCAGAAAATAGGATTTCTTGGAAAAAGATATTAATTGCACATTTCAAGTTTGTGAATCCTTATAGACTGTTTCTTCACAATGTGACATAAAGCTGCTAATGTTTGAGGCCCAAAAAGTCTAAGTCAAGAAAACCCAAATTCTTTATTCAAAATTATGCAGGTCATAACAAGGGGTGAAATCGGGAAAGAATGGTGAGACGTTTGGGGATGTGAAAGACGTTCAAAACAATGAAGGAAGGAAAATAGCCACTAGCATTGTTCTGTGAATGCTTGTACAAACACTTACAGAAATATTCATGCACTGCTTAAACAGTGGATGCCGTAGTTTCATGCTTCCATGAGACAGTTTTGGCCAGTGAAAAAAATCAGGCAGCCTCTTTCATACAGTATTCAAAATATGTCATTCTAGTGCATATTGAAAGAGCAAGTCATTCTTCATGCTAGATTCTCTTTTGTTCTGATTCTTTTGCAGGCTAGAAAGAAAGCTTATGATTACCTGGAAGAAGCTAGACTCCCCGAATCTACAGAAAAAATGGAAGAGAACAGAGAAGAGAAAACGAAAGTAGATGAAGCAAACCAAGAAGGTGAAGAAAAGCCTCAAACAAGGGAATCTGGAGACACAGAAGAAACAAAGAACAAAACTGTAGAGGTGAGAGATCAGCAGATTTCAGTTTGTCTGCCTATCATATTTTGTTATTACACGTAAGTAACCATAGTACTAAGGGACGCAGGAGGCACTGTGGGTTAAACCACAGAGCCTAGGACTTGCCGATCAGAAGGTTGGCGGTTAGAATCCCCTCGACGGGGTGAGCTCCCGTTCCTCGGTCCCTGCTCCTGCCAACCTAGCAGTTTGAAAGCACGTCAAAGTGCAAGTAGATAAATAGGTACCGCTCTGGCGGGAAGGTAAACGGCGTTTCTGTGTGCTGCTCTGGTTCACCAGAAGCAGCTTAGTCATGCTGGCCACATGACCTGGAAGCTGTACACCGGCTCCCTCGGCCAATAAAGCGAGATGAGGGCCGCAACCCCAGAGTCGGCCACGACTGGACCTGATGGTCAAGGGTCCCTCTACCTTTTATTTAACCATAGTACTGACTTGAGCTGATTAAGTTGTATCTGTGTGATATATAGTTTGACTATTTCCAGGAATGAAAACTTTCTCTGTCCCATCTGAATATGATTTCAAATCAGCTGGGTCACATCCATCACATTTAGCTTGAAATACTGTGCCTATTATGGACTTAAGTAAGTGGGATTAAAATACATTTTCCACAAATCAGCAAGGAAGATTCATGGACACAGCAGACTTAATGCACATACAGATAAGAGTTAGGTGTGCGTCCTGTGCACATTCACATTGCAAGGCACATGCAGATCCGTTTGAAATGTCCCTTCCAGATGTTTTGGACTACAACTCCTACGAGCTGTGCTGACTGGGGTCAATGAAGTAGTAGTCCAAAACGTCTGGAGGGCACCAGGTTAGGGAAGCCTGCACCAAACAGTGGTAGTTGGACCTTTCTAAAATGCATACACATGGAAATCCTGCAAACCAAGGTAGGACCTGACTTCCCTTTTCCTATGGTACTTCCCACCATTACCTTCTCCTCCTCTTCTTCGTTGAACAATGCAGTTCATCATACTGAGCCTTTTGTTTTTCCTTCCAGGAAATTTACATGTTGTCTATTGAAAGCCTTGCCGAGGTAACAGCCCGTTGTATTGAACAGCTCCACAAATTAGCAGAATTAATCCTTCACGGACAAGAAGTTGAGAAGCCTGCCTTGGATCAAGCAAAAGTTCTAACAAAGTGAATATATTGACATTCTCATTCTTTCAATGTGTGTGCAGTGCTTATTGAATGATGCTCCTTGCAGAAGATGACATTCAGTATTGTTTTGTCTTTCTGCTGCAAGAATACTTCCACTACTGCATCATCGGTGGAGGAGTTTTGCAGGTGCTGCAGGTGGCAAATCCTATTTTAAACACATTTCTGCTGGTGCAGCACATCTCTGAATTACGTACCCAAGTCCTTGGATCTACCAGATGTCAGGAAATGCAAACAGTCCTAGGAATTTAGTCAATTAAGTGTTTGTTAGAAAGTAATAACTAATAGAAAGTACAAAAACTATAAAATACCAAATCACATCATGAAATGAATCAATTGTTAATTATTAACACTGACAATCTAGAAACTAACAATCATATCAGGACAGAGATGTGGCAACAGTCAGCTGTTTTTGCCACCCATTTGGTAATAGATTTATTAGTCTCATCAAGGAAGATACTCAAAACAGTATCTTTAGATTGACCAGGAAACCTAATAGAATCCTAGGAACTGAAATTGCTTAGATGCTCAAAATTCTGTTAAGAGGCTTTTCTAACCTCCTTCAAAGAGTTTCGCTTTTCAGTGTACTAGATGGTTAAGTCCAGTCAAAGGTGACTATGGGATGATGGAATCCAGAGCACACAAAAACTCTGTTTACCTTCCCGTCGCAGTAGTGTCTATTTATCTACGTACTTGCATTGTCTTAGCAGTATGAGAATGCCCCTAGAATGCCTTCTTACGTAAGCTGCCATTCATTTCAAATCTAAGAACAAAGGAAACGGCCTTGTACCAAGTTAGACCATTGGTGTGTGTGTGTTTTTTTAGCTAAGTGTTGTCTAGAGCAGTGTTTTCCAAACTTGGGTCTCCAGCTGTTTTTGGACTACAGTTCCCATCACCCATAACCACTGACCTTGCTAGCTAAGGATGATGGGAGTTGTAGTCCAAAACCAGCTGGAGACCCAAGTTTGGAAAACCCTGGTCTAGAGTGACTGGCAATGGATCACCAGAGTTTCAGACAGGGGTGTTTCCCAGTCCTGTCTGGAGATTGCAGGGAATGCATCTGGAAGTTTCTGCAAGCAACTCGTGTGTACCATTGCAGAAATTTTAAGCCTTTTAGACTCAATATAACATTTCTCCTACTGCATAAATGATGTTGCTATTACTGCTATTGTTTCTGTAGCAATAAACATGTTAATGTTGGTATGCCCTTGACAGTACAATACTCTTATAAAGATGTAACATGGTGCATATATTGATTACAGCAGTAGCAGTTAATTCATCTGTGCTGTAGTGAAATAAATATATTAGTGATATTTCCTTTGTTTCTTTAACAGTTTAACAAGTACAATGTGTAATGAAGTTTCTTCCCTGTCGAAAAATTTTGCTGATTTCTTAACTTCAGTTGGGGTAAGTTATTATGCATTTTTATTCATTTACAAGTCACTTTTTAATGTCTTGAAGTCTTATTCCTTGGTTGAGTGAAAGTAGGTACACAGAAATCCTATTTCCATTGATTATTGAATTTCACCACAGAGCCATAAGCATAAAAATACTTGGGGATCTATTTTAACTATGTCCTCTACTATGTTTGCCCAAGTTTTCGGTCTTCATTTTCTGTGGTCTCTAGGTGCTGGGCAAGCAAAGTGTGAATGAGCCCTAGATTGTGATAGATATTATGGGACAAGACAAGAAGGTGAGCCCAGGGAATGGATTAAAAAAAGAGCAGGTTCTTCTGGAATGGGGGGTGGGGGAACCCCTGAGAAATGCAAACATCCAAGACTGCAACTAAAGATAGATCATGTCTGGACTAGCAACACGATTTCAAACATATTAGTTTTTGAAAGGGACCATCTTTCAAAAAGATGAAAAGCAAAGCAGGGAAACTTTTATTTAAAAAATAGTAATTCCAGTGCAGAATTTCAACATGCTTCATTTTTGTTTGATGGTGGAATTTTAAACAAGACTCCTGTGAGCCATTTTCATCTCCCTTGCATCAGCAAGCATCTTTTCAGAGTTTCTTTTAAAATAACATAATTTAATCATATTGCTTTCACTCTGAATAATTTATGCTGGTGGCAAGTTACAGGAATTTGTCTATTTCTGCATTTTCTCCCCGTGTTTTATCATATTTCTCCGAGGCAGTCTTGATAAATATTTATATCAAACCCAAAAATCCAGCGTGAAATATTAATCTGATCCAACTTCAGAACTAGGCATCTTACATGACTTTTAGTTTTGACCTTGGTTCCTCTGCACTTCAACAGTTTTGCTTGATTTAATCACATAATTTAAAAGAGATTCAGCTCTGACTTGCTATGTGTTCATAGCAAACAAGTCCATATATAGCTATGCTACCAGACTGGAAGTTGGTGCTGAGCAGCAAAAGCTTTAGCCCTGGAAGTTGGGCAACTTCTTTCTGATGTGAATGTGCCTTTTAATGTGAAATTTCCTCTCTAGTAAGAGCGTATGTTTACTAGCCCTCTGAAAGACACCAAGTGATGCACATTTTACAGGTGTACATATATTTTGTACTGAGATGCCAGTATTTGAATTTTAATGTAAAGTGAGTAGAGATACACCTTGGTCACGTTGAAATTAATGCCGTTACCACATTCATAACCAGACATACAGCTGGGACTGCAAAGGACAGGATGGCATCTCTCCTATTCCATACAGGTGAAACTCGAAAAATTAGAATATCGTGGAAAAGCAGTAAATGCTGCTGCCTCAGTGTGGTGTAGTGGTTAAGAGTGGTAGTCTCCTAATCTGGGGAACCGGGTTCGCGTCTCCGCTCTTCCACATGCAGCTGCTGGGTGACCTTGGGCCAGTCACACTTCTTTGAAGTCTCTCAGCCCCATTCACCTCACAGAGTGTTTGTTGTGGGGGAGGAAGGGAAAGGAGAATGTTAGCCTCTTTGAGACTCCTTAAAGGGAGTGAAAGGCGGGATATCAAATCCAAACTCTTCTTCTTCTTCTTCTCATTGTCCAAGCACACTGAACCAACACCAGCTGATGACATGGTTCCCCAAATCTCTTTTCTGATGAGAGCAGCTTTTGCATCTCATTTGGAAACCAAGAACCCAGAGTCTGGAGGAAGAATGGGGAGGCACACAATGCCAGATACTTGAAGTCCAGTGTGAAGTTTCCATAGTCTGTGTTGATTTGGGGAGCCAGGTCATCAGCTGGTGTTGGTCTACTGTGCTTCATTAAGTCCAGGGTCAACGCAGCCGTCTCCCAGGAGATTTTGGAGCACTTCATGCTTCCTTCCGCAGATGAGCTTTATGGGGATGCTGACTTCATTTTCCAGCAGGACTTTGGCACCTGCCCACACTGCCAAAAGTACCAAAACCTGGTTCAATGCCCATGGGATTACTGTGCTTGATTGGCCAGCAAACTCACCTGATCTGAACCCCAAAGAGAATCTATGGGGCATTGCCAAGAGAAAGATGAGAGACATGAGACCGAGCAATGCAGAAGAGCTGAAGGCTGCTATTGAAGCTTCCTAGTCTTCCATAACACCTCAGCTGTGCCACAGGCTGATAGCATCCATGCCACGCCGCATTGAGGCAGTAATTGATGCAAAAGGGACCCAAACCAAGTACTGAGTACATATGCATGCTTCTACTTCTCAGAGGTCCAATATTGCTCTATTTGCAGTCCTTGTTTTGCTGATTTCATTTAATATTCTAATTTTCTGAGATGATTAATTTGGGGTTTTCATCAGCTGTACGCCATGACCATCACAATGATAACAAATAAAGGCTTGACATATCTTGCTTTGCATGTCATGAGTCTATCTCATATATTAGCTTCACCTTTTAAGTTGAGTTACTGAAATAAATGAACTTTTCCACGATATTCTAATTTTTTGAGTTTCACCTGTATATAGCAACCAGAGTTGCAGCTATAGTACTTCAACACTGGCAATGGGGCAGCAGCATTTACTGCATCTGAGAGCAGAAGGCTGGCTTAGAAAGTGGTGGGCAGTTCACGTGGCAAACACTCCTCTGTCCTTCAACATCTCACCACCGCTCCCTGATCCCCAGCATTTGCCACTTGAAGTCGCCACCTCACACTGCCCGATGGTAGGGAAGGCCCTGTATACAACTGAGGCCAAAACTGTTGGCGGTGGTTGTTTACAGATGTGATTGCTCTTACTGAACTAATTTTAAGTCAGATAGCAAGGCCAAGGAATAACTGCAAGAGGACCATATAAACCAGTCATTATGTAGATTTAGAGCAGATGAGGCTCCCCAGATTAATAGCATCTCCACACAACTGCTAAACAATGCTGTCATTTAATAACCACATTGTAACTCTGTCCTTCTCACTTCAAGAAAGCAGTTATTGAGAAACAATAAATATTTTTATTCTTTATCGCTATAGATCTCCTTCACAGTGTTTGCACTAACTATTGATTATATCAATCAACATTGTTTTAACAGGCAATCATTTCTTTATGTTTCAGTGGCTTGTATATGCTGAAATAAACAAGGGGATGGGTATTGGGTTTTTTTAATTACTGACTTTGAAACAGTATTGTTGTTTTTATTATTTCAGGGCTCCCCCCCCCAATCTCTTTTTACAATCTCTTTGGGGCTGGCATTATTTTTAGTAATAATCATCACAACAGCTGCAGTAGTAGTAATAATAATATTTGCTTAACACTTGCTGTGCATGGTGCTTTATAGAATAATGGTAAAAATATATATTTTAACCCTGAGGGGCTTAAAATTTGACTAGGGAAAACAATAAATAAAGGGGGAAAGAACTAGTGGGAATGTAAATGAAAAGAATATGTGTTCCATTCACACATATTTAGCCTTAGTTTCAGTACGGGATGAAAAATAAGACTTTATAATAATATTTTAATAATAATTTTATTATTTATACCCTGCCCATCTGGCTGGGTTGCCCCAGCCACTCTGGGTGGCTTTCAACACATATAAAAACTTAATATAACATCAAACATTAAAAACTTCCTGAATCAGGACTGCCTTAAGATGTCTTCAAAGAGTTGGGTAGTTCTTTATCTCCTTGACATCTGATGGGATGGCATTCCACAGGGTGTTCCATCATGGACAAGGTAGATTTGAAGGGAGGCAGATGTCACCAGGTAGGGGTTCTGGAAGGCAGTGCCCAGCACAAGAGGTAGCAATGGATGAGGCCACATCTTTTGAAAGTAATGACAAGGAACTTGTGCTGGATCTGGGAGTGGACAAGAAACCATTGTGGAGATTCAAACAGTGGTGGGTGGTGGTTTGGGGTAGCATGGGGTACGGATGAAGGGAAATTGAAGCGGTACCACCAGAGCTAATCCTACGCTCCTCTTGGTGCATTTTCATCAGCCTCCCTGCTGCTTTGCCTCTCTCCTTCCTGGTAAGCAGTAGCCAGTCGGCTATCAGGAGGTCAGGTGAACACCATTGCCCCACTGCTGGATTTAAAGGAGGGAGACTACCAGCAGTGGGCCAGAGAGGAAGAGTGGGGAAGAGACTGATGAAGCAATTTCTATCCACAACCTCACCATTGGAAAAATAAACACAGCTCGCTTTCTGGGATCCAAAGAAAGTTGGTTGTGTTGAAGACCAGTTGAGATTGCTGAATATCGCCAGGATTTAAGCAAGGCTGAATTCCTTGGACTTGTTCCACTGTCTTCACAAAGCCTCTAGCATATTTTTGTCTAATCTTTAAAAAAAAACGCCCTTTCTGTATTTTTGCATCAATGAAAATGGTATTTTGTATTTGACACTGAACATGTGCATATTTTGTTTATACAGTAAGCCAGCACCTTCAGAATCTCACTCTTCAAAACAAATGTATTACTAAAGCAAAGAAATGTTTTATTACCACTTTCTCGATGTGTCTCTAGCATTAAACCTTGCCTGTGTTTTCATCTGAGCAGAGTGACAAAAAAGCCGAAGTCCTTAACCCAATGGTCAACAGCGTACTATTAGAGGTAAGTGTGCCGCTATTTTACATAAGGAACCACTTTGCTGTCTTTTTCAAATAAAGCTAGCATACATTTATGTCCCTATGAAGAACCATAAAAAGTAATGGTTATCACTGTAATTCCGTGCCATTTCATAAACAGTGTCATTGTGCTTTAATCACTCATCTGTGAGAGCTTAGCCATAACAGCCGTGCTGCGTTTTCCAGGAACATTTGTAAGACACGGGTGAAACGCTTCTTCCTACCTCTTACCATAATGCATTGGAAAGAACTTACTGGACAATTTACAGTTAGTTCAGTAAGGTAGCTTTGCTTTCCATTCCCCAAAAAAAATGCCTAGGAATAGACTCTGAACCTTAATAAAGTTTCTGCTGCTCATAAATCACTAAATATAATCTCTGAACTAAGATGAATGCTGGAGGACGTGCCATTCAGTTCAATGGAGCTTGCATAGACAAGGTTCTCAGTAGGCTGTGCCTATTTATTCATGTTAAAATTTATAAATCAATCTTCATCTAGAAATGAATTTCAGGGTGGTATGCAAAGGAATTTGAAATTCCATGTGAAACCATGATTGCACTATATGGGCCTTTTGCATTATTTTGCCTCTAGAAATCTATGGTCCCTACAAATGTTGGTACTCTCAGAATTCAGACAGCAGATAACTGGCATTTCCATTGCCAGAAGATCCAAACAGAGCCAAACTAAAGTTTCCATTATATATATATATATAAATTGTATTCCCCTGGCTGTAATTCACTATTGGTTGTTGCTAGGAAATGGCCATCAGCCGGCTCCTGTGTCACCTGCAGGAGTGTCTACAATGTAGGACATGTATCTGCAAATTCTTGGGTAGGATTGGCTAGTTTTCTTAAAGCTTTTATAAATATATATATATAGAAAGCAAGACAATCCTTCGTACCTACTTTCTGTGCTCTGTTTTGAAGGCTTTGTTTTTTTGTCTGTCTGTGACTCAGGAGTTTATTATTGAGATGGGCAGCATTCCTAGTAATTAAAGGGTGGTATTCAACTAAGTGGGGACGCGGTTGGTGCTGTGGGTTAAACCACAGAGCCTAGGACTTGCCAATCAGAAGGTCGGCGGTTCGATTGGGTGAGCTCCTGTTGCTCAGTCCCTGCTCCTGCCAACCTAGCAGTTCAAAAGCACAGCAAAGTGCAAGTAAATAAATAGGTACTGCTCCAGTGGAAAGGTAAACAGCGTTTCCGTGCGCTGCTCTAGTTCACCAGAAGCGGCTTAGTCATGCTGGCCACATGACCCGGAAGCTGTATGCCAGCTCCCTCGGCCAATAAAGCAAGATGAACGCCACAACCCCAGAGTCGGCCATGACTGGACCTAATGGTCAGGGGTCCCTTTACCTTTACCTTTATTCAACTAAGTGTTACTCGATAAGTAGCCACACTGAAATTATTGAAACTTAGGTTATCGTGTTCATTAATTTCAGTTGATCAAGTCTGAATAACAGTTAGTTGAACAGCACTCTCAGCATACTTTTCTTCTTCAAAATGCCCCTGCTGGTGTGGGGTAGGGATTTGTATCAGAGCTGTGGCACAGGGGGAGGAAGGATTAACCAGATTGACCTCTGTCATTTCGGGAAAATGGGCACGAGAGTGAGGAGTCGTGCCCACAAGTGTTCTCCTCCACAGATATTACCGTATTTTTTGCACCATAACACTCACTATTTTCCTCCTAGAAAGTAAGGAGAAATGTCTGTGCGTGTTATGGAGCGAATGCCTACGGATGGCGGGGGGATCTGCTGCAGTCGTGAGCAGAGGATCCATGGTTCCCCTTCCTTCCCTCCTCCATGGCTCACTTTGAAACAGCAAAGCGGGAGAAGAGCCGCTGGGGGGGGGGGAGGAGAGGGACAGAGAGCCTGCTTGCTTTAAAGGAGCAAAGCGGGAGAGGAGAGGAGTCTTCTCCTCTTATACCCCTCTTCTGCATTATTAACAGCATCCTTCTCCACCCACCCCACGCGTGTTCCTTGTCCCTTGAGTGCTTTTCCTTCCCTCCCCACTTAAAACGTGGTTACAAAGCACGGATCCACATGGATCCTCAGGATTTTTGCATTGGGCTACCCCAAACTCACCGTCAGATCACATGTCTGTGGCCACAGCATGAACCACAAAAATCATACATCCACTGTTTCGTTTAGAATATTTTTTTTCTTGTTTTCCTCCTCTAAAAACTATGAGCGTGTTATGGTCGGGTGCGTGTTATAGAGCGAAAAATACGGTACTTGCTCTGGGAAAGGAATTTGGATTCGGACTGTGACATTGCGGAGAAATGGTTGGAATTTCCCGAGCCACAAACCACAGTCTTCATCCATACCATTTCCCTCACACTGTTTTCTGAAGAAGAAAACCAACCCAATTATTTTGCAGCAAATTCCAGTGTTCTTTAAGCAAATACGTAATGTCACATACACATGTACACATGTTCAAATAACGGTGTGCATGTGCTTTGGAGCGTCATCCAGATTAGATTTTTAGATTTCCCATGTGGACATGTTTATGGCATCATCATATTATGTGCTTCCTGCGGCAGTGCATAATGAATGTATCTCCCCCCCCCTCAAGCTGAAAGCAGGCTGCACTGATTTCAAGATAAGTGGGGTTGAAAGGCACTGAAATATGAAATACACTGCAATATTAACATACATTTTCTTTCTTCCTTAGGGTTGTAACAGCACCACTTACATCCAAGATGCTTTCCAGTTATTGCTTCCAGTTCTCCAGATCTCTCATCTCCAGAATGACTGTTCAAAAACACTACAATGACCACTTTGCATTTAAAAGAACCATCAGCCTAATAATCTCTTGGTTGTGTTTACAGTTCAAAAATACGTCTGATGCCTTTAAAAGACACTAAATGCAATTTTGCACATGCAGAATGAGTAATACTCTTGTATTTAGGTAAACCTATTTAAACATACAGTTTCATAATAGGGGTGGAAACTTGTCATATTCTTTGTATTAATTTAAGGTAAAACGTGTTTATTTCTGTTTTATTGGTTGAACTTCATTTTGGGATATTGCTGTACTAACTTGCATCCCATTTTGAAACATTTGCACTGGCCTATTTGCCCAGGGTGCCAGAACGAAGTCTCCTGATCCAAAATCAGTGTAAAGAACTGAGGCACAGTTTGTTACACTCCAAACTAAGTAGTCTGGGGATTCAGCACCTAGTAGGGTAGCTGTTCTCTGCATGCACGAAGGTGAGGCAACATCTCCTTATTGAAGTTCAACGGCACTTTTCCCATACCAACAGTTTCATGTAGCTTAAATGTAACATAAGTTTTCTTGCCTTAACGGAATCATGAACTAATGGCAGTGCTTCTTTCATAGATGCAAAGGCACAACCTCGTCGTTTAGATTGCTGATTCATTCAGAGGCCAGCATGAATCAATGATAGCATCCATTCATGCTTGTATGACAGCCATTGTGCAGAATGCATCATGAGATTATCTGCACTTCCTGGTCTGGTCCAAGCTTTCTACTGCTGCTTCTCCCCAGTGGCAATCTCCAATGTGTAAGTGCTTTTTAGAAGGGTAGCCATGCTAGTTTGTCGCTGCAGAAATGACAGCGGCACTGTAAAGATTGACAAATTTATTATAGCATAAGCTTTAATGGACTATATACTACTTCATCAGATATGTGATGGCGTTTAGATGACAGAAAAGGTTGACAGCGGGGTCAAACAATGAAATGCAAAATATGCGTCTGAAAATTCAATTAAGGCATGAATGTGTGCAAAATAAGCACACTGACAATTCGCAACGGCGCTAAGTGTTTGTGGCTGCCAAGCCGTTACTATTGACTTCAGGGTCTTTGTGGAAAATTGTGATTTATCACTACTGTAGACACAGCGATAGTGTTTGCTGCCTCAAAGTGGAGTGCTGCTATCATATGCCAAACCAGTGCATTATTTATGGTAGAAGTCCAGTCTCTAGTTTAGACGAGGCTATTCAGAAAACTAAACTTACTAGCAAGTATGGTGCCTTCCATTAATCCTATTGAATAATGAGCTATCATTTTGTTAAACACGACCTTTTTTTAAAAAAAAAAAAAGGTCCAAGGGCAGATTGTTTGCTTGAGTCCTCACCTACCCAACTTATTGACAAATGTCATTTTCTCCCCTGAAAAGTATGTGCATATAATCATTTCTAAAAATTGATATTTTACATCAGAAGCATTATGTTAAGATTTTATGTTGCTAAAATTCACAGACAATTTAAAAAAAAAAAATCTCTTGTGATGTGTAGCGCTTATTGCATCCTGCATATGGGATTCTCCTTTCATGTTTTATCAGCTAATATAAACATCAATAAAGCTAAAGACAATGTTTGCATCCAGTAACTAACTACATTCAGAATATTGTAAAAGTTGTATCTGCTTTCTTCTCTACTTTTCTTGCCGGCAAATTCTGATAAGAGATTATCAAAAGACATTTCTCTTGTAAGATAGCGTTCTGTACAGAGAACAGATACAGCATTGTTGACTGTAATTAAAGACAACTTGGAGAATCCTCTTTCTCCCTCACAATTTGAAATGGGCAGGGCTAGTTAGATAAAGGCAGAAAGCTTCCAGATCCTTACTGTAAATTATCTTCAAGCCAGCAGCTTCAGATCCTTCACATTCCTCAGCAGTATTTAAGAAGTGAGATAATTTATTTTAGCTTAGTAGACAAATGGAAGGACTCACAAAAGCTTCTGCATACTTTTCCGCTATACAGTGATTTTTGGGGGGAAGAAAGGGCCAGCCTTGCCAGGAATCCAAATAAATTCACCACTTCGGTGTAAGCACAAAAGCACTTCTCCAGTTCTATCTGCCCATATACTATCATATGTTTCCAAACTGAGTTTGCCTTTGTCATTAACTTCAAGTAACTTTTTCCATCTGGGAAACTAATTTGTGTCACCAAGCTATTGAACTTTCATCCGAATATGTGGCTTCAATACTCATTTCTTTTACGTCTTCAGTTTCTTGAAAGGTGATGAAGGAAGGGAAAGCATTTTCCCCTCGACATAGCACAGACAAATCTGTGAAGGATTTTTTGCCAGAGCGCTGCCATAAAAGAAATTTGAAATATGTATTGTCTTAACCAAAGAGTTTGCTTCTAACTTAACCACCACATCCTCTTTGGAATAATCAATGATGTTATGTAATAATAGAATATAACGTTTGTGTGATATCTTTTCTGCAGGACCATATGGTTTGTGACCAGCTTTTCAAGATGATCCTTGGTGTAGTAGTAGTAGTAGTATTTTTTTTACCATTGATTAATATTGGCTTGAGGTGTTTTCCATCTGTGAGTAGGCTTGACTATGGTTGGATAGACTGCTGTTATTAGCATTGTCTGCAGCTGCAACAATCATTCAAGAAGTTGTGGACTCCGCTTCCTTGGAGGTTTTTAAGCTGAGCTTGGATGACCATCTGTCATGGATGCTTTAATTGAGATTCCTGCATTGAATGGGGTTGGACTAGATGACCCTAAGGGTCCCTTCCAACTCTATGATTTGCTCATAGAGTAAAAGGACACACTCGCTTACGCTGAAGCTGTTTTATAATCTCCACCCACCCCCACTAGATTTATAGAGCTCCTTAGTGGGATTCAAGAGTCAGGAGAGAGAAAGTTTGTTTACAACCCATTTCTCAGTTAGAGTTGCTCTCAGTACAGCTTTCAAATTAGCAAAAATAATACAATATCTGCCCACCTGCTTACAGTCTTAAAGGCCATGGCACAAACAACATAAGGTGCAAGGAGGGAAGAGGAAAGCAAGCTAACTCAGGTGCCAAATTCTTAATGTTGCAAGGTTCTAATAATGATGCAATTTGGGTGGATATGGGCTGCTTGCAGTTCAAAAACAGGCCCTGGTAGTATCTGGGGAGCCAGCCTTCCTGGAAGTGGCCATTGCAGCCAAAAGTGGTTGACTTTGCAAAGTGGAGCATTTGCCTTCAGGAGCCTTGTTGGAACTTGCTGGCTTCTGGCCATTCCCATCACAGCATGTAGAGTCATGGAGGCCCTGTTGATACCATCATGGCCAGCACAGATGATTCTGCAACTCTTACAGGGCAGATGGAAGCGACGGCCTCTACTAGGGTCTGGAGGGGATGAACCCAGCTGGTGAGATGTCAGTTCTATGCTATCTGCTGCATCTAAAAAGTCAACAACAGTGCAGCAGTAGTAATATTAATGTGTCCGCTCCATGTGTGAATCTGGGGCAATTACCGCTAGTGCCTCCCCTTTAAAAGGCCCTAATTGTGCACAAGTAGGGTTTTGCTACAATATTAGGCATGTTCGTGATATGCTGGGAAAGAATCCTCTTTGGTTTCTATGAGCTCATTCGGCGTGGAATACTCTTTGAGTTGAGTTAATCCAGGGAGAGAACAACCAAGAGAAGCGACAGAAATAGATTGCTTTAATAGAGGTGAACTTTTAACTAAAGGTTGTGCAGGAATATGTTGTAAGCCTTGGGGGACATTTTAAAGAGATGGTAGGAGAATCGTTTAAAACGGTAGATAGCTTATTTGAAATGGGGCTTCCTGTAGGTTTTTCCGAAAAGGCTTAAATTATGCATGTAATGGGCTACTGCTTTGTCCATCGGGAAAATGAGTAATACACTACTGAATGAAATACAGGGCAAGCTGTCCCCATCTGATTCTTTAAAATACATCTCCGATTACTCTTTGTGCAGCTACTTGTGCTAGGCAGCCTTTATGCACCTAAAATCAATTAGTTCATTTAAATGTAGTTTTCTCAGTGCATAGTTGTGTACAAAATAAAGTTCCTGATACAACTGCAGTGGTGTATTAAATGTTTTAGGCTGAAATTCTATACACTCTTGGGTTGAGAGTTAAGTCCCATTTGACTTCATGGGACTTACTTCTGAGTAGACATGCATAGGATTGTGTTGTAAATGAATTAATCATTAAATAACACAGGATTTGCCAACTTCAGAATACTTCCTTCCACATCTTGTGACTTTTATTTTTCGAATGACGCATTAATGGAAGCCAGATATAAAGAACCAACAGTCTGTGTGACCATTTGCCAACCTGGCTTAAAACAAGGACTCTCCTAAAATCCGTTTGAGAATTCATTTTAATTAGGACTCAAAGTTCACTTTTTCTCTAAGAATTCTTCTCCTGCTCTCTTACTGAACCCAGTTTTCTCTTCTGCTTGTTGCATCTGTTAAATTAATATTGAAGTTGCCTAATCCACTAAAGTGGTACTGAAATACGATTCCTGCTGATTTCTGGTGCAGTTGTAAAGTGACTTCACTCTAAATGTTTCATGTAGAATATCTTGCTTTCTTAAACAAGCTTAACCCTTGTTTTCTACTAAAATCAGATTTTTGCTTGTTGCTGTTTAGAAGATTCAGAATTGCTTTCGTTACTAGTTTAGGACTCCAGCCCATTGGGACCACATCTCATGGAAACACTGTTGAAAATTAATGATAGCTGTATGGGTCGTGTTCATCTCCCACTCATTTTAAAGGGGATTCTGCAGGAGAGTGTCCCAGTAGTTTATAGTTTCAACCTTTTGCTGTATTTAACGTGTCATTTGGCTTGAATATCAAGCGGGGGAAACATTTTAAAACATTCGCAAATATGCAGGAATTCTGGGACTGTCATTAAACCTGATGATCTTAAAGTGGTTGTCTAAGGCAGCAGATCACAGAAGGTGTTCACCTGGGGAGCCTGCCTAGCTGCCAGAAAAGAGTTCTTTGCGTCCAGACTATTATTGCATACTTCCTGACAAGGTCCTGCCTACGGAT